TCGGATTTCAGCAGAGGGGCACCCTTGTGCGAGTCCATCGTGGCTCTTATCGTGCCATGCTTGTACTCCCGACCGAGGAGGCTGACGAAAATTTTGTATTCTGAATCCACGACAGTATGTAGAGGCTATGCGGTCGTGGGGTGTATCGTACGGAACGTACGGACAGCATGCAACTCATACCACCAAACAACACATCTATGACATTCGGCAGCTGGCAGTCCAGCCAGTCACTCGCTAATCATGTGATACATCAAGACCTGCTTTCAGAGCGTGCGAGGATCAACACGTACTGTTGGAGGGTCCGACGAGGTTACAAAGTAGTGTCTGTTCTCAGCGGCGGTGCTTGGAACCATCTTGAACCCTGGTGAGACTCTACATTGCAGTACTCACATTGCGTTTAAAGCACCATCTGTGTCGAGCGATGGTAAGGGGCCCTGCGTAGTATCTGTTCTCAGCGGCGGAACCCAAAAACCTTCTTGAACCCTGGTGAGACCTCATCTTGCAGTACTCACGTTGGTTTCCGAGTGCTAATCTAGATTCCAACTTGACAGCAAGTGCCCTGTGTAACGTCCGTCCTCAGCGGCGGAACCCAAAAACCTTCTTGAACCCCTGGTGAGACCTCATCTTGCAGTACTCACATGGGTTGCGGAGTGATTCACACTTCAAGTCGATAGCAAAGGGCCTGTGTAATATCTGTTCTCAGCGGCGGAACCCAAAAACCTTCTTGAACCCTGGTGAGACTCTATCTTGTAGTACTCACCCTCGAGTACCCTCCGAAGGCCCGTGACGCTATCGCATGAAGCGCGATCAGCGAACTCTACGGAGGCGAAGAGCGGATAACATGGGAAGGTCGTGAGTGACCATGTGGAATGACGATATAGAGGCAGTCAGCCAGAGGACCGAGCTTGGAGGAGGAATGTAAGTGTGCATGAGGGTGTGCATGAGGGAGGTGGTTTGGGAGAAACAGAGGCTCGCATTCTGCAAGAACTCTTATAGCCTCTTGTCAGGGTGGCTGGCAGACCGACCTCGCGGCTCAGATCGGTACGTCATGTTGAGTTGCCGGCTCTTCACCTCGGCAGGGGCTTACTCGCCGGCCATGTGAAGGCATGCTGGCTAACACGATCGTGCTTGTAGGAACCATACTCGCGATCGCCTCGTGAGCCGAGGAGCCGCCGATCGAGAGGCTGGTCTATTCACCTTCACAGACACTGGTCATCTGCCAACCGCCACTGGTCATCTGCCAACCGCACTTCCCGTCGTTCACACACTCTGCTGCATAAAGGGATGGCGCAGTTCTGGATGGCACAGGCGGCTCACAAGATAGTGACTGATGGTGGTCCTCTCAGACGTGTCTCCTTGTCAATTGAATGATGCGAGCGTGATAGCAGCGGAACAGAGACGCACCGAGCAGTCATCGGGAGAGAGTCGAGCAGCAGCCGAACAGCAAGAGGCGCACTCATGAGCAAAGCATCCAGTCTAACATAACAGCAGAGCAAGTCAACAGATGTTCTAACACGAGAGCGACCTTCGACAACGGGAAGAGGGATAGCTTGTGCCCTACTCATTCCAATAGTAATCCGAATCCGAGCTCGCGCCGTGGTCCTCGGCAGGGGGGCCTTCCTCCGCTTCAGCCTCTTTCTCAGCCTCCTGCCCCATCTGATCGAATAGATCGCCGTGGTCCTGCGTGAGCCGCCACAACGATTCCTCCTCGTCCTCTTCCTCTACTGGTGGATCAGGAGCTTGCACAATCCCCGGTGTCGGCGCCGTCGTATGAGGTGGCGCAATCTGAGAGCTCCAGGGAGTACTGCTAGGTTGTGACGCTGCAGGAAGCGCATACAAGAAGGTGGATGGGGGCGGTTCCTCGGGAGTGAACGCAACGACGCCCTGCTCGAGGATAACATAGTCGCATGACGCGACAGGAGCAGCCGACGAATAGATCACGCTGAGGTGTCGATATGCCAGCTGCTCTTCCCCAGCCGACTGGGATGGGCCCGCAAAGGGCTGCGACGAGTCGAGACGTCGTCGCTTCGCTGCCCGCCCGTTGGCAGAGTCGCGGAAGTTAGGATCGACCTCGTGGCGGGACCGCCTGCGGAGCGTACGCGTCATCATGATGCGCGCGTTCACCTGGCTCGGCCAGACGTGGCCCAGGATCGCCTCGTGCGTCTCCTCCCCGCGAAGACTGTGTCCGCGCGAGAACCAGCGCTCTTGGTCGGCGTAGCTCAGCTCTCGTGGCGATGGGTCCCGGCCGTCGAAGTGAGGGTTAGATGCGCGGGTGGCAGCAAGGAGCACGACGGCGAGCTGGTACTTGGAGGCGAGTCGATGCAGCAGAAGGGAGGTTTGTCGCAGGTCCCGAGCTCGCTGCTTCAGATCCTCGTACTCTGTGTGTCTACTTGAGTCGAAGAAGTCCGTGAAAGTGTCGATGAGGAGAAGCTTTGCGGGTTTGAGACCCGCAACGTCCATACGGGAGTCAGCAAAGGTGGGAAAGAGGTCAGTGAGGATGCGACAGAGCGCGCCGAAACTGAAGGCCTTGAGGGTGTAGACGTCCGACAGGCCGCAGGACTCCCCAGACAAGACGGGGTGCTGATCCATCATCTGTTGCAGTCGGTCTGTCTGGAGTGCCTCGCGAGTCGTGACGTAGCATGCTGAGCCTGAAACGCCGCCTCGCTCTGGAGGGAGTTGTACCGCTAAGGATAGCTGGAGTGCAAGCTGCGTCTTCCCTGCATTACTTCAAATTCATTGTCAGCGTCAGAAACATGGAGTGATACGCCTCCCTCACTTCTCCCCGCATATCTCCCAGAGCATCCCTGTCTGGAAGCCACCGCCGAGGGTCTGATCCAAGTGTGCGTCTCCGGTGGTTATCTTCTCCTCTCCCAGATGCGCAACGTCCGAGAGATCCATGGGCTCCTCGTGAAGCTCATTGCAGACCAAGTCAATGAGAATGTCCATGTCTCTCAACGTCACCCTGCACTTCTTAGCCAGGTCTGACGGCGGCTTGAGCAGGAGGTCAGACACAGTCTGCACGCTACCTACAGCTCTCTTGCGTCAGCCAAGCGTGTTTAAGGGCTGTTGCCACGTACCTTTGGCGAGGGTTGTCTTCTGGGCCATGGTGAGGCTGGACAAGTCGGCGAGGTACCTGCTGTCCATGACTGACTATTTGAACGGTTGATATACGAGACTGATCCAGCAGAGATCCATGAGGGTCGGCCGCGACGCGTCCCAGGGAGGGATGGTGGCCGATCGAAAGCAAGACGCGATCGGTGTCACGGTCGATCGTGGATCGCGCCAGTCACTCACCTCCACGTGATCGCGTCTCAGACCACTCCGCAAGAACCCTGCTTAGAGCTCATTGAACGACAAAGATTCATCGCATACATGTAAAGTCTACACAAGATCCACCCATAGCTAGCTACAACACAATGTCAAAACCGAATCGCTGTCACTGGCGCCTGCCTAGCGACTGCGACGAGTCCGTGCGCCCAAGCAGACCTCCCATCACATTCGTCACGGTATCCGTGAGCTGCCGTTGCTGCGACTGCGCATGCTTGACGTAGAACAACCTCACGGCTGTCGAGTTCCAAATGCCGAGGGGTGTCATTCCGCGCACGTAGATCTCTCCCCAGATTAGCGACGTGAGCCAGACGATGGAGGCGTCCGACCACTACGAGCGTGTGTCAGCGAGCATTCAAGCACTACGCGACAAGCAGACTACCCACCATGAACTTCCTCGGTGAAAGCGGCACGTTCTTCGGGAGGACGTCATCCAGGTTCGCGCTCCTCAGCATATCGATGATGGCGCTGTTAGCACTCGCCCCGCTCGCGGCCTGCTGCTTCTGCACCTTTGGCAGCAGCTCAGAAATAACGAGCAAGACAGTATCCAACGGCAGGCTAAGCATGCACCCATCAGCCCATGTCCTTTTCGCCGCCTAGAGCCGAAACTCACCCTTGATGCCACGACGAGACCCACTCCTGCGTCGGTACGAATCCGTTCCTCCCGACGCCAGCAGCAGCGAGGCGCTCCAAGCTCCCCGTCATGTCCCCCGACAACGACCGGCCCGCCGCCCGCATCTTGCCCCTCGCCTTCTCCGACATCCCCGCCGCGTTCTGGCCCCCACCGGGAGGCGTGCTGATCCCCGGCGTCTCCAACGCCGTGGGCGACATCAGCGGCCGCGTCGACGCCTGCTGCTCCTCTTCGCGCGCGGGCCCCTCCGGCAGCGTGTCCGTCGACTCTGTCCGCCGCGGGAGGTCGAGCGACATCTCCCTGCTGAGCAGGCGCGCCTTCTCCGCCGCGGGGTCGCCCTCCTCTTCGTCCCGGGGCGCGCGGCTCTTGCCCTTGTCGGCGCCGCCGGTGGCCTGCTGACGTGCGCGCTCCTCCTTGGCTTGCTGCACGCGCCGGATCTCGCGGAGGCCACGGGCGAGGGTGAACACGCCGAGGTCCTCGAACTGTTTGTGGGCGCGGACGATGCCGTAGACGAGGTTCGGGTTCTCGGAGAGGTTGTGCAGGAGGACGCCGTTGAAGGCTTCGAGCATGAAGAAGAGCAGACGGGGATGGCCCTCGTCGGACAGGAGGAAGGAGGGGTTCGAGAAGGCGGTGAAGAGTTGGAGGAGGCGGGCAGAGGAGGTCACGCTGAGGTTCCTGAAGTAGGGGGCGGAGTTTGAGAGGGCGATGATGAGGGCAGGGTACAGCGAAGTGAGGCTGCCGGATGTCGTGGCCACCATAGAATATATTGACTGAGATAGTGATCAGCAAAAGTGGAAGCACAGTGCGGAGTGCCCAAACACACACATGGATCATGAAGTCTCCCGCGGTGCCCATCGTCGAGTACTTCTGAGGTATCTGGCCCCGGACAGGTGAGCTCAGCTTCTGCCCAAATGCTCGCTCTGCAGACAGACTCTGGATCAAGTACGAGAGCACGCGGCACATGCCATGTTGCTCTAGTAAAGCGTGTGTCAGCTAGATCGTCCATATTCTCGTAACAAGCCACTGACCAGGTTTGTCCTTGATCTCGAGGCCGTAGCATAGAAGATAAGCGAGGATGTCCATTGCTCTGTCGGAGTCGAGAAGATATGTACAGAATTTCTGTGACCGTATTCAGAAGATGCCACTGAGAATTTGAAGCGAGAGGAACTCATTACCTTGTTCAGCTCGATCATCTTCCACAGGAAGATCACTAGGGTGATATGAGGAAGACGCGATGCGCAATACAACGACACCACTCACCTGCCTCAACCATGTATGGCACAGACTTCTTGGACCCGGGAAGGAGGTTGCCAATGGACGACATTTGGTCCTCGAAGGTCAGCAAGATGCCGTGGAGAATGAAGGCGAAATCGTTTGGCCGATGCTACTTTACGTGTCAATGTGTATGCTGGGACGAGTGTTCTCATTCAGCCTCACCAGCTTGGCAATGAAATACCTGAATGCGTTCGTCTTTGCCGTGGGCCCAGAGGTCTGGCCATCTGCAGTAACATCGCGTGCAGTGCCGCTCTGGAAGTCCAACAACACACAGAGAACCTGGAAACATGTCGAGACGAGGGCTGTCCGTGGGTCTTCGCCCTTGAGCAACAGGTGGTTGTACGGCAACCTCCCGGCCACCGTCCCCATTACGTTTGCGCTGCCCGGATGTGTCGCGTTCATGGCAGTGTTCATGAGCGAGCATAGTACAGTCAGCACGTCACGCCGCGGAAGGTTTTGAACGAAGTGTAGAGTGTATACGGATGGGGAGGTGAAGAGACCTGATGGCGGAGTGTAAATTTGTCGAGAGAGTAGGACAAGGAGTAGCCTCAGAACCTCGGTCTTGTTGTGCTCGTACTGTTGGCTCTGCCCGGGGTCTATTGTGGAACCGACGCCCTTCTCCCTGGCAGATGCGCGTCCTAACGTGAGCAAAGGTGGCCACGAATGTCAACAAAGCTTCCTGCGCACGCACCAGATGACATAGTTTATCTTGTAGTGGTCTTTCTGGATCTTCGTCGGCAGCGTGAAGCCACAGCAGAACATCAAGTCGATGAGACAGCTGAACAGCCGCTCCGCAACAGAGGGCAACGTCTCCTTCGGCCCCGCCTGCGCCTGGTGCGATGTCGCCCGCTGCGGCGTCTTCGGTGCGCGCGAGCCCCCGCCCTCGCCGTCTTCATCTTCGTCGTCCTCGTCATCGTCCTCGATGACGAACTGTGCCTGCGCGCTCGCCGCCTCGACCACCGGCCCACCCGCTCCGCTCACGCTCTCCGGCATCTCCTCGCGCTTCCACAGCACCTCCTGCTCGAACCTGCTCAGGTCGCTCTCGATCTCGAACACGACTGGCAGCACGCGCTGCAGCACGCGAATGCAATTGAGGACCTCCTTCGTCGCATTACGCTCTGCGCCCGCGCCAGTGCTTGTACGGTAGAACGATGTTGCGAGGGACGAGACGGACGAAGTTGTGGGCGCGGGGAACGTATGGTCAGAGACGAGGTTGAAGAGACGGGCGGTGATGACACGAATGAGGGTCGCGACGTTTTCGGGTGCTTCTTTCAGTGCGCGGCGGACTGCGCGAGGGTAAACATGCAGGACGGGGCGGGCGGAAGTCGAGGGTGAGGACGTCCCTTGGGTGGAAGTATACTTTCCGGACAGACGCACCATCGTTACGTGTTATGAGAGTGAAGACGTCCGACGCAGAGTCGAATAGGACGACGTACTGCCAGAACGGGCTGAGCTCAAACAGTCGATATGAGAGTGACCGCGGGGTACTTACTTGGTCCCAGTACAGATCCTTCTCTGGTATATTCTGTGAACGCCGCAAAGAACCGCATCACTTCCCGATCACGGTTTGAGCTACTCTCCGTAGGCTGAGACTTACGCGTGTCGTAGCAAGCTTGGCAATGCCTCCCGGCTGGCTACGGAAAGCGAGTTTAGGCTGGTCGCCCAATAGGTTGAATGGGTCCGGGATCTTTTGAGGTAACTTCGAGAGCATCTTCAGGCCATCCATTCGTATACAAAAAACTGAAGGAAAGAAAAGCAAGCCCTACAGAGAGAAGGGGAGAAGAGGAGGGTGGGCGATACCCGGGAGCTATGAGTGCTGGGACGGTGTACTTACGCGCGCCTGGGGCAACAGGCTGCGCATGGGTGAATGCAATCTCAGATCCTTCTGAGGCACATGATCACCAAAGTATAGATGCCACTCTGAGCTCTACGATAGAGAAGTCTGACAAGGAGGTGGTACCTATCTCTGGCTTTTGCTTGGCTCCTGAAACAGTTCGGGAAGGCTAGGTTGCAAATCGAAAGATGGTACAATTTGACGAGGACTACCACTCAGCACATGCTATCCTACAACAGGTATTTGCTTAGCTCTGCTAGGCAACCGATCACAATCCCAAGAACCCGTCCTAAGTTTGCGCCATGTAGCAGGAAAGGTCGTATGAAGCTTTTAGCACTGCTTAGCGTACGTGCCGCTGGACTTGCTTCCAGAGCCTTTGTCCAGCCCACCATGATGATGTTCGGCGGTCGTGACACCACTGGACATCTTACTAAGCGCATGGGTGGGGGTATCCGACTTCACGAGACCTTCGACAATCTCAATCTGCGAAGGACTCATCAGCTTTTCACATAGTGCCCATAGTAAGAATCGGCGTACGATGTCTGCAACAAGTCGGTCGATCATAACAGCGCTCAAGTTCTCGCGGACGACAACGCGGAGGATCTCCACGCTCTCCAAATCGGGTGCCAGCTCGTAGTTGGGTACGATCCAGCCCTTCGCACGAAGAAGGACCTGGACCCACTTCTGTTGGATGTCGGGGTTCTGCTGGCGGAATTCGTCTGTAAACCTGAACGATACCACGGGCAAGCCAGGAGAGTAGTTCTACGGAGGAGCCGCATCATTGACGTCAGCGGAGCAAGCAACAATCGTATTAGCTCATGACGTACCTCGACATTCGCCTCGTTTATGCCAACGGTCTTTTGGGCAGCTGATGCGAGAGCACCTACAGTCTGAGGCCGGTGGATGTCACTCAGAACGTAGAACAGACCACTCTTCTCGAGAGCGCGGCTAAGGAGCCTTGCGTTCGCCAAATCTTGGAGCGCGACATTTCGGTACCCTTCGAAGCCCAAGTGCACGAAATTGAAGTACTGCGCGATGATGGGGTGTGCAGGGCGCGAGAAGTTGAGGGAGAACGAATATTCAACGGAGCCAAGGTAGTGCAGCTCGAAGATGAGGTCCTTGGGAAGGAATTGCTTCGACCGCCAAACGACCCAGCCCACGCCGACGTAGGAGAGACCGAACTTGTGGCCAGACGTGTTGATGGAGACAACACGCGGGATCTTGAAATCCCACTCGAGCTTGGGAGTAGCGAAGGGGGCGATGAAACCGCCAGAAGCCGCATCGACATGAATGGGCACAGAGTTGCCGGTACGGGCCTCGTACTCGTCAAGCAGGTCCGCCATCTCCTTCACAGGCTCGTAATGGCCGGTGTATGTGCCTGCGCAGCGTGTCAGAAATGACATCAGATTTCTGGAGAAATCAAAACACGTACTTCCGAGGATGACGTAGACGCCAATCGTGTTCTCGTCCACATACTGCATAGCCCTCTTGGGATCAAGCCGGTAGTGGCTCTCCTCGGAGATAGGGACAAGGCGCATCTCGACGTCGAAGTAGCGCGCGAATTTCTCGAGCGCGACCTGAGCGTTGGCACCCATGACGATGTTCGGACCGGGCTCATGTATAGACTTGCCAGCGGCCTTGCGCTTCTCTTGCCAGAGGCGCTTCATGGCCAGACCTCCGAGCTGTATAGCCTCAGAGGAACCGGTGGTCGCCGTGCCAATAGCCTGCTGGGTAGACGGCGCATGCCACAGGTCGGCAAGTATAGAAACACAGCGCGTGTGGATAACCTCTGATGCAACGATTGGATTCAGGAGAGATAAACTATGAGGCGGATGGACGCACGTGTCATGGGGTACTCATCCTGATCGATGAGATTTTTGGAGATGTTTTCCATCATGAGCTGGTCTGCTTGCTTGGGCATCCATGTGTGGACAAAGGACGCAAGGTTGAGGGCCGGGTTGCCGTCGAGGGTCAGCTCGTCGTGGAGTAGTTGGTACGTTGCCTCTGCATCGGTGCCCTGCACATTATGGTTCTCAGGACTGCGCAGATGCATCTTGAGTTTGAGAAGCACCAACCTTGGATGGGAGCCTATACTTGGGAATGGGCTCGGTGCCATAGCGAGCGCCGTAACCGTGAACAGCATGGTGGTCGGTCGAGCTATGAGCGCCAGGCGCCTTGTGGTCCTACGCGAAAACTGAGCCAGGATTCGTGAGGCGAACGCAAGTGTCGCGTACCTTGGACGCCTGGATGAGGCGGTCGGCGTTGAGGTGCTATACGCGAGGTCAGCTTCATGATATATTGGTGGACGAAGGTGACCCGTACCTTAGAGAGGGCCATGATGACAATGGAGAGGGAGACGATGTAGAGGGTGTCTTAGGTTGAACGACCTCTTATATGCGGTCACTGTATGCGGTGTACGGGAGACCAAAAATAAATGGCAAAGTCTGAGTTTAGGTGGTGGCGACAAAGGAGTGACATCATCGAGCCTTGCCCAAGTTTACCCACCTGCAGTTGCAAAGCCCCTTGCCGTCATCTCCATCCACCTCAGGGCCGTCCCACACTTTAATGACCGTCCTAGCACCACATCTCCTTGCCCTAAGCCCCCAACGTGCCCTCATTACTTGACGGGCCCGCCATCCAGACCATCAGGAGACCCCATGCTCATCTTGCAACCCCCAAGGCTGCGGTGTAGCGTGAGAAGCACCGAAGTTCCAAGCAGAGCTCTGATAGAATTCGCAAGAATCGCCCTGGCCAGGCCTGTAGCGTGCTGAGAGCAGGAAGGGAAGCAGGCACCGACAGCGTGATGCCTCCCGATTTCACAGGCGCGCGTCCCGGTCCGAAGAACACGGCGTTGTACCCCTAACGGGACCAGCTCTGCCGAGTCCATCTATAAGTACATATATATATGTAGGAGCTGGAACTTCTTCGACTCGAATCACACATCCTAGCTATGCAGCCTTGAAATGCAACGATCTAACAGTATGAAGACCATGTAATCTGCTGCTGAACTCGTGTAACTAACATCGGATAGATGACAAGCAGAGTAGTACATAACCCAGACGATCGATCCGGCCAAGGCCTTGTACAACTTCAGCAATGTGGTACGCTTATCTCCTCAATTCGAATGTGCGACACGTGCCTCAGAGCGATAGCTACTTATTGGCCCATCCCGGGAGAGTTGACTTGATGGGTACACGAGACCTTTCAATAATACCTCACGACACGGCGCTCAGTGCTGACATTGTCTACTCCCATGAAGAGACTTTCCACAGCGAACAACTATTCGGCCACGTCAGCTTATCTGGTCCAAAATCCGCAGTCACGACGGCTGCACCGCCAGGAGCTCCATCGTCTACGTACGAAATCCATCAATGACACGTTACAGCGCCTTGCATAAGTCCGTGAACGCGCGGATTTTTTCTCTCCGGCGTCTAAACCACCCGACCTGCCTAAACAGGCCATATCACGGTCACAGGGACTACTCCATGACAGCGCATCACGGCCCCGTTGGTTGACCACACGCGTACCCAGGTAAATCCACAATGTTTTGAAGTATGGATATGCGTGCGGTACTTCCATGTCTGTATTTGAGTGCCCATTGGCCCCCAGGGGATCCTGTACCCTGATCTAAACAGGAGGTACCATAGTAAAGGTGCAGTCACATATACATGATCATGCTCTCACTACGGGCACCGCCTCAAATCGTTCTTTGTCAAAGGGCTGTAGAACCTCTGAGCAAGTACAACTTTCCCATTGCCGACCCTTCAGCGTCCTTTGGCACGCGTCGGCAAAGGGACAAGTTACGACTGTCCCGAAAACAAACCTCCGTTTCACGCGAAGGGATCCCGAGCGCTGCCCGTCGTGTCTGGGCCTGTGACCATGATGTGGCCTGTTTAGGCAGGTCGGGTAGGGTAGACGCCGGAGAGAAAAAATCCCGCGCGTTCACGGACTTATGCAAGGCGCTGTAATATACACTCTGGAAACCTATCCACCTGAGGTAGTGCCGCGCACAATGCTCCTGTTCCCACCCCGCTCATTCTGTCACGTAGCGTCGAGTCCCTCGGGCTCTCGAGTCTGGAGTACCTATGGAGCAAGCCTTTTCGGGAACAATCACATTTCCCCAATACTTACTCCCGGTTCCTTTCAAGGCTCGCGATCCGTACGGCGAGCTGAAGCCTTCAACACGCATAATGAATAACGATCAAATTGGTAGCCTAAGCCGTAGGAGCGCGGTGCTCGATCTGAATGGCAGGGTGTCAGTAGGGTCGTGACGAACCGTTGCATACCGGTGTATATCTGTCTTCAGGTGAGACCGCGCGCATGCGTTGTCCAGGCTTTGATGGCGCGCCATCACTCATAGCGCGCATATGCACTCTTTCAGCAACGCGCAAGGCGTCAAGTAGACTGCCCTTGTCTGGTGGCAACTTCTTAAGCGACACAAGACTCTCCGATCATGCCAGAGTTCGGGGTCGCCAGCTGGCTCCAGAGGCTTGCCAAACTGGCCATCGGAGGGTCCGCCGATACGGGTCAATTGCCGTACGCGTCAAGTCCGACATCTCATTCGCAAGCCACTTGAAAACGGCCTGTTGAGGAGGACGTATGGTAGGCTGATGTTTCAGATGGTCGGCCACGTATACGGTATACCCGGGGTCCGAAAGTGTCTTTCCATATCAGGCATGCAAGCTACTCAACGCTTCCCTCTCAGTCGCGACTACTCTCGGTGTGAGCGGACGAATCTGACGTTCTCTACCTAAAGTTGTCCACTATATTGGCAGAAACGAGCATGGATTTCCCGACATGAATGTCGAATGGCAGCGCCATCTGCTGCGCGAGGATTCGACCCGGGGACGGTGAGTGTTTAGCGCTTATGGTGGCACTTCCAATCGCAAGATCTCAATCGACCCTACAGGGCCATGACTCCGACAGCACGAACCTTCCAGCCTGCCGCTCGGAGTGTGTTGATGGACGTCGTCTTCCGAGCCAGATGACCTCAAGACGATCATCATCCGACAAGGCCTTGGACTTATGAGCCTGATACTCACCAGGCCTTTTTTACTGGCGTCTCTTTGACGACATTGTCTGGGGTTACGCCACCTTTGATTGCGCAGGATATTCTTGAACTTCTCTGAGTGTCCTTTTGCCTGGTTTGTCATGAATCGTAGATGGAGTAACTGTGCCCCTTCACGGCCATGTCCGCTTGGCTGCCTATGCTAGGCCGGTCCCTCCGATGGTTCAAGATCTCCACACGCAGGTAGAGCTCAGATATAAGCCTTATCAATCTGCGAGACACTCGCTTGCATTCCTGCCCTGGGTCGACTCCTTCCTGTCCGTCTGGTTTTCCCTGTTGTCGAAGTACCATGGCCCCCCTCGATATCACGTTCGTCCCGTTCTCAACCCCACTACTATGTCGTTCTTTCGTTGACACTCGTGTATAGTATGGGCTGCCTTCTCATGGGCACGATCACGGCTGGGGTGTGAGTGTACATTGTCTCTGTGTACCCTGGCATAGGAGCTCATCGGCGTCCTACGTTGGCAATAGGTTGTGGGGTAGTGAGTGTGCCAGCTCACGCGCGAGGGCAACGAAGGCTGACCGTTGAACATTGCTCAGTATCCTGCTCGCAGCTGTTCTACTACTACACCCGCTATCACAAGGACCCGCTAAGCCTGAAGCTCCTCGTACGTTCATACAGCCCCAACTCCTCCTTTATGTCCTCGAGCCTGAGCATGCACGTATAGGTGGGTACCGTGTTCGTCTCTGATTCGGTACATCAGGTGAGTCGTATGTCCGAAGTCATGCATCTCATGCGCTTACCCTCATGCCGTTGCCGATAGGCGGTGATCATCCAGAGTGGTAAGGGTGTCTATCTTTCGCGAGCAATCCATTGTTTTGTAATGTTGTTGTAGTCTACGCCTACTTGGTCACGGACTACGGCGACCCGACTAAATTGATGCATCCCAACACGTAAGAGTTTCTCGAAGCCATTTAAAAGGCGTTTCACACTTCTCACACTCACACGCGGCTTCCAGTGGACTCATTATTCAAGTCTTCTTCACCGTACGTCTCTCAGATCTGGTCTACTGAATGTTAGATTGACGGAAGCGTCGCCCAGGCCCTCACTGGACTGCTTGTACAGAGCTTCTTTGTCCTTCGTATATGGCGATTGAGCAACAAGAGAACTTATCTCGTAATCCCCGTGGTATGCGTCTCGCTTGCAACGTAGGGTCGCGTGTGTGTACCCTTACTGTTCACTGCTAGATCTTTCTGGTGCTCGCGGAGTTTTCTGTCTCCGTAGGTGAGTGCACCACCCAGTCGGTACTAGAAAACGAGATGCTCACCGTCTCTTGGCAGCGTATGCGGTCAAGGCGTAAGCATGTCCCATTTTTGTGCATGTCAGACGACTCACATGCGCGATGCAGTTTCTTCCTTCCAAGCTTCCTTCATGTCAACAGGATACGCGGCCTGTCGATATGCATGAACGCATTTGCAGCTGCGGGGGACGTCGCTATCGCGGGCTGTCTTTGTACTATTTTGCACTTATCCAGGACGGAGTTTTCCAAGTCGAACGCACTCATTAACAAATTGGTGAGATTCCTCGTGTTTGACAGTGGTGTATCACCTCATGGTTATGGAATTGTTCGTAGATGGTGTTCGCGGTCAATACCGGGTTGTTGACGAGGTGATGGAGGTGCGATAGAAGCGATAGATTGCCGCTGACGCCTCTTCAGCATTTGTGCGGTCACTTCTTTAATCACATTCTTTGCCGTGCCGAATTCGTTCGTTTACATCACGTTCTACTACCTCATCGGTCGTCGTGAGTATTTTACAAACTGACAATGATTCATGGGTCTGAATCCCCGATTCGTCAGTGTACAACAACTCCCTGCTAGCGACACTGAATGCCCGTAGAAGTCTCCGAGAGGGCACATCGAGCGGAGATATTTCGTTGTCGCTCAGGGATGGGCAGGCTCATAGTCCTGCCAGTGCCTACCCGGTAGGTCCACATCCAGTCCGCTCGAGGATCGCTCTTGTTGAACGGAAATCAGGTTCCGCATTCGCAGCGCGGCCAGAATGGTATCACGGTCCGAATCGACACGAGGAAGGATACTCAGCATGACTACGCAGCGGAGGTGAGTTGCATGACGAGACCGCGAAATGTACATCGTCGAATATACAAGCTGACATGCCTTGAGTAGTACGAGATGTCGCCCAGCAAGCATCCCTTAGATTCCGTATAGTGTCTTGCCTCCAGCGGCTGGGATCGCATAGGCACACTGCCATAGTAGTAGACATCATATCGTGCTATGCATCTAATTTCCTCTCGCGCTCACCGCCGCGTGTCAGTTTTGGTGTGGAATCAAGCGTGTTGGGAAATTTTGTATGACTGGCAGTCCTGAAATTCAGTGTCCCCTGAACGCTTTCAGCATGATCCACTCTCGGATGTCTTGTAGTACTTTCGAGCTTCGTCGTCCGTGGGCCGTGGCCCGGATTTGCAACTCGGTATTAGGGGCAAAACTGGCAAGAGGAACACAGCAATACAATTTCTTGAAATGGAAACACAGCAGGACTCATGTCGTGAACCCGGGGTGCGGACGTGGACAGATAATGACAAGTTAGAGGCAAAAGGCAGGAGGTTCAAAGCAACTTGGAATTTGCTGGGGTGGAAACTCCGGCAATTGTCACGGTCCTGCGGGGGTGTCGGCAAAGACGGCCCGAGGATGGACTCCGGGGAAGCCGTGCCAAACACGGCCAAAGGACGCGTGTGGCGACGCGTCCGCGAGACGCGTCTCGGTCGCGTCCACCTCCTGCTTCCGTACCCTCTCCATCGCCATGGCCGTCATCGACCCCATGTGAGTCGCTCTCTACGACCTGGGGCCCTTCCTACTCACGCTCATTTCTGCACAGACCGACGCCATCTGTACCTCTCACGCGTCCGTCCACCACAGTAGTCACTCCGCCGGACAGCGCGTCCTTCCTCATTGGCTCCAATGACAAATCCTACAGGCACCAATACTCCAATATCTACTTCGTCAGATTACGCGCCCTAAGACAACATGTGGAGCAGCAGGCGCAGCGGAAATGGAGCGGAGTCGCAGGTATGTCTATCTGTCTGCGGCACAGTCTCAGTCGATTTATTTCCCACTGGGCAGGTAACCCTGTATTCGTGCCCCGTGTTCTTGACGTTGAGAAAGGGAAGCTATGCTTTGTCATTGGCACGGTATACATGGAGATGCCGCTGAAGCCGAACGTCCTCGAAGACATCGCCCGAGACGTGCGTGCGAAGCCTTGTATGTCCAATACTTGACCACTCAGTATAACCATGCAACACTCAGCGTTCCATTCCCGCTCCTCCTCCTCGAGAGAAGTACTACTCTGATAGCGATAGCGTAACACTGGAAGACGAGTCCGGCCGCATATGTCTTGTGGGAAGCCGCGTTACTTCAACTTGCCTCGTAACCGGCGTAATCCTCGGTGCTCTTGGAATCGAGACCCACACTGGTGACTTCGAGGTTGTGGACCTATGCTATCCCGGCATGGCTCCTCAACCCACTGCTGGACTGGAGTGGCCAAGTTGGAAGGTCAGCGATGAAATTATGGATGTTGATGGTGAGTGCCTGTTGGCTACATCCTAGATATGCGCAATGTCCTGAATACTGCCCTGTCAGGTACCGCACCTCAAGTCTCTGATGAATGCATAGCCTTGGTCTCTGGCCTTGAGATCGGCTCCCTGGACGCCGCTGACGGCCAGCTCCAATTATTAGCAGAATACCTGACGGGAGAAGCCGGCGGCTTAGGGGAACAATCTCAGTCGTCATGCATATCTCGACTAATCATTGCCGGTAACTCCTTTGCTCCAATAGACACGTCCAAGGGAGAATCCGAAAGGAGATCAGTACGTGCCTGTATGTGGCTTTTCATGCATGCTTTGACGCGCCGTGGTCCAGCGAAAATACGGCCAAGAGGTCCCTTTCAGCCCACATCCAACTCAGGCTCTCTCGGCATACTTGACTGACATTTGCCGCTCACTGTCTGTTCACCTTCTCCCTGGACCATTGGACCCTGCAGCCACCATACTCCCCCAACAACCTATCCCCCGCGCCATGTTTGGTGGAGCCTCCCACTATGCCAACTTCTCCAGCGAGTCAAACCCCACCTACATCAACGTTTCTCCTTCCCGCGAGCCCCCATCAACATCGCGTACTAGTCAACCCGGGGCCTCCTCCTCAAAAGCCAACGGGCATGTAGAAAAAGTTGACGCCGTCCGGTCCATACTCGTGCACTCCGGCCAGCCTCTAGACGACATGTTCAAATACGTGCCCACACCGCCCATCACACGGATGGCGCTAGCGGAAGCCACGCTCCGATGGCGCCACATCGCGCCCACCGCCCCGGATACGCTCTGGTGCCACCCATACTTCGCGAAGGACCCGTTCGTGATCCCGGAGACACCAGACATCTATGTGGTCGGGAACCAGCCTGCGTTCGCGACCAAGCTCGTGTCCGACGACGGGAGCGCGGATGGAGAGGAGGGCTCTCCGAAGAGATGTCGGATTGTGCTCGTGCCGAATTTTCGGCAGTCAGGCGTGCTTGTGCTTGTGAACATGCGGACGTTGGACGTGCGGAGGGTGCAGTTCGCGATGCAGGGAATGAGCGCTGGCGGGGGGGAAACGTGACTGACAGGCGTGGTAGAGAATGTCGTTAGTTGTGTGAGTGCATGTACGCTTTTGGGGTACAGGTCCGCCGAGGGCTTACGGCTGCTGCTGCGCAAGTGCTGTGGTCAGTCATGGCTGCTGTAACCCTGACTTGCGTTCCTAGCAGATTGAGCATATGCCGGAATCGCAGATTCCGGGCTATTTGTGTCCATAATTGCGTTGGTCCGACGACGGCGGTGATATAACGAGGTTAGACGGTTGTGCAGGGCGTTTGCCAGACGACGGCGGCTATGTGCCGAGCCTCTTGCACCATACTTCCAAGATGATATTTCGGAATGGTTGCTTCGTCTAATCGATGCTTCCCTCGAGTACAGCTTGAACAGCCCGAGCCCCGCTTCTTTTGCTTGTCTCAGAGTGGAGAACGGCTCCCCGCTGCGGGGAGTCTAAGATCCTAAGGACATATGTTATCTGTCTGCAGCACTTGGCACAGGCCAAGTACTACAGGGACTAAGTACAGGGATAACGGAAATCTCTTGTATAACCCAGTTCGGACAGAATCAAAGGATTCAAGACGGACGGCATTGAGAGACTTCAAGGCTTGTCGCACTTGCCCAATCCCTCGGACTGTGTGGTGTCCCTTGTTTGACGCAAAGCGTCGTCGTGTGTATAGATCTACGCGATTGCTCCGTTAGTGCCCTTGCCCGGTGTGATGTTCCCGAAAGGGCGGATACGGCTGAGAGTCAACCGCCCTTAAGTGCGCTCACGGGTTCGGACGGTAGGTGATTTACAGGTGTTGCAGTGGTCTCAATCAATTTCCAGCGGTCCTTCTCACTTCGGACTAGCAAATATTTATGTATGTCCGGGGTTTCAAGTTGTTGCGGCTCAGGTGGCTACTGGCGTGGGATGCGTATGATCGTGATGCTACGGGTAGCCCAGACATCCATTTGAAGAAGCAGGTTATTTTGCTCTTCACACAGAGGGGGCGTCATAAGCACAATGTCAACATCGGTGTAAACCTTGGCGTTGATACAGCATCCTGCAAAAGCATCGTGAACGGTAAGGGGAGGAAGGTCATGGTGACCTTTCCTCACATACTACCTTCCTTTTCTAAGAAATCGCGTCCTAGCGAAGGATAACACGCTTGCATCCGCTTTGCCGTCCATAACCACCTCACCGAAGGACGGGGCGAGTGTTCTTGAAGACCTGCCTAACCAGGTGGAGGCCGACGTTCGCACTTTCGATAGGCGCCTTTCAATGCCGTAGCCGACAAGTTCGCTTCGGACGCCCACAGAGCACATCTCTTCCTTGAATCGTCACATCCAGTGCTCAGCGGATCCTTGGCATACCTATCTGTCTTCCGTTATGGCGGAGAGCTCGCATGTGCCTCAGCCAGACTTGCGATTGGCGCTTATCTGCATAGTTCACATTACGTGCCGGTTCCCTCGTCAGCGGCGGGCCGCAGCGAAAATAAGCCTGGGTGAGTGCGCCCTCGTTAGGCTCAGACGATCGTCTAGTCGTTGGTGGGAGTCTCGAGGTAGGTACCTTCCTTCCCACGACTCAGTTGGCGGGCTCACTCGGTGCAGATCAGAAACCCTTCGAGATATCGGCATTGCGTGCGCATGCTCAACAGTGACCTTCCCGACGAACAGCACCAACTTTCAGTGAGCCGACCTATCCATCATCCATGATCCTGCGTGCGAAGTAGCCACCCACGAACAGAAGGCGTCGCTCAGCGATGACCTGGTCGAGAAGACAAAAGCCGTGGTACCCCTGGGCCCTTACTCCTGCCGGTTGCGTACAATAAGAATAGACATTTGGGATTCATCTCGCTAACCCCTAGATACTTCCTTTCGATACCTAGTTGACAACGGCATGAAATAGTTGCTGGTCGTGTTGAACCTACATCGTACTTTCTGTGTCCCCGTGCTTGCTCAGGCACGTTCATCGATGGGGAACACCGCCGCTGCGGATGTGTTCTATTTGACCTGCTGACATAGTATCACACAGACAGGAGAAGGAGAACTACTGGCACACGGTTCCACGCTGTCGCCACCCTGGAGGCGCGGTGTCATAGTGTGCTGCGGGCGGATATCTCGGCTAATAGTAGCTCGCTCGGGCTGCCACCATTGAGTTACCTCAGCGTCGATTATCCTGCCGGGATGACTCCCGGAAGTTTCAGCAGCTTGGATTGCCCAGTCGCAGCAGCGGAACTCCGGCATTCCTGATGTCGGTTGCATAATAGCGCTCCCCGGGATCGAAGGCGTGGTCCAGGGAAGGTGTCTCAACTGTGCTGCGGGGTTTGTTGTGTCCTGATCTTCCAAAGATGGCAAGTATCCAAGAAGCGTCCACCCCTTCCTCGCTGGATTCCTCGGACGCATGGCATGGCACTCGGATCTAAATGGACACGGTCGATTCGGCGTCGTTGAGACGTGGACCCGCTTCTAGGGGTCAAGCATCGGTGAGTCATTTAGACGCCCGTGCATGCACACCTCTGACTGCGTGCTCACCGTTATTGACGTTTCCTCCATGACCGCTGCCGTATCGGGGAGGGTTTAGTGTGCATATTGTACTCACGACACGATCGAAGGTGCGGGAGTGGGTCAGCCTTCCGCAGACTGTTCGTCGGTCTATGTCCCGTGCCCAAAGCGCGAGAAATTTCTCACTGTGAGACACTATTCGCGACGGGAACACAGCCTATCTCGGTCCACAAGGGAACTCGAAGGCCCGGCAGGGACCAAATGAAACACGGCGCCAGCAACTTGTGCGAAGATGGCATGGCATCTTTCGTCGCTAATTACAGTGCTTCGGGACCCATTCCCGCGTCGCGGTTGTGATTGGACGGACTGACCTGCTAGGAACTGGTCTGCTCCACCTTCGTCGGACATCCTTTCTACCGTACTCACGCATTCTGCATGCCAGGATCCACACACCGCAGCTGCGCAGTCCAGCTATGAAAGCGCGGGAATACAGATTGCAACACCTCTGTATTGGGTATGTCGGTATAAAGTCTCAAGTTCCCTCGCTACCCTTCCTCAGCCATTGCCTCCGGGTTGCTATTCAAAGGCAAGCTACGCCTGAACATCTCTCCTCACCTACTTTCCTTCACGCCCACCCCACCCGCCAAGATGTTCAAGGCCGTCGCTCTCGCCCTCCTGCCGCTCCTCGCGGTGGCATCGCCCAACCCGCAGATCTACGGTGCCCCCCCTCCCGGCCCTGCGACCACATCATCCGCTGCCGCTGCAGCTCCATCTGCACCCCCCAGCACGGCGGGCCAGATCAACGTCAGTACCTCAGCGACAGTGTTGGAGAATTATGCTGATAAAATGCGATGTAGATTGACGTTGGTGCTGGTGGTAACTTCGTCTTCAGCCCGGCGAACGTAACTGCGTCCAATGGCACCTTGATCACTTTCTTCTTCCCGGGGTCAGTTCTGCTAGTTTCTTTCTGTCGGCCTTTGACTGAAGACAATTTACAGCGGTGCCATCCCGCACTCCGTTACTCAGGGTGACTTCAACAACCCCTGCCAACCGATTGCGTCCGTAAACGGCCAGAACGGCTTCGATTCCGGCCTCCAAATGACCGGTGTCCAGTTCACGCTGAACGTCACCAACGACCAAGAGCGTGAGTAACGTCCCGCCCGTGCCGTATACGTGAAACCACATGAAACGTCAACTAATTGCGCGTCTGCTGCCCAGCCATTTACTTCTTCTGCAAGTCTCCCACCCACTGCGGTCTTGGCATGGTCGGGTACGTATACCTACCTCTACATTCATTACATAACAGCGTCCGGAAAACTAATCGTACCTGCGCTGTCTTGTCAGATCCATCAACGCGCCCTCCTCCGGCAACACATTCGACGCCTGGCAGGCTGCTGCCGTTAAGATCGGGTCGTCAGAACAGACGCTCCAGGACAATGGCCCCGTCACCGGTGGCATTGGTGCTATCGCCACCGCCGCCCCCGCGGCGACCGCGACTTCAGCGAGAGGATCGAGCGGGTCGTCGGGTAGCTCGGGTGCCCTCCAGATGAGCGCTTCGGGTGCGCTCGCTGTGCTCCTCGGCGTTCTTAGCGGCGCGATGATGCTGTTTGCGTGAGAGAGAGACGCTATAAAATATCTTCTAATGCCTACAAGTCTTGGTTAGACATGACTCCTACTACGTTCTGACACGACCTTGTAATACCTTGGACCTGTGGATGGCATTGCCTCGTAGAGTCGGGGTGGTATGTGCTTTTTTGTATGCGTTGATTCAATTGCATCAATCCTTATACCCACCGTTGGGTGACTACTATTGGGTGCTTGGATGTGTCGTTTGTCGACAAGGGCTCGATACAGTCGTCATTTCTGCGTGAGATTCCCACCGCGCTCGAGATGATACGACCCGCTGGATTCATCCCATGAAGCTGCAGCCTTACAGGCATGCAGTAGGTACTAGGATCAACTGGCCCCGTTCAACCAGAAGCGCGCACGCGGCTAAGTCGGCCTGAGCTGCCTTGTTGGGATAGCTAATGGGCGTCTACTAGGCTCTGGCCGCGCTCTGGACTTGTCTTGATTCTTGAACGCCGAGCTCATGCTCCCTGCTCCGTTGCTTGTTTCCTTGCTGTCTTGCAACCTCCTTCGATCTGTGCCACAAGGTCACTATGGGTGGACCCAACCTTGAAGTCTTCAAGTTCTCCGTCTATGTCTTCTTCCCAGTCTTGATGCTTCTCCACTATGGCAATCCGGAGTGGTATGCGAAGAACGTCCTTCCGGTATGTGTCATCACCTCCCTGAGCTTTATACAAGGCGGCGTTGACCTGTTGTCTCAGTACAAGGACAAAATATTTCCGCCTGAAGACAGGCTAATTACTGTATGTTCATCGTTTCGCTTTACCAGAGCTACATAGGCTCAAGCCTGCTTCATAGAACATACCTACCGATTCTACGACACTCAAAGAGGAGCTTGCTAAGATTCGGGCAAGAAACATGGAGAGGAGGGCGCAAAGGGAGGCGGAAGCGAGGGCTACAGCAGCCGCTGAACGCGCAGAGGCAGAAAATAAGTCGAGCCGGAGTTGGTGGCCATGGTGTGAGTCTTGGATCTGCATATCCAGTAGCCCCGGAACGCTCATGGGTTCGACTCAGCATAAAATTTGACATTACACCCGTCCATCTCCAATACTCGCTTCTGCACTGTATTCGTACACTAATGCGCATCCCACCGCTCTTCAATCTACCTTGGTATGGAGAAGGTTTCTCCGTTGTGTGCGACGTCCCATTCCTTAGCTGCTGCTATCTCGGACGCCACGATGTTCTTATATTCCTCCAAGTCAGCCAACGAGATCTTGAAGCCGCCGCATACGATGAACACTACCGTTGTCCTCTTCTCAGATTCCGGAACCAACTTTCGGAAAAGGGTCGGCTTGTAAGCTGGGGCGAGGGTTGTAGCACATGCTAGTTCTGCCAGGATCTTGTGGTCCTCTGCAGATGAGTGATATATCAATGGCGCAACCTTTTGCCGCCAGTCTTCCAATAGTCTTACCAGCGAAGTATAGCGCGGCCTGCATTGCCATTTCGTCAGGAAGGCAAACGCTCTTGATGCCTCCCCTTCTCTCCAGCGCTTTCTTGACGATTGTTGCTGAAGGAGAAGATGCATTCAAGGAAGATGCACGCGAGGTGAGATTTGCTAGGTGGGCCAGTGTCACGTTGTGCTCCCTGCAGTATTCGGCCCTGGTCCCTTCCGGTGTAAGCCTTGACGACACGTCGCCGGAGAACGGGCCCTCGTTCAGGGACAGAGATTGGTAGAAGCAATTCGAACCGTGAGTCTCCACGGTTACGAGAGGAACTGTGCGCATAGTTCAGACGGTGCCCCCCTTCGCATACTGCGGGAGGCTCACCGTCATCCCACCCGACGGCTGAACAGCCTTCTATGACCCCTCCGGCGAGACCACCTCCGCCCACGCTGCAGAAAATCGCGTCGGGCCTGACGCCTTCGGGAAGCTGGCTATGAATCTCGTGTACCATGCTCGCGTGGCCCTCCCATATGAGGGGATCGTCGTACGCAGGGATCATGACCCTGTCGGTGTGTCATCGGTAAGTTCGCAGCTACATTTCCGCACCTCCAACTACTCACGCCTTAGCTTCTGCCGCCACGGCGGCCTGCGCCCGCTGCAGAGCTTGTAGGTAGTAATCGCCCCCAATCTCAACTTCCGCTCCCTCCTTGCGTATGAAATCGATGGTCGGCTGGCTTAGGCCACCATGAGGAAGGAACACGGTGCACCGGAGCCGAAGGACATTAGCTGCACAGGCTGCGGCAAGGCCGGCATTTCCGCCCGATGCAATGATGAGGTGAGTATCGGGCCCATGGGTGCGGTAGGCGTGCTGCGCGAAATGGGAGATGCCTCGGTATTTGAACGACTGGGACGGGTGCAGGTTCTAGGGGTATCACCGGTGTTAAGACCATAACGAATGTTCGGTGACCCCGATGGCAAAGGGAAGAGTGCGTCTTACTTCTAGCTTGAGGTACGCATCACATCCGAGAAGCGATGAGATGTGGATAGAGCGGATAAGAGGAGTCTCTTGCCAGAGTTTGTCGGTGTATGCCATCTCCAAGCACTGTGTGGGATGAACTTCGTCTTCTATGGGGGCTTCAGCGATCCTCCAGAATGAATTAATTTGCTTTCCTGAGTGTATTTATGCTGTTTATGAGTCACATACGATGTTCGGTTGATCAGCGAAGGACGGCGAATTGTTGGATGATCGATGGCGTGCATGCGCGCGCGTTAGACGCGCGAAATAGGGGATGCGGTAACTGCAATAGTGATGATTGGACAATGAGTACGCCCAGGACTATCCACTATAGTTCTATTTGTACGCCAATACGGTAGTAGCATAGTGTGACCGTCCACCTCATCGTGGTACGATGAAGGTACAGGTCTACCTGTGTGACACCTGATCTGCCAGTTGTTCCCTACCCGTACCCGGACGGGTGTGTACTATCCGAGTTAATCGGGAACGGGTTTGCTCCGGTACGGGTACATAGTCGGGAAATAGAGGCACGTACCTATGACTCAAGAAAATGTAGAGCTGAACGGGTGTAACACGACCAGTGCACCACGCCCGCTCTTCGCATAGCTGGTCCATCACATCATGCCCCTCCGTGGCAAGTGCGCCCCGACGTCAACGGCGCCCGCTCCCTACATACGACCTCCCTCGACATCGACACCTCCGTCCCTACCGCTGAGCCCGTAAACTCCCCGAATTCCCCACACCACATAGCCGTGTCTGACTCTCTGAAGAGATGAATTTCAAGCTTGACCTGCAGTACATTGCCGAGATTTCGAGACTGGGTGCATTGCAAGCCTCTTGCGATTGTCAGCCGAGGGAGGCAGCAGTAAAAGCGCTTACGCTCACCTTGGACAGCCTCCTGGACCCGGGGGTGAAGCTCGACTACCTCGATCTCGAGCATCAGGAGCATAATGGTACGGCGTGTGAACAGTGGTCACATTGAGGAAGAGGAAGGAACATGTCGTGTTTGCGCTGTGGACCCGGACCGAAGTCGGTACCTACTCAACAACCTGTTCTACCTGTACGCAACATCGGGTACATGAGTACCCGCCCACAGGTACGAATTTCACTCTGGTCCACCTTCTGCTGACCCGTACCTGTGCCCGTGGCGGGTATACCGACCCGTGTCTTTCCCTAGACCGTCTCCCCGTTACATGCGACAGTCCATTCCTTGCTGGCTGCTACTTCGGAGGCAATTATTCCTTTGTACTCCTCCATATCGGCCAACGAGATCTTGGAGCCACCGCACACGACAAACACCACCGTCGTTCGCTTGCCGGTTCCAGGAACGAGTTTGCGGAATAAAGGAGGATTGTAAGCTGGCGAGAGCGCTGCAGCACAGGCGAGCTCCACCAACATCTTGTGGTCCTCTATAATCCAGAGCGGGTAGCGGAGCGATTATATGACGAAACGTGAGGTCTTCTCCCATTCCGAGAAGTTTTCATGAGGACTCACCAGCAAAGGACAAGGCGGTTTGCATCGTCATCTCGTCGGGAACGCAGAAGCTCCTAACGTCTCCGCTTCTATCGAGCGCTTTCCTCACAACCGCACCCGAAGGGTAGATTGCTCCTAGGGAAGTCGCCCGGGAGGTCAGTTTAGACAGGTGAGCTAGTGTTACATTGTGCTCCTCGCTGTATTTGGCGCTAATGCCTTCCGGTAGAATCCTTGATGACACGCTACCAGAGAAAGGTAGAAGCAATTTGAGCCATGCGTCTCCGCAGTTACGAGAGGAACTGATGCATGGAACAAGGTGAGATCGAATCTGAAAATACCAGGGGCTTACTTGCCGTCATCCCATCCGACGGCTTTGCAGCCTTCTATGATCCCACCTGCAAGTCCACCCCCACCTACGCTGCAGAAGATAGCGTCCGGTTTCACGCCGTCCGGAAGCTGATGTCTCATCTCGTACACCATGCTCGCGTGCCCTTCCCACACCAGAGGGTGGTCGTATCCGGGGACCATCACACTGTCGTAACATTGATTCCGAGTTCAGGCCAGCGCGCAATAACTATTGGGATCACTTACGCTTTCGCTTCCGCCGCGACGGCCGCCTGCGCCCGCTGCAAGGCATGGTGGTAATATTGGCCGCCAATGTCGATCTTTGCTCCCTCTTTACGCATGAAGTCGATCGTCGCCTGACTTACGCCATAGGGCAGGAACACCGTGCACATCAAATGCAGGATGTTGGCAGCACAAGCTGCGGCGATGCCCGCGTTCCCGCTTGAAGCGATCACAAGGTGTGCGTCAGGTCCATGGATCCGAAGGACGTGTTGGGCAAAGTGGGAGACCCCTCGATATTTGAAGGACTGGGACGGCTGCAGGTTCTGAAGGGGTTGTCAGCCAAGACGGTGTCATGTTCGTCGTCGGAATGAGAAGTAGAGAAGTGAAACGCCTCACTTCCAGCTTCAGGTATGCATCGCATCCGAGGAGCGAGGAAATGTGGATGGAACGGATTAGGGGGGTCTCCTGCCAGAGCTTGTCAGGGTAGGCCATTGTGTCAGGTATGCTGTCCCTGCATCACCTCCGTAGTATCTGTACCATCCTGCGCCTCAAGATCGAGTCACATCTATGGAACGCGTAAGATACCGGCAGGTGAGTAGTGCCCAATTCTTGTCGGCCGTTCATTTCGCCGCGCGCTTACCTGTGAGGTTCAAGCTCAGATCAAGCGCCCGACACCTGTACTCAGCACAGCGGCACCCCTGATAGCTCAGAAACCAGTCTAAACGGTACGAGTCAAAGAGTTTGCCTGCTCTGCGCTTGGTTTATACAGTACGGCAGGAAAACAGTGGACTCGGGCTTTTCTCTTTTCTACTATCCCGACTGACATGAGCCCCGCAGACACCTCCACAAACAACCTGGCGTATATCACCGCCTCGACCCGTCCAGCCCGGCTGCAGTCCCCAATCAGCCCTCGACCACGGCCGAAGGGCCGAGGGCTGGTTGGAAATTTGCGCACGACTTGGACATAACCTCGGTAACAGACCCCAAACCAATGGGGCCGGCGAGCGGCGCCACGGCTAGTATACTTCGCAAAGCGACCACGAGCTTAGAGCTAGCGTCAACCATCCAAGTCGCTGGAACAGGGTGGCGAGGAGGGTACTCACCGAATGCACCCCTCTAGGCGCTGCCGCGACGTCTCGCGGCATCTAGGCTCCATGCGGGGAGCGATGAACACTGTTGCTCGAGGACGCCATGGACGCTTCTTCATGCCGTCCTGGCAAGCTGCCGTGGACGTGCATATATGGCGCCGTACGTGCCGTTTCGCTGCCGAATTGACCCTCTGCAGCTGCGGTCAGCTCACTAGCCGAACGCGAGGCGATGCAGGCCTCACCTGAGTGTCCCTCCCCCTGGAAGGTCAACGTTTCGAGGGCGTGTAGGCGAGGTTCTCCGTTCAGGCTGGCCGGGAGTCGACGGCGGAAATTCCGGAGCAAGTTGTTGTGATAAAGGAGGTGAAAGCGAGCTCGAAGGCGGGCTGGGACCGCCGGGCATGAATGCCCCGTCCCCGGTTCGATAGCGAGTCGGGAGGACGAGTCGGATGGAACAGGAACAGAGGCATGGGAGACTATGGTGGATGTTGCTGAGACTAAGAGATTGCTAGGCAGACGAAGAGATATTGCGCGTTCATATATGAATGCTGGTGGTCAACGCCAGGATGGTATGCTTGGTGGGGAGGCTCGGTGGCGGTTCGTGATGAGGAGTGCTGGCCGTTCTGCACTACCCATTATACCCCTGCGCACGGTGGCTGGCGAAACGCTGCTCGGTTCATGACGAATGTCATCCACCATCCCGATCACCGGCAGACTCTGAGCTGCCGGACAGTTCTTCATGTGCATCGTGCCTCATCAGGAAGGTGATATGGCAGGGTTCCTCGCGATCACATTCCGACGGTCTCAGTAAAGTGTTTTCTGTATATCCAAGTACAACGATGCAAGGACACATCCGATGCTTATGGACTACTCGTTCTGCGTGATCCCCGAATCTCCCAGTTGCGAATCTCCAACAGGAATCTTGTAGTGACTGCAGTATTGCGGGAGTTCGCCTGCTTTAGCCTTTGAAGGATAGACTCGAGGAGCGTTCGCGACCCCCGGTACGCCCGTAATGCCCTCCCAGCGAAGGGGGACTAGCCATGGCTTGCCTGAGGAGACAATACAACAGAGCTCCAGTCATTCAAGAGTACGTCTCACGGATATGCCAATCGTAATCTTACCCCAGAGTTCCGAGGTAGAGAAGGGGAAGCAGTCGCCATCGTCTTCGTAGGCCGAAGGGGCCGACCAGACGAGGGGGAGCCACCGCCCAAGTCCGTCAGCCCCACCTGGTATACAACCCCAAGACTCCGGCGGCTCGGAAGTGCTAGAGGAGATACGCCAGGGACCACGAAGAACGATTTTGGTGGCAACTGTATCACTTGCTACGGCTGGCCAATGGCTGGCGTGGGTCCTGACGCTGCGTACCGTCGACAGTATCAGGTAAGGAATCAGGGCGAGGTGGTAAGGCATTACTTACAATACCTCCAGTGACGGTCGTGCGTTGTGCTCTTCCTCGCCCCAAGAGTAGCGAAGTGGGAGGATGAGGTGCAGACTATGATTCATGCTGGTGAACGATGCTGGTCGCTTTTGGTTTTACGGGCGGAGGACAGAAATCGCGTTAGAGATGCACAAGAACGAGACGGCACCGGAGAAAACATACCAAACGAGCATCTAGTACCAGGGGAGGAAGAAGACGGCAGAAGAGATGTATGATGCGTACATTGATGATACGTGTAGAGTGATCCCGTAGACAACTTATGCAGGCATGAGGGGGGAAGATAAGAAGATGATGAGGGTTCAGAGTGAAGAGGGGTCACCGCATGATGGAACCTTTTATATTGTTCGGAGGATATGCTAACGGAATATCCCTGCGGCTGGCAGTCATGCTGGCGGACTACTCTTCACGAATGTCAACTTGTCAGCCTCGTGAAGGTAGTTCTAGATCGGCACGCAGGGGGGACTAACAAGGTGTGTCTGCGATCGTTCCCCTCCTGTCTTGAAGAGCCGAGGTGTGGCAGGTGCACCGCATCCCATGTGATTCTGTGGGAGATGTGAGACAGGCGTTTCCTGAATCGCGCACACTGCCTGGTACGAGTGCTAAGCCCGCCAGAGCCAAAGCCGTTGTGGACGTGCAACGACATCTCTGCCACCCGTAATCACGTCACAAGAACGACGACCGGATGCAAAGCGACGTAGCTTTGATGTGCAATACCGTCCATCTAATATCGCAGTCATTACATGTCATTACAGGATCCCTTATGATATATATGTATCTACTACTTAGCGTCTTCTAGTCGACCTTCATCTTGGAGGGCGGAGAGATAAAAGTCGCCTACGAACAGTCAACAGTTAACTTCTTGGCTGACGAACGACGAAGATACACGAAAACGCACAGTGACGAACTTCAGCACCTCGTCGATGAGTAACACAGGGGCACTGAGGTATAATACAGCCTTCCACTCTGTCCAGTTCAATGGGGTAATGGCGAAGAGGGACTACGCGATACTCCATTAGCTTGAAACTCGGAAAGCATGCGAGGAAGAACACTTACCGTGAAGAAGGGAATATACAAGATCGCGACGTGCAGAGCCATGCTCAGCGCAATGGCCCCGACAAGGAAGGGGTTCTTCCAGATCGGTAGTCGTAGCAAGCTCTCGTTCTCGGAGAGCGAGTTCATCGCGTTGAACATCTCAACAGTGACGAGGATGGACAACGACATCGTCGTCGCCCGCTTCGCCATCTCGTTCGCAAACATCTCGCAGCCAATTTCTGGGAAGAGGCTTGAGCACTGATGGAAGTGCGTCTGTACCAATATGACCGCATGTCAGCGGGAGCAAAGTAGCGGTAAGCAGGAAGAGAAACATACGAGCTGGTAGAAAGAGATCTGGGGACCGCCGGAATAGAAGACGAACCACCATGCGTATCCAGCAACGGTCGCGACGCCAACGTAGATGCCGATGACCATATACCTAAAGAACAGCCACTTGCCGACGATGGGCTCGCGGCTGTCCCGAGGGGGAACACGCATGATGCTGTGGTCGGGAGGGTTGAAACCCAGGGCAGTCGCCGGCAGACTGTCCGTGACAAGGTTGACCCAAAGGAGCTGCACTGGGATCAATGCCTCCGGCATGCCGAGGAGCACGGTCAAGAAGATGCTGACAACCTCTCCGATGTTCGACGAAACTGGTGCACGGACGGATCGTAATCAGTCGCCGACCAGCTGCGAAAATGTCACTACGGAAAGCGGACGCACTCAGGTAGCGGATGAACTGCTTGGTGTTGTTGTAGATTAAGCGGCCCTCCTCCACGGCCTGCTCGATGGTCGCAAAGTTCGAATCGGTAAGGACCATGTCGGCAGCAAGCTTCGCGACGTCCGTGCCGCTCCCCATTGCAACGCCAATGTCTGCCTTCTTGAGCGCAGGCGCATCGTTCACGCCATCTCCAGTCTATACGTCGATCATGCAGTGAGCAATCACGCAAACGAGTCATAAGGAAGAGGGCGTATGGAAGGCGCCCTACGTACCATCGCGACGACGAGTCCCTGGCTTTGCAGAAGGTCGACAAGCTGGCTCTTGTGGCTCGGCTCCGTACGGCTGAACAAGCTCGCCCGCATGACCGCCTTGAGCTTCTCCTCGGGGCTGAGCTCGTCGAGCTCGCGCCCGGTGTACGACTTGCTCGTGAGGTCCTCGTGCTCGCCAAAGATCCCAATCTGCCTGCAAATCGTTTCCGCGGTTCCCTTGTTGTCGCCGGTGATGCAGATTACACGGATGCCTGCGGCCTGACACTTCGCGACGGCTTCACGGACCTCAGGGCGGGGCGGGTCGAGCATGCCGACGAGCGAGACGAACGTGAGGTCCTTCTCGAAGCGCGAGTATTCGGCGGTCGTCTCAGCCTTGTAGTCCGCGAGGTCAGTGGAGACGTTGTCGGCATAGGCGAGAGCCAGAGTGCGGAGTCCTTGGCTACCATAGGAGATGGTGCTGCGAAGGAGAGCGTCGCGGAGCTGAGGAATGAGGGGAATAGTACGGCCGTTCACGAGGACGGAGGTGCAGCGCTCGAGTATAGACTCGGGCGCACCCTTCGCGTAGAGGACACCAGTACCATTCCTGCGAGCAAGGACGGACATCATCTTGCGGTCGCGTGAGAACTCGAACGTCATAAGGCGGGGGATCGTGCGCTCGAAGTATTCGTTGACTGCTCCAGCACGTGCAGCAGGAGCCAGATAGGGCAGGTTCTTCGCAACTTCGGGGTCGGGACAGGGGAGCTTCTCCGCCAAAACCTTCAATGCCGCCTCGGTGGGCTCACCAAGATTCGCATACGAGTTCTTCTCCTGCATGGAGGAACATGAGACCACGGAGTCGCTCGAGAAGCCGCTACACGTACCGCATTGTATATAATCTTGGATTCGTTACAGATGGCGCTGATCTCAGCCAGGCGCAACAGGGGCTCTGGGCGAACTTCAGCAGACGATTTGCCATCAGCAGGTGTAACCGACCCTTCAGGAGCGAAGGTAGTGCCCTCGACGAGGAATTCCCGGGGAGTACCAGAAATGTCGACTACGGTGAACTGAATGTGGAAGACATTGGTATCCGATGCAGAGACCAATTACGAGTACGTACCTTCGATACACTCATCTGGTTAGTAGTAAGAGTACCAGTCTTGTCTGAGCATATGACGTTTGTGCAGCCGAGTGTCTCTACACTAGGCAAGTTACGGACGATCGCGTTCTTCTGAGCCATCTTCTTTGTTCCTAGAGCAAGGCAGGCAGTGATGACAGCAGCAAGTCCCTCCGGGATAGCCGCCACGGCAAGAGCGACGGCAATCTTGAAGTAGTAGACGGCGCCCTTGAGAACGCCATGGTGCGTAGGGTCCCAGAAGTGACGGATGTTGACAAGCCAGACAAGGACGCAAATGACGGTGATGACCTTGGCAAGCATCTCACCAAAGTCGTCGAGCTTGCGCTTCAAGGGTGTCTTCTCGCTTATCTGCGACGTAATGGACTTGTGGATGTCGCCAATAGCTGTCTTCTGGCCAGTGAACACCACAACGGCTGTGCCCTTCCCGTTTACGACGGTGGTACCCTACACAAAGAAGGTTAGGAGTTAGATGCGACAGTCACGTATGACCCCTAAAAACTCACCGAGAAGAGTATGTTGGTCATGTCCTGCTTCACAGCCTTAGCGTCCGCAATCCTCTCAACGGTCTTGCTCACGCTGACGCTCTCCCCGGTCAAGATAGCCTGGTCAACACGAAGACTCGTGGAAGAGACAGAGAGCAGCCTGCAGTCAGCAGGAATCTTGTCGCCGACCGCGACCGAGACGATGTCCCCCGGAACAAGCTCGGTGGCATGAATACGCGTCCACTCTCCATCGCGTAAAACCTTCGCCTCGTCCGGAGAATATTCCTTCAAAGCCTGTGGAACCTGTGTGAGTATACCAGGCGTACTGCATGGGGTGACTGCACCAACGTCAATGGCCTTCTCCGCATTGGTTTCCTGAATCACACCAACGGTCGCATTGGCGACAAGAATGAGCAGAATGACGAGGGGCTCGACGAATGCGCTCCACCAGCTTGACCCATCCGATTCCTCGAACAACGCAAGAACAAACGAGACAACCGCTGATGCGAGAAGTATGAGTACTAGCTGGTCCTTGAATTGTTCGAGAATGAGCTCCCAGAGGGGTGTTGGCGGGTCCTCCGGCAATTCTAACGCAATGTTAGGATTCATACATGATGGTACAAGGATAGATAGCGTACGTACCATTTTTGCCGTAAAGCTCAGCATGTTTCGCCGCAGCGTCCGAGGTCAAGCCTCGTGTCTGATCCACGGCATAGTACTGCAGTACCTCCTCTTCTGTTGCTGTCCAAGGGGTTTCCATGTCGCCGGGCAGTTAGCTCAGCGCGCAAGCAGCGTGCAACGAGCGAGTAAAGAAGGGGAAAGCCGAGCGAGGAAAGAAAAGAGAATGTATGCGGTCTGGAACTGGTGGAGAGAAAGCTTCTCGGCTATGCAGCCGGTATATATCAAAGACGCGCTCGCTTAAGCTGACGTGGCGAATTCCCCGGCTTGTCCGTCTGCTTCCCGGGCTGTCACCGGCGTGGAAAGGCACTCCCTTTCCAGCGTGTTCCAGCTGTGCTCTTTTCTCTTTCCTGAGAAACCTCCTCAGCCAGTCTTACTATCCCTCTCACCTTCGCAATGCTTTTCGTGCGAAGGATGTGAAGTTTTGCTCATCCGTGGGTGTGGGTGCAGGCACTTTCTTGGCCGGAGGCGCCCATGCTTTCGGCGACCGTGAGTAAAGCCCGGAGCTTGGCTACGTGCCTCCACGCTTACACTATGTGAACTCAAAACGGCTGGTAGAGAACATTGTCTGGAGGCTATTGGTTGCGGATGTTGTCGTTCATCCTACACCCCAGTCCTCTGGTTCCCAAGGTATAACCACACGAGCGTGCTGCACACTAACTTTGAAAGACATGCATCGAGTCTGCAGACGACATCCTATACACGCTACATTGCATCGTGACGCTGCATCGTATATGTGTTCGGGGGGGGGGGTCTGTCGGCCACCCCTCGTTCCCCTTAATTCTTCTCCACCAGACTCTGAACACAGAGGACCTGCTGATATGTAGTGTTCTCCACGCACTGCAATACAGGCCATTGTTGTGAGTGTGCTGCATGAACCATGTTATTTCTGCAAATGCTGACCTTGATTGTGTTGTCGCCTACCAGCTCCTTGCTTTCCCGGATCGCGTCAACGCTCTCCTGGACTGGGCCTGACGGCGCCTCACTTGTACCCTCACCCCGTACCCTCTCGCATACATTCGCGCACCGCCTCTGCACCCTCATCTCCGTCTCCCTCCTCTTGGTCCTCACCCTCCTCCTCGACACCGTAGAGCGACTCCAGGAGCGCCAGTCTCACGGTGATGGTCTTCAACTCCTCCCGCAACTCCTTATTTTCCTCCCAGAGAACGCGCAGCGCTTTGATTTCGTTCGTCTTATGATTTTCGATTGCGCTACGGAGGTCTTGGAGCTCCGCGACGGTGCTATCCAGGAGCTGGTCATCGAGGGGCTGAAGGTTTTGGTTTGGCTGATCGGCCGCTGGGTCGGCCATGGTGGGTGTGGGTGGAGGAGCAAAGTCACACGCGTGCGATTCCTGAAAGTTTTGTTCAGTCTGCTTGCAGGTCTAAGCTCCACAGACGTCAATCACAAAGAGACGCATATGTGCTGCTTGCGGCCCCAGCTTCCCTCAAGGATCCTCACGGCTAGCAGGTGTTCTAGAAGCCGCGTGCTAGCTTTCATCCGGCCGCACGTCCCTCTGTGGTGCATACGGACCAGCAATACATGTTTTATTGGAACTGTGTGTCTAAATGTTGACCGCGCACAGGGTATGGGGTCCTATGTGAGCTCGCGAATGGGCAGGGGAGCACGCAGGATAAGACGACAGAAGCGCTGACACATTGATGAAGTACTGGGATGTCAACAGATAGCCCTAGCCCGCACTTCGTGGTAGCAATCCCAGATTCACAACAGAGAAAGTGCAGGGAACATAACTAAGATGATACGGGGATCTGCGGCAGATTATATATATGCACATTCTCGATTGTGAGAGTGTGTGGCGGGAATACGGTGAGAATACGAGACGTATGTGCTCATACTCCCCCATGTTCTCTTCCCTCCAAACAGTGACTCTTCACGCGGTGATAGTCACAGCCTGCGCAGATCGTACCCCGTACAGATTATTGTGATCTACTTGCTCAATTGACCTTAGGAGTGGGGTTCTGATCTGTTTGACGCCTTTGCACGAATCACTGTCAGCCAGTCTCAACACTTGTTGCCCTTGGAACAACGTCGAGACGACACTGGGAGACCTGTGCTGGATCCTGGAAGCAGAAGCTGGCACTAATACCAAGTCCAAGTTCGACGAGAGTCCTTCCTCAGGCTACTTCGGTCACGTTGTCCGAGCCGTGACAATGCATGCTATCTCGGGACATCTCTGACGGTCCTCTGTCCCGCCGTAATCGCCTAAAATTGTGAGAGACCGATTTTGACTTCGAAATGAGATAGGACCCTGGAAGAAAAGAATACGACCTACATATGCAACGGGATGAAAAGGCTAAGTCAAGCGAGGTTGAGGTCGGTGTTAGCCGGAGAGAGAGCGCTAGAGAGCGGTCGGCCGCAACGGGCGTTGGTCAGAACCCGTCACCGTCCTGTGACGACAGCTCGCAATCCCGGCGGTGTCTCGAGCACGACGCTTGCCACTTTCCTCCTCGACGGCCACATCTCCTCTCGTGTGTTTCCCTTTTCTCTAATCATGGGCAATAGTGCCTCCTCCGGCCGCGGTCACCACGAGGAGACCGTCGATTTCGGGTATCTTACCCCGCAGGGCATCTATACGGGCCCGCGCGACTGGAATCAGGCTATCGTCACGCAACTCATCGTTGAGCGCAGGCTCGCACCCTTCTACCGTCCGTTGGAAGACTATGAAGAGTCTTGGGATGATGAACAGATACTAGCTGCGCGCAAGGAGCCTCCCGAAGTGGACGGCGGCGAGCCCTCACGCGCCGAGTCAGCTAGCTCCAGCCTCACCAGGGGACACGCCAAGCGACCCAGCGCTGTGAAGGAGCCTGGCCGCAATCCCGAGGCAGCGATTTACCGCGGAGCTATAGAGTGCCCGATCTGTTTCTTGGTGCGTTCCGATGGCTGCACTCTCCCCTGGGGCCGCCCTCTTACACGGGCGCGTAGTATTATCCGCCGAATATCAATCGTTCGCGATGTTGCGACCAAGCCATTTGCACGGAATGTTTCGTGCAAATCAAGAGAGCGGATCCTACTACCACGCATCTAGTTTCGGAGCCGGCTGCTTGTCCGTACTGCGTCCAAGAGAACTTTGGGGTCGTCTACACTCCACCGCCATGGCGTGCTGGACTTGGCAGCGAGGGGGCGGTGAGTATCAACCCCAGCAGCAACAAGAACCTGATTTATTAATTCATCCTTTATGTTGCTCGGCGTCAAAGACGCCGCCGTCATGGCCTGACTCTCCGAAGGCAACGTCCGATGCCGGTACCAACCCTTCGAATGCAATGAAACGTCGGAGGAAGAGTTTCGGCCACAACGACCCAGAAGTCGTTAGTGTCGGTGAGTGCAACATAACACTTACGCAAGCCATCCCGAGCGCTCACGATCCATGAATGTTGTGTCGTCTCCTTGGAATTTCAAGACCACATACACCCTGATTGGGAGGCGAAATTGGCCGCAGTCCGCGCTGCCGTCCAACGGCGCGCAAACAGGCGCATCATCATGCGTCAGGTCGGCGACCGACTCATCCCCGTCGGCGTCACTAGTGGTCGCGTGCATGCGCTTCCCACGGAGGAGGGTGGATCTGAGGCGCCCGAGGGTAACGGGGATCGGGGAAGTCGTAGGGCGAGACGCAGGCAGCAGAACCAAGAGCTCAGCCAGTTCCTCGGTAACATGGGCCTCGGGGGCCAGGATTTGGAGGAGGTAAGTTGATGCATGCGCATACGGAACACAATGCTGACGAGTCATACAAAAGCTCATGGTTATGGAGGCGATGCGCTTATCATTGCTGGAGCACGAGGAGCAACAACGTCGTCAACAAGAAGAAGAGGCGAAGAAGCAGAGAGAGCAAGCCGCTGCGGCGGCGGCGGAAGGGAATGGTGCAAGGTCTTCCGATAGCCCTGCCGCCTCATCGGAGTCCGGTCCCACAACTGAACCTGCGCCGAGTGAATCATCCGAGTCCACTGCCCAGCCCGCTCACGACGCAGCCTCTACTCCACCCTCTCGAACGTCGCTCTCTAGCCATGTCCCTCATTCGTCAAGTCCTAGTCTCCTTTCGCCCATACCAAGCGGTCCAAGTGCAGATCACTCTCCTGGGCGCCGAAGCGGTAGATCTTCACCTTCATCGCACTCGGATGTTGAAGCGGCTGTTCAAACCACTGCGCCTACTGCCTCTGCCGTTACGAGTCGTAGTTCCGAGCGAGAGGCGTCTGATCAACTAGCAGAGACTACCCTGACGTCTGCTGCTACCACGGAGGGCGACTCCGGACCCCCAACGCTTCCCCCACTATTGACGGGTAGCATCCCGACAATGGCAGAATCGTTCGAACCTCAGGCGACTGATCAAACATCGACTCGGCCCTCCTTGGCAGACCCTCCGTCATTCGCATCATCGGCTTCCTCTTCCTCTTATAACGTCCTGCCGTCGTCGCCCGAGTCCTCAGTCTCGAGCAAACCGTTGCTGGATGTCGTTATTCCCTCAACTTCTGCGGTGGAGGAGGATCCAAGCACTCCAGCTGCAGCCTGAGCCATCCCCGTCTACCGCTGTACATTATGCTTTGGCGCCTCTCATGTGAGTGGTATTTGTGCTACCATTCATTGACATGGCTCAGCCTGTTGTTTCGCATGTAGTCTTTCAGCCTTCTAGATTTGTGATCCATCACCGTTTTTGAGTCGGACATTCACGATACTACGATCTTCTTGCGCCCCGAAGACCGCATCGCATCGCCTTCTTACGAAGATGATCCTACCACCGGCCGCAAGGACACTATCTCTTCGCTTTCACACTCTTCCATGTGTCCGGTCATATCCCTCCCGTGCGCTGTATTCCATACTCCCTCCCCTCTCACGCACCTTCCACGTCAATGTATAGAATCACGATCCTTTCATCCCCCATCATCGTGTTGTGAAATTGTGTATAACTCTCGAATAATCCCTGTCTGTCGCTGCACTGTCCCGGGCCGCGAGTTGCAAGCTTCAAGTCCCGAGATGCAAGCAATACAAGCACCAGATATCTTGCTGGGCCACGGACGTGATATGTCACGAACACGCATTGTCACGGAACAAGTGACCGTGTCCTCTGTCCCCCAAGTCCGTGGTCAAGGACTGCCTAAGAGAGTTGGACGGTTTTTGATCTGAGGTCGGCACTTATAGTCAGCCTTCTGGCCAACCAGGTCCGTTCAATCCCCGACCGGCGACCGAGTACTAAGGTTGACATGTCTGTTGCGCCCAACAAACATGTGCTCAACTCCCGATGTAGGACTCCGAGTTTACCCTAACGCTCTTTCTCGTTCACCTCTCAGTCTGCGTGGCCATGATGCCCGGACCTGACGACCGCGGCCTCTCACGTTCCTCTTCTAGCTGCTGCCTACAGTCTAGAATCAACGTCGTGGACCGGCGGGGTCCTTCCGTTGACGACCAGAGTCCGGAGACAAGGATTCCGCGACGTCTCGTCCCGTCAGTTGTGTTATGTGTGTCGAGAGCGCGGGTTTTGCTCATCCCGCCATGCTCGCAGCCGAGGTTCGGGTGCATGCCGAATACATTCAAGTCTCGCATAGCCTCACATGCCTCGCTCATGCACCGGAACTTCGTCGCACAACGAGGTGAGCATCGCTCACGTTATCCAGCCGTGATTGGGTCGCCGTGCTGAGAAACCAGTGAGGTAATGTGCGATCCTGTGTCTATCTTGCGGGAGGTTGTGAGTTCACAGATAGCTCACATGCCTTTCCACACTCTGCAGAGGACCCCCACGGGGAGTATGGTGAACCTCGAGATCCTAAGGCAATCCTGCCTCGGACGGCATCCAGGACAATGCCAAGCCTCAGCGAGCCCTACCCCAGCGACCCCACAAAGAAGGCCCGGACATGCGCGTCACCTTTCACATCGCGCGCGTACTTACCTCCGCGCATTGAATTGCGTCTCCAGGCGGACGGTCCCGCTTCTCCAACATGGATCCCTCGGCCGACTCGCATCTCAGGCGTTTGAGGCCTTCCGAGCCCGCGTTCGGCGTGCGACTGATCCGCAGCACACGTTTTACGCCCGCCGGGAGCGTGGAGGCCTCGGGCATCGCCTCGACCCTTCCGTCCCGGGGAGCGGGCGCGTCCGTTGCAGGGTCCAGGCAGAGCGCAGGATGACGGGGGACGTAAGATATATAATCTGCGCCTGCGCGACGTGTCCTCATCGACCTCTCTTCGACCCCACTACCGCGGTCTGCGTCTGGAATACGACCGTCTTCGCGGAACGCACTTCGTCCTCGCAACCCACACTCTTTTTCAAAACGTAACACGCGCCCCGACATCCGGACACACGCCCATTTACTAACCGTACACCTGGAAGACAAAATGTTCGCAACCGCCACCCGTTCCCTGCTCTTCGTTGTCCCCGCGCTCTTTGCCGCACTCGCACTCGCCGCGCCGTTCAAGGGCGTTCCGCCCTCGGCCGCTGCAGGTGGCCAGATTGCGGTACGTGACGGGGGGTCCCGCTTCACGTACTACGACGCAGGCGAGAACGCGTGCGGATCTACCGATTCGAACACCGCCTACGTGAGTGAATAAATCAGACCCCGCTTCTCACCTCACCACGTTGTGAGAGGCGAGCGACAGTGGTGAAACGGCTTGGCTTACGGTGTTTTCGATTCTCGGTCATCGCTTACAGATCATTGCATTGAGCCCTGCGGTACGTTCGCTCCGATGGATTTTACGGGAATTCAACGGAAGGCTGACGACTATGGTTTGCTTCAGCAATTCAACAACGGAGCTCACTGCTACAAGAAAGTTACCGTCGAGTACGACGGCCAGCAGGTCGAGGCGACGGTCACCGACGAGGTATGGCCATTGCGCTTGCGTGCGTCTCTGAGGCTGACCGTATGCGCGTTCGTAGTGCCCAGGATGTCAGGGCACGCAGGCCGATCTCTCGCGCCCTTTGTTCGCGCGCCTTGCGCCTACGGACGAGGGTGTCATATACGGCAACTGGTGGTTCAACTGAGCATCGTTCTTGACGACGTTTCCGCCGTGGATTACGACGGTCTTTATCTGGATTGACATACCTATCTCACTGCTGTCGCTCGTTGCGTTGCTACTCGTTGCTGTCAGCTCTCACGCGCTCGCTTGTCCGCTCTTTGCAGAGCGACAGGGAGGGCTCGTCGTTCATTGATATATGTGGGTCTATTTTACAGGTTAAGTTAGTGGATTGGCCTCGGCGGTCGCTGTATTCTCGTACGGCTGTACCTTTACCTTACCCTACGTGGTGTATAATGTATAATCTCAATGTGCTATACATGGCGAGGCATTGCTGCCGTCTTGTCTTCGCTCTGCGCCACGACAGTCCATGTCGGTCTTTGAATTTTAAGTGGTGTAGGTGTCAAGAGACCATCCATTAGGGGCTGTATGCGAGAGGCGGAGACTATGATACAGGGAGGGAGCACTGGACGGGAGCGGGTGTGTTCAGGCTATGGCCGCGGCTTGTCCGCCCATATTGGCTTCTGCGAGTCGGGGTCGATTGACTACGAGACATAGTGCGGGGAAGGGGTGCCGAGCCCGGCATCAGCTGCTGCGCACGCGACGCTCTATCGTCCACTCACCTGCGCGTTCTCCTGCGCCTTGGTCGCGGTCTCTCTTGCTAACCTTGCTGCACGGTTCGCGTCGACCTTTCGTCTCAGGTCCGGGGACATGGCCTGTAGGCGATCCGGGATCATGGTGAGTCGAGTCATTGATTGACGGGTTCCCATGCAAGACCATGTGCACCGTTCTGGAAGCACAGAGCATTATATGATGGAGGACAGACTTACGGCGTACGTCTGTTCCGGGGTGGGAACGGTGGCTGGAAGAGGGGGGGGTTCGGGACAATTTGCGATGAGTAGTGGATGGCAGGGTGAGTTTAACATTCCATGACGGACCTTTCATGATCATGTAGCCAACGCCAATGACTAGCGAGCGGTATCACCAGAGAAGTCGTGAGGGAAGGGATGAGAACAGTTAGATGGATTGTACGCACTGCCGACGGTGGACAGCGTGAGACGAAGCCACGGGAATGGTGGTGCGGACATTTCAGACTAGCTTTGCGAAATCTTGTACTGAAACCCGTTGCAGAAACAAATGGGCCGACGAGAAGCTACAAGCACAGGGCAGACGGACGCGCAGACGGAGGTCCGGACGAAGCGACGGGCGCCAAGGATACGCGTTTGAAGGACGGTCACGATTGACAGACGGAGAACGCGATTGGCTACGAATATGCCTGTCTAGGCTGCCCCCGCCGCCACCGCCGACGTCGTCGTCTGCTCGACGCTCGTTCCCCTTGACTCGTACTACCCGTGTAATATCGTCCCTAGATCCCCTCGGCCGTCCTCTCCCTTCACACTCGTTCTTGTCCCCCGCCTCCCCACCAAAGCCCAACCCGAGTCTCTGTTGCCACCCGTCGTTACACCATGTTCACCCTCGCCCGTCGTTTCCGGTCCACTCTCCTTTTCGCTGCGCTGGCCTCTGCTCTTGTCCTCGCCGACGGTTCTCACGAACACCGTGGGCTCAGCCATGCTCACCGTCATCTCGTTGTCAACCTCACTGAGCCCGACGGCCACATTCAAAAGCGTTTCGACAACACACGCTTCACTTACTTCGAAGTCGGCCAGAATGCTTGTGGCGGGTTCGACCATGACAACGACTTCGTGAGTGAAGGACGTGCTGCATGTCGCCATGATGACATCCTTACATCTTGTCTACCCTTCACTTCAGATCGTCGCGTTGACCGCACTCGTCAGTCCCATCGACCCAGCCTTCCATACAACATGTGTGTATGCTGACGGTCTGACGCTAACGTGTTATAGCAATGGGATGGCGGCTCACACTGCTACGAAGAAATCACCATTTCGTACCAAGGCAAGTCCACCAAAGCCAAGATCACCGACGAGGTACGTGCTTCACCGCCGCCTTCCTCCTGCTTCACAGGCAGCAGAGCTCATCGCTTCTGTGCGAAGTGCGAGGAATGCCCCTACGCGGCGATCGACCTGTCGCCTGGCCTCTTCAGTTTCCTCGCAGGGGGGCTCGACGCCGGTGAAGTGTACGGCCAGTGGTCCTTCGGCGGCGGCGACCCGCCTACCCCCACCACTTCCTCGACCCCTCCCCCTCCCCCTCCTACTACCACGCACACCACGCCCAAGACGACGTCGACCACCCACACGACGTCCACGTCGCACTTCACCTCCACCACGCACTCGACGACGAGCACGACGAGCACGACACCGACGTCGACGTCGACGTCGACGTCCACCACCTCGTCCACCACCCCGTCCACCACCTCGTCAGCCCCCACCGCGACGGTCACTTCGTGGGACACCGGCAACCTGAACCAGTTCAACTTGGCACTCATCCAGCTCATCGACCTGAGCAACGCTATCTTGGCTTCGCCCAGCGATGCCGAGTAAGCATGGTCCGCCTAGAATGCCTGCGCATATACCCAGAAAGGTACCGCGCCCGAAGCCTGCCTGGTTGTCGAAGTTATCGCATCATTCCGCTGTCCCCATCCTCATATGATATGCGGCCTGGTTCCGTTCTGAAATCTCCATTCCCTCATCAGGATGGATACGTATGATATACCAGAATCTAGTACATTGTCCCGCTTCGTCTATGCAGTTGACGATTTCGTCCATCAGCGGCACACGTGCCATACAGTTTGGAAGGTAAGACTTACAGCGCATGTCTATCCCGCAGTGGATATTGTGGTTGGATGAGAGAGGTTTGGAAGAGTTTGCAACAAGCGGCCAATTGTCAGGTGGGTTGCGCATTCCGTGGCTGAACCTTCATATACCTGCAGCCAAGACCGGTAATTCGTGAGCCGCATGAGAAGGGAGTTGAGATGGGCAGGGTGAGCAGCGGTCAGGTGAATCGACGGGTATATGATATCGACGGTATATCTTGCCGACGTGGGACCGCTAAGGCATAGCCACGGAAGTGGTAGGAGACATCTCAGACGAGCTTCTTGAATCGTTGAACCAAACCTATTTACAGATTCACAAAGCTAGCGAGAAGCCTACAAGGAGAACACCACACTATAGTCGATCGCACAGTTCACGCAGACGGAGGACCACTGGGCGCACATCAGACGCCCGACGTACGTCCATCTTGATTCTTGGGAGGATTCAAGCAGTTTGGACTTCGATGAACAATCGATCAGGCACACGCTGTGTTGACCGAGCATTCTCGGACTGTTGCCGGCATCGTCAGCCCGAAGCCGGTTTCCTTGTTCACCAATACTCATCAATCTCACCCCGGGCCTTACTCTCCGTCTGATCCCAGTCTTTCCTAAGTCGACCGGGCCGACCACTACCTTCACGATCCTTCTCGTCCCCCACATCGCTGAAGTCAACTCAAGAGTTGTAGGCCTCCGCCACCCTGCCAGTCTTTACACCATGTTCACCCTCGCCCGTCATTTCCGGTCCACTCTCCTTTGCGTTACTCTGGCCTCTGCTCTTGTCTTCGCCGACGGTTCGCACAAACACCGCGGGCTCAACCATGCTCACCGTGATCTCGCCGTCAACCTCTCCGAGCGCGATGGCCACGTCCAGAAGCGCTTCGACAACACGCGCTTCACCTACTTCCCGGTCGGGGTGAATGCTTGCGGCTCGTTCGATCATGACAGCGACTTCGTGAGTGAAAAGCGCGCCACATACCGAAATGGTCACGAGCTGATATATCTGTGTGCTGTTCATTCCAGATCGTCGCGTTGAACACCCATGTCAGTTACACCTCAGCCTGTCACACGAAAGACGAGCGTATGCTCAACTGACCCGCGTGCGCAATAGCAATGGGATGGGGGCTCGCACTGCTATGAGGAGATCACCATCACCTATCAAGGCAAGTCCGCCAAAGCCAAGATCACCGACGAGGTGCGTCCTTCATTTCTGCCTCCTCTCCGGTCACCTCTGCAGCTCTGATCTTCCGCGTACTCAGTGCGAGGAGTGCCCGTGGGCGGCGATTGACCTCTCCCCCGGCCTCTTCCAGTACCTCGTTCCAGGAGGGCTCCCCGTCGGTGAAGTGTACGGGGAGTGGGTCTTCGGCGCCGGCGACGCGCCCGCTCCCCCTCCCCCCACCCACACTACCTCCAAGGCCCCGCCGCCTCCTCCTCCCACCACCACGCACACCACGCACAAGACCACGTCCACCACGTCCACCACACATACCACGTCTACGCACCACACCACTACGTCGCATTCGACGACGAGCACAACGAGCACGACGCACACGACGCCGAGCTCCACCTCGACCAGCTCGACCAGAACGTCTTCGGCCCCTACTGCGACCGTCACTTCGTGGGACACCGGCAACTTGAACCAGTTCAACTTGGCGCTCATCCAGCTTGTCGACCTGAGCAATGCTATCATGGCGTTGCCTGGTGACGTGTAGTGAACGCTCTCACAAGAGCGCCATGATTGAGTCGACGGAATTCGCCACGGAACCTGGTTTGTTCCTTCCGTCCTCGTTGGTGTATTTCCAGACGCTACCGCTGTTGCAAGTGCGGTTTGATTCTTGTCGAGCTCTGGTCAGGCATGTATACGCTTCGGCCGGAGAAATACACTTGTTACATCCATGTTATTGTCTCCATCACATGTTCATCGGGTGTACCGCGTTCCAGGATTGTGTCAAAAGTCAACATTCAGAAAATATAGACGGGATCCATATTTGTGCCGCGCAAGACGACGTGGTGAGCATCAGGTGAGTACTCTTCAGTCGAATATCTTAGGGACGGAAGCCCATGCAAGCATCCAGCATAGGAAAAGTGAGAGGCAGGCGAACAAGACGTCCGGCAGTGGTGCCACATGTCCGGATGGAGAGGAAGCCCATGGCGGCCCATTCCCAGACGCTATCCGACCACCTGCCGGTGCATTTCGAATCCACGAGCTTCCAGCCCGCGACAGGAGACACACGCTGTATATTTGCTGCAAGGAGCTCGTAGCGGCGAGAAGACGACAGCGTGAAGCGGGACCAGCAACCATCGCTTCGAGGGAGGCGCGGCAGCCCTTGCGAAAGCTACGGCCAAGCGCCTCCTTCCGACGACGTCCTCTACGCGTGCATCGCCTCGCTGGATCCCGTAGGGTTTTAGGTGAATACCGCTCGCAAGACTGGCCGATGAGTACCGCGCGCGGTCGTTAAGCACCCGCACATCGTGGCTGGTAGCGGGTATCTTTCACAGATACCTGATGAACGTAAATTGTCGGGCAACCCGACTGGCAGCCAGTGGCTACCCTCGGAGTCCCCAAACGCCTGATATGGTTCCCACCTCCGGAGTTTCGTGAGTCCAGGGGAGCCCGGCACAGCTGTGGGCCTCGTTTCCGGTGCCACGGCTTCAAGTCACCATCTCTCTCCTGACTGCGGGAACGGGAATGGGACACAGCTGTCCACCGCACTCTTCCGAACCGCGCCTCGCAATAGGAGAGCATATGCGTACTCCGTCGAGGTAAACGTCGGCTGCTCAAGTTAGGAAGAAACGCCGTTCTCCCTTTCAGCGACCTGCATTTCTGGCGGCGTGCCCGCGGAGTGTGTGATGCGCGTGCGCCTGGGTGCAGAGACCTTACGTACACAGTGCCCGGATGTCGCGTTGCAGAGGATGGGGATGGGGGAATAGCTGTGGTGATCGTCCGGCGTCGATGCCCATGAGTCCAGGGCTTGGGTGCAGATAGGGCTCGTCTGAACGGTGCACACCGGAGATGAGGTGCTCTCCAGAGGGGCCTCGGGGGCAGACGTGGAGCTAGGTAATCTGTTGAGAGTTGAGCGGCCAAAGGTGCAGCGGAGGTCTTCTGGGGACCATGTGCTACAGACCTAGGCGCGTAGTATCGACTCCGAACGGACTCCATGAGTGTCCGGATCGATGTGTAGCCCCACGATGCGTGCGGGAGGATCCAGACGTGTGCCTTACCCACACGGATTGAATTCTGAGAGTCAGAGCACTGGAGAGTCGGCGGTAGGCATCCGGATATTTCGACGCAAATCACTGGCTGGAGTAGTGATAGTGAGCTGAAGATCTGTACCGGAGGTAGTATATGGTCCGGCACTGGCCCAAGAGATTTTCGCCGGGACCCAAGACTGACTCCACATACGGCAAGGACATGCAGCGCCAGTAGGTCTCGAAGTTCCTGGCAGGCATGTGGCAGGACGGAGGGCAACGAATACACCTTGCATAGATACTCGAGCGGAAGCCGGACTCTTGTGATGTCGGAGCCTCCGTTGGGTACCGAATACGACAACGTAAGGCTGGCTAACACGCTGAGTTGAAGCTATGTCTTCGCAATGATATGGACTGAATCTCACCCGCTCTCAATCCGGCTGTCTTTACAATCCGCATAGATTTCTGTTCCAGGTTGAACCCAAGAGCTTCCATTAGCTCTAAGGGGAACAACCCCGACGCCTGCCTCTGTTAATGACCGTAACTCCCTAAACTATATCGAGACATTGCATACCTGTACTTCCACCGTCTTCAGTTGCGACGGAATCCTATCTTTCCGCACCGAACGATCTCTTAGACGGGCGGTCTCGACTGGCGTAGGTTGATTCGTGAAGGTGATAGCTCCAAGTCGGAGCGTGCGGACGTGCGGGAACGTCCATAGGAGTTTGACGAAATCGCTGTGATCGCGAAATGCGACCTTCGCGATTTCCACGGAGATGACTGCATCGTACCTCAGGAAGGAGGCCGCATAGGGTGGCGTGGACAAAGTCGGATCGACGCCCAGGGACATAGCTCGGAGTCTGCGGAAGAGCCGAGAAAAAGACATGAAAGGCGCATACAACGCGTCAGAGCAAGCCGGAATTATCGACAATTGTAGCACAAGCATGGCTAACTCTGGCTTAGTCGATATGCTACCCACAAACCGTGACAGGGACAACCGCGTACGGATCCGCACATGGCGGAATAGGGCTGTGCGCGTCCGGGGTAGTAGAGCATGACAAGTGAGCGCCCATTGCTTGAGAGTACTGTAGTCTTCCGAGCATGAGTCGACGCAATGTTCTATGATTTCCCATGGGACAACGTGTGCTGCAGGTGACGACATAGCAGAGACCGTGCAGATGAAGCTCAAGAAGAGGAAATCATAGGCGTATGTGAACCACCTACAGTCTCCAGTGTTATATATGCCTGGCAAGTGCACATGTAAATATCCGACAAGAGAGAGAGAGAGAACCTGTTCCTAGACACGGTTCAACTCTAAAGCAATCTGGCTCAAAGACCTCTGTGATATGGAGGAACAATCAGGAGATATCCGCATAGCAATGTCCATGATGGTCGCTGCAGCATCGTGCATAAATATAAGTTGAGATTTTAGGCCTATAAGATCAGTCGTGATATTGGCGATTGGCTAGGCTCACATTGGCTCTAGGATATACAGAGGTGTACTTCAGAGCGACTCCACGTGAGTGTGAACCAAGAAAGAACGATGTAGCTTGAGAGCGCCGGTGGCCAGAGCCTCTGATAAGGTATTTGTACACTTGGGGTACGTAAGTATGCGGAAAGGTCGAAAAGCAGCAATCCGGAGGCACGTTGGCATCGCCCAATGGCGCCGCTGGATGCGGTCAAACGGCGGATGTCTTCTTTTTGATAACAATAGGATTCCGAGGATGTCATCACTAGACGCAGGGTCTCATCTAGACGGCGGCGAGCGTTCTTCTCCACCTTCTTACCTGGATATCCGCACTGGGTAGCTGGCGACAAAACACCACTTAGCTGCCGTAGATAGCCTGTGCATTTTGTTACGCGGATGAGTGTGGTGCATGGAGGCCTTGAAGCTGATGCAGATGCCGCGAAGGCGATGATGGGCCGTGGACGAGATGTTTGTTGTGCCGGACCAAACAGAGGGCGCCAAGCGACGTCGACTGGCGACGGCGAAGTCGCGCCCGTCTCAGCCTCTTCCTATCCTTCCCCGCCCATCCCCCAGGGTTTTCACTCCCTCTACGCTCGCTCACCCTCACGCTCTTTGCTTCTGCATATTCGCCACGCCGGCTCAGCGCGCATTTGTCGGTACTATATCACAGCAACCGAATAGCAAAAATGTTTTCCTCTCTCTTGACGTTCGCGCTCCTCTCCCTCGCCCTGCCTTATACCACCCTCGCCTCCTCCCACCATGGCTCCGCCCACCGTCGCCACGACGCTATCGCTCATGCCATTCATAACACCACCGAGGCTGTCGAGGAGAATGTGACCACTCTCCATCGTCGTGGCCAGACCTACACTAACGCCCGGCTGACCTACTACGACGTCGGCCTGTGAGTGTCTCCTTGGCGTCTCCATCTACTTCTTCTTAATATCCCAATATAGGGGCGCGTGCGGAAAGACCAATGTCCCCAGCGACTTCGTAAGTTGACCTCCACAAATCTATCAAAACAAGATCGCTTACACGAATCCCTGCAGATCGTCGCCTTGAACAGTCCTGTAAGCCGCCGGACTCCATCGTGGGGGAACTATCCCAGCTTACGTCCTCTTTGAAGATGTATGGTGGCGGCTATCCTGGTCCCAATTGCTTCAGGCCCATTGAGATCTCTTACGGCGGCAAGACCGTTCATGCCACCATCATGGACGAGGTAAATGATCTTGACGTGACTGTACGGCATTTCAGCTCAACCATCTCCTTCTTAGTGTCCTGGCTGCCCGGGCAACGGCGGTCTTGATCTCTCCGAGGGTCTCTTCCAGGCTCTGGCTCCCCTCGATGTGGGTGTCCTGTACGCCACCTGGTGGTTCACCGATGAGGGCGGTAACGGCGGCGGCGACGACACGACCACGACGACGCACACCCCCACCACAACTCATCACACCACGACGACCTACTGGACCCCGACGTCGACCTGGTCGCCGCCTCCGCCTCCGCCGCCGACCACGACGAGCACTCACTCGAGCACTCACTCGACCACGTCCACGCACAGCACCAGCAGCACCCACTCGACTTCGACTTCGATATCGACTTCGTCCAAGCCGACCTCGACGAGCCACTCCACGACCTCGTTCTCCTCGTCTGCTACCCCGTCCTCGTCTTCGGCTGCTCCCACTGCCACCCAGGTGGGCTCCATCGAGAAGCTCAACCAGGCGTTCGTCGGCATCGTCGACCTCATGTTGGGCGCCGCTCAGGCCGCCGCTTAAGACGGCCTCGCACGCGTTAGCCCTCGCGAGCGTCCTCTTCGGCGCGCATCGTGCGAGCGTGATGCGGCCGCTGGACTTGCGCAGCTCGTTTGACGCTGCAAAGAACATCTATGTCCCATATACCCCATTTTCTCGGACTGGTTCGAGTCTCCCCACACATCCTAACCTACGCTTCTTAGTTATCTCCCTTTCCGTCTGTCCCTCTTCCTTCTGCTCCTCTGCTCACTGGTGTGCTTTAGCATGTGCGTAGTGTATGGAGTTGTGGCGGATCATTAACATAGCAGCTTGTCACATTTCTCCCGGTCGCGGACAGTGTGCAACTAGTATCCTTGCTACAGTATCCACTGCTACGCTGTACCCGGTGCATAGCACAGTCTAACGGAGGGCTGTTGTTTGCGTTCGTATGCGGCTGCCGCCCAGCCCGACATCTGGCAAAGGAGATGCAGGCCATCCGGCTTGGCCCTGGGCTCCTTAGAAACCGAGTATCTCGACCATCGAACGTAGTCGGATCGGACGAGGGACATGTTCGTCACTGGATAGAAGCAACATCAACCAGCTATCATACATCGCTATCGGGACGCAGCCAACATGAACTATCTGAACAAAAGCAAGATGACCAAGCAGGATACAAGAAGGTCGAAGATAGCATACAGAGGGAACGAGGGGCGGGTGGATCACCATACATATCGTACACCGAGCGGCAGTGGAGGCTGCAGAAGAGGTCGTGATGAGGAGGCAGGGGGTGAATGGCGTGGCCTTTCGCCACCGGATAGGGCACTCACGCGAGGAGTGTTGAAGGAGAGGCTAGCGCGACAAGAAGGACCTCGGCTCGGGAGCCAGGAAAGAGGGAGAGGGGGAAGGAGAGTGAGCACCTTGGTCTTCGTCGTCATCGTAACAGTATGAACATCGCATCGCAGAGAAACAAGACGTAGGCACAGTTCTGGAACTAGGGACACACGAATGGGCGGGGCTTCTTCGGGCCCTCGTCGTGAGCACGCAGAGCATGCACGCGCATCCCGCTCAGACTTTCGCCTGAGCTTCATCGCGCAGCGGACGGCTGCGACGTCGTTCACCGGTAGCAGGTGACGAGGAGCACGTCCAGGCCGCGGTCCTTGACGGTCTTGCGCGGGGCCTTCTTCCCGCCGCGTATTTCGCGCATGAGCGCGGAGCGGCTGGGGTGCATGACGCCACGGAGGGCATCGACGCCCTGCTGGCGGACGGCGAGGTAGTCGCGGACGTTGAGGAACACCTGCGACTTGAGGACCGCCTTCGCGGCGCGCAGCGAGTTCGGGAGGGACGGCATCGAGGTGTACAGCCCGAGCTCGATGATGAGGGCCTGCAGGAAGGCGAGCTTGGACGGCATGTCCGTCGTCACGTCCGTCGGCGCTGACAGCACCCTGTTTGTTCGCAGCGCACGCGACGGAGATGCCGGGGAACGCGGGCGACGATCGCCATGGGCAGGGGACAGAGAAATTGACAGAATCAGCGCGGGACGCATAGAAACGTCGAAATCAGATGGACGTACGACGAGACGTATCTCTGCGCACTCCTGTACAGCTCCGGCGGGATGTACGAGTACTCGCTCCCCGCCTCGGACACATCGTCAACGATCCCCCGGTCGCCGAGTCCCGCAGCAGGGTATGCGGGGACGAGTGCAAGGTCTTGCGTCTGGCCTGCGGCTACCGCCTGCGAAGCAGCCCGGCGAGCCTTCCTCCGCGCCTTTGACGGACTGTGGTGCTTGAGCTTCGCATCGTAGGACTCGCCATTGCCCTGGGGCTGCTGTCCGTGGTGCTGCCCGTCCTCGGCGCGGCCGTTGCCAGGCGTCTGCGCGGCACGCCGCTTCCGGTTGCGCCGCTTTGGGGAGGAGTTCGGGTACGACGCCTGGCTCTTCGCGCTGCCGGTGCTGCTGCCCGAAGCAACCCTGCGGTGGCCATATCCACGGGAACGGGAAGAGAGCGAGAGTTCGGAGAAGGAGGCGGTGAGATCGTCGCCGGATGCGGGCGAGCGGGGCCGGCTCATGAGCACGAACTCATCGTCGGAGAAGAGGGCGGGGGTGAGCGCGCCGCGCTGGGAGCGCAAGTCGGCTGAGGAGAGCTCGGAGAAGGAGAGGAGGATCTCGTCGTCCGAGGAGCCGTCGTCGGAGAGGGTGCCGTACGAGTCCGAGTCGCCCGAAGAGCTGTCGCGCGGATCGCTGTGCGAGCGCGAGTGCGCCGAGAAATAGTCGTACGAGGCCAGGGACGAGCCGGGGGAGAGAGCACGGAGAGGGGAGGACATGACGCTATCGAGCGGTCGTGGGTAGCGAAGGGTAAAGTGAAAGAGGGGAAGAAAGGGAGAGAGGCCCGGGAGCCCGTCGACCGCCTGGGTTTATGAGGCTCTGGGCGGTGAGATAGGATGAAATGGCGTGCGCACAGTGCACACACGAGGGCAGCGTCGGATTGTCCTAGTGTCAGAGGTCAGGCCAGCTTGCCGATGGACTCGGCCTCGAGGAGGGCGAGGAGGGAGGACTCGGTCAAGAAAGGCGGATGAAAGAAAGAAGGGAACCGGTCAAGACATGTGCGCGCACGCACGGCTGCAGCGAGGCCCTTTTAGTACCCCTGCCGGTCCCCGCATCTGATAGAGTCGCCCCTCGTCGCCAAGTCACAGCCCACCGTCTGAATTCCTGCGCATTCGCATCCGTAATGCCATTGACAATAGACCTGGGAATCTACATCCGTACTCAGCTCCGCATTCCCCCCGCGTCGACGTTCTCGCGCGCTCAATGCAGACCGGCCTGCCACATTTAGCGTATGCGCCAGTAGACTACCGAATTGCTCCAGCCTGCTACAGCTTTCTGCTCAACCTGGACACCCTTCTTCCATACCTTTCCTTGCAAGTCCCGCACTTCGGCCGCCGTCTTGGACCGCAGCATGAAACGTTCGCCGTCGACACTCTGAAGCGCCGTGGGGACCGCCATGCTGCCCCGCTTGCCAGTTCCGAGCTGGTAGTCGTAATTAGAGCCCCAAGCCACAACATCTCTCCCTCCACCACCCGGGCCAGCCCTGGTCTTCGTATCAAGCGTAAGCAGGACATGTCCCGTCGGGGAGATAGAGATCTCTTCCGGAACTATTGCTTGCAGACTTCTTGTCGATTCGTTATCTGCACAATAGATAGCGTTGGGTCTCGACCAATCACAATAAGACCTCGTGTAGAAAGAGCTCACATTCGAGCAGGCCGCTAACGTTCTTAGCACGAACGGGGGCAGATTGGGCGTTGCTGTACTGGGCATTGCCTAAGCTGCCGTATTGTCCGTTCCCGCACGCAAGGACGTCGATGTACGGTAGGCTGGTACCATCCCTACGCTCGACCTCAAAAATAGTCAAATCGCCACCTAAAGCATGCATGAGCGCTACCCAATGCATAAGCCAAAGCTTATCCGACAATCACCTGCGAAGACATCGAGACATTTCGTCTTCATAGTTCCGGGCGTCGTCCTCCACAGGATGACCTCGGTAGGAACAGTAATGGCCTCTAACGTGACGTTACCACCGAGACCGATCTGCCTGCTCTGTAAGTGAGCCAAACTCCCACTCTCCCAATCAAGTGTGCCTTACCCGTAGTCATTAGCACCCCATCCCAGCACTCTACCATCTGGTGTCTTGGCGAAGCTGCTCCGCGAGCCAGCAGCAATGCGGTCGACCTTGACGTCCTTGAGCGCGGGGATCTCGAACAGCCTGTCCGACCACCTGATGTTTCTATCGTCGATGCCGGCAGCAGCAGCCTCTTTGCCAACCAAGCCTTCCGTGTGCCTTGGCGCTGAGGTCGCAGGACGGATTCCAGGAGTGGCCTTAGCATAGGGATCGGCCAGGACTTTTGGGGTCAGTTCGAGAGGCACGCGCGGATGCTTGTTAGGAAGATGAATGTGCAGTAAGTCCGCGGGGGAAGGAACGTCGCATCTCCGGAACCCAAGCTGGCCGTGCGAGTTGGCGTTAAGCGTGATAGGATGCGCAAAGGTGCGGCCTTCAGATGTGAGTGCCAGGAGGTGGTCTGAGCCAGCCGAGATCTGCACGAATCTAGGAAGCGATGGATTAGCTGCTATTACGAGAAAACAGGCGAGGATCATGCATGCATACCGTTCTCCCCTCTTGAGCTTGTCGGTCGGAGTCACCTGCGCGAAGTCTACCGTTTCCTCCTCGCCCCATAGCCAACCGGTGCCCCACCACGGCGTGCTGGCAGGAGTCTGTGCGGCGATCGGGAGAGCTTGTTCCTCTCGGCGTGATGATAGGACATAAATATGGCCAGACGCGGAGAGCGCATAAACACGAGAACGAGTAAGCTGGACTTGAGTGATGTTCTGTTGTTCCGGATAACATAGTACATGAGAACATGCTCGTCGGAACCATCACCGCATGTCATAAATACGTACCTTTCCCTTGAGGGTGAGCTCAGGGCGAGCGCGAGATGAGCCAGCCTCATTGCCAAGAAAGCCGTCGCCCCACTGATAGAGGTCTCCCCGTGCATCGACGCATGCCGCGTGCTGTTCGTGCAGGGCTAGGTCCCTCAAAGCCACGTTGTTAAACCATTCCGAATGGCTGGGGACACGGATGGATTCGGGCAGCGCGTCGTCGAGGATGTGTGTCCTACAAATGACGTTACGACCAATATATGCGCAAGATATGAGGAAAAGGCTCACTTGTTGGACCCCCAGACGATGGTGGAAAGTCCCTCGTCCTCAAGAGTCGAATTTGTGAGCGCATTGGGGGTAGCTCGGACTTGGGCTTCGGGAGACTCGGAGGGTGCGTCGTTGTGAATCACATTCGCCTGCGCCGTCGCGTACAAAGCGGCTCCTGCAGCTAATGCTACAGCGGTGGAAGGGAGGGCCCAATTTGCCTTGGTAGGGTGAGCTTTTGGGGCCGGTTCTGAATGTAGCCTCCTGACCCTTGCAACGCGGACAGGAGAGGACACGTTCAACGCCGCGCGACCAGCGGCACCCCGTAGCATTTTGAGTAGTATAGCTGCTACGTCGAGAGCCCCTTGATGAAAACCCGTGCCAGTATGAGAGCAGAAAACAGTCGTCGTCGGACGGAGGATGTGGTCACTGACGCGGACGAGGCAGAGCCATTGATGGCAATAATCCATAGACTGGCGCGTCGCGTCTTCGTCCGGCGTCTACCCGGTCTCGTGACATTAAGCTCGGCTTCAAGAGTTTGTCTTCCCGACGTACCACTGCTATGTACTTAGGACTCCTTCGAGTAACGCACTCACATAGAGTCGAACCCGGTCGAAAAGCGGTGAAGATTGAGAGGTCCAAGCTCATAGAGGGAACACAAAGGTCTGCGTCTGTACCGAGTAATTGACGACGTTGACTACCTGCAGGGCCGATTGGCCCAAACGCAGGTGCATACGGCACAAGCAGTACTAGGGATATCAATGCTATCACACTTGAATGGGCACAAGCTACCTTCGTCACTGGGACTTCAGCTCCTAACCCTGACTTTTCCGCCCCGGTTCAAGTTGCCCACTGCCCGAGAATATCTACCGTACCGCAACATCCCAAACAGTTACGGATCCTCGTGCAACAATGCTGACTATGATTGTATTCCATATTCTCATCCCCATATCCTTATTTGGACAATATCGACTCGGCCATATCCCAACAGGACTCGCCGCAATCGTCCACATGGAGGACAAGACGACGGGCGGGACAGCATCGAGAACTCGCGCCCACCACCACTTCATTGGCTCGATGATGTTTGTGTCCACGCATAAATCGACGGTGAGCGTTTCCGGAACAAATATGGCCACGAGGCGAGGAGTGAAGAGGAAGGAGCCTACCTTCGCCGTCCGCAGGGTGCTCCCTAGTGATGCCGTCCTGAACGCGTTGATAGGGTCCACCCGAACGGGGGATGGCACTGCGAAGCAGCCAATGACCGAACATTTTCGCATAGGCGTTGAAGTACGCGGAGCTGACGACGGTGAAATGGTAGTCAAACGAGTATGAAGACCAACATTCTTTCATAGTGTCTTCGCGGGACCGTCATTCGCTCTCCCTTTGGTGCGGTCACGTCCATCGCTGTACGACGTCCTATATTGATTCTCATGTATCTAAGATAGACATATCGACTCAAAGATCATCAGTCCAGAATGAATCACTTAAGGCTTGAAGTTCGCAGAAGACTTGCCTGAAGGCAGCCAGTTTGTAGACTGGTCTCTTGAAGAGCAGAGTGATCTCTGTGTTCAGCTTGTCTGTTGTATTCAGGTGCGCAACGACGGCCCAGGTGAGAAGAGATGTAACTGATCAATAGCGATTTGTGCTTTCTAGCGCAGAAAGCGAACACAGCTACTCGGGCCTGGCTGTGTCACAAGTACCCCGCTCTGGGGGACTGAAAGACGGGTACGTCACATCAATCGGGCCCCCCGCATTGATTTCACTGCAGCGGAAGGCCTTGGACAAACGAAAAGCAAGACCCACGTCGACCATTCTTGATATCTCGTTCTGCCAGCTGCGACACTGAAAAGAAATATATCGGACATCAAGACCTGCAGTACATGCAATAGTAGTACGAGACGAAAACGAGTGATCAAAATACCGTCTCAAATGAAAGAGCCGCGAATGAATCATGTTCAGACGCCTATATCACAGATTAAAGACTTCACACCTGCACGATCAGGTCTTTCTCCTTCTGAACCTCCTCTTGATCCTGGGCCAAACTGGCAGCCTGCACGGCCTTGGCTTTGCCCGAGGCCAGGCTCCCCACAGCCTTCTCCCACACAGTTATCAACACCCAGGCGACCACAGCAACTCTCGTCGCGTTACAAGCGTCTAAGCCGGGCCCCTTTCCGCTCGGCCAATATCTGCTCAACCATACTCCAATGGGTCCTGTCGAGATCCAGAGGACGGGTTTCAAGGCAGACATGACGACCCGCGGGACGGGCTTCGTGACTCGGATCCACCACTCCTTGATTGGCTCAAAGTTCTTCTTCGCCGTAACCTCGTCGAGATGGAATGCCGTGGGAAGGAACGCAACGACGATGTATGGAGTGGCGACGGCGAATGCGCCCAGTTTCGCAGTCCACATGGTGTTCTCAAACGTTCCCGTCTCGAACATCTTGGCGGCGTCCAGGGGCGCTAGCCACCGCGAGGTGGTAAGGCGGAGTAGCAGCCAGTGCGCCAGCACGTTGGCGTAGGCGTTGTAGTACGCCATAAGGAATGCTAGACACGGGATTGTGGCGAGCGTGACGAGGACGATATGGGCACGGGTGACCTTTCGCCCGCCGTCTGCAGGCTCCTCCACACCCTCGCGACCTTGCTCCATCGACTCCACCTCGACATCCTTCTCATCCGTGAGCTGGATAGCCGGCTTCCGAGACTGCCATAGCCAGACAAGAGCCTGGAACGTGGCGTGCCACGCGCACACCACGGTGGCGACCACCATAGCGTGCCGGACATCTAGCCATGGCTCGCGGCCAACAGGACGCAGCAAAGCCCCCAGTGGGCCCACCGCAAACAGGAATGCGCTCTTGAATATACGGACGACGAATGAAGGAATGGATGCAGTCGGGCGCGCCCACCACTGCTTGAACGGCTCGATCGTCCGTCCACGGGGAGCGGTCTCGGATTTATGGAAGACAAGGACGGTAGGGACCATCGTCACCAATGCGCGGGGTAGGTAGACGAGATAGCCGCTTGCCTGCACTGCAGCAAAGGCGGTTATTGGGTCGATCGCCTGGAATGACCCGGAGGGGTCAAGCGAGGGCCAGCGAGACACGATGGTTCGAAGGACCCAGTGCGTGACCGTGTAGGAGACGCCGGCCATCGTCGCCATCATCCAGGAGTAGAAGCTGACGTATACGAGGGCGAAGAAGATGGCTCTGAGAATGGTCTTGAGTACGCTCCTCTTGGGCTGAAGCGTGGCGTCCTGCTGCTCCTGTGTAGCCAATGGCTCGTCTGAGGGCTGGAGCCCAGGTACTGGAACGGATGGGTCTATACTCTAGGACAGTGAAGAGAAGGAAAGTGTCAGACTAGTAGACCATGCTTCACATCGGTGGGGAAACCGTTTCACCTCTGCGTCCTTCGATGTGTCCATAGTCAGTGCTGGTGAGGTGCAGGAATGTGTGGGGATCCGTCTTATGCTTTGTATAGGTCCTCGACTACGGTCTATCTGTCAAAGATGGCGCAGCCGTGTGAGAAGAGATAAGGCGGCTCCGAGAAGAGATAAGGCGGCTCCGAGAAGAGATAAGGCGGCTCCGAGAAGAGATAAGGCGGCTCCGAGCGGCTACGGCGATTCTGGCTGATAACCCAACCCTAAGTATCCTGACTTCAAGTCAGCTGGCCTAAAAGTAAGATTGGACTCAGCCCAGACGCACTGCCACTGGCAATACCTAGCATTGCCACCGGGCTATGTAAGTCAGTAATGATTTGTCTCAGGTATATGCAGCGTGCACCTAGCTGACGTACGTGCCATGAAACTTGAGAACATATGTAGGTCACTATCGCTAGCAACGCGCACTCCGATGACTATCTGATACTGGCGAGTCGAAGAACGTCCGTCTCGTGCCTCAAGGCGGAAGAATCGCAATGACACGTGCGACTCAGTGTTCTGGCCGACAAAGATGCCCCTTGCGCACTTTCTGCTTGCTCTCACATCCGCTCCCGGCGAATTATACCGTGTGTCCGCGAGACCTGCAACATGCGATCGTCTGCTTCGTCCGCAGTCCTTACCACAGTCGCATTGCGTTGTACATGGGGACACGTCATTCCTGTGCAATCGCAATCTCTTTACCGTGTATGGTGAATACAGGTGATTCTGTCTATGCTACATAGTCATACACCGACGCCAATATCTACGCTCCCCACAAAATCATCAGGCCGGAGGCCTTAAGGCTCCAGTCGCTTAGGTGAGTCATCGTGCTCGAGCCCCTTCTCCATCTGCTCAGTCTCCCGATTCTTCTGGTCCGTAACACCCGTAGTGCATCTCTTCGAGCGGCACCTCAGCATCCACCCACCGGCCTCCGACGTGGCCATGGCGAGCACGCACACTACCACACTTGCTTTGGTAGCATGCCAAGGGTCCAAACCCACCTCACCATACACATCTCTCCCATCCTGCAACAAGGCTCCAAGCGGACCTGCTGCCATGATCAGCCCAAGGTCAAAGACGCGCACGACACACGGGGGAACCGGGGCAGTGACGCGCGCCCACCACCGCCTGACCTCCGCGGTGCGTTCGTCAGATCCGGCAGGGGAGGGCTTGTGCTCGCTAGCGGATGCGAGCGGAACGAAGGGTGCGATGAGCCCGCGGGGGATGTAGATGAGCCAACCGCCGTGTCTCGTTGTGAAGGCGGTGCCCAGGAGCGACGCGGACTTGAACACCCCGGAGGGGTCGAGCCACGGAGGGCTGGTGACCCGGAGCAGGAAGTGTGCTGCCGCGTAGCCGCAGGCCACTGAGCATGCCATGCAGTTGGATAAGGTCAAGGAGAGTGCAAGTGTTTGAAGGAGGAACTTCAGCCCGAGCCTGCGCGTATCCGTAGGATTCTCCTCGGATGGCGACACTATTTCTGAAGTGTCCGTAGCGGGCAGATCCGGGGAAGGCATTATCGAGGTGACCTAGATATGATGAAGACACAGTCAGATCATGTCGTCAAGGACATGCCTTCTGGATTTCCTACCTGATTCTCGCTAGGTGTAGAAGAGGTTGTCGAACAGATGAAGGATAGAGCAGAGATAAGAGGGGTGTCAACGGCGGCTTCGGAAAGGTCATTGTACTTGTCCTATTCGGGCTTCATAGGACGCTCCGTCATCGGTTTGTTGTTGGCGGCTTTATTGCGCCCGTCACTGGCGTTTCACCTTACCCATTAGATCCCGTGATGACACGAGCAGAGGACCGGGCTCGACCGAGAAACACCAGATTCACCGCCTTCCTTCGTTGTTAAATATCGGACTTGTGCAGGACTTGAAGGCCAATTGGCAATTTATGTGTTCAGAGACCGCCGCTGAATCCACGACAACTCTGCGTGAGGGTGAAGGGCATGTGAGCACTGCATGACGGGCAAGGCGCATGCCGTCCGCACGCCCAGAGTCAGCAACGGTTAATCCAGCCAGGCGTTATTGCACTTTGCTCTATGGGCCCGTAACAAGAAGTCGATCAGCAATCACTTCAGGCTGCAGCGATCGTCAGTGAAAGGCAGACTTGGGCAGCCTTCGCGATCGTCCGCGTGTATGAACGAAGTGACTAGAACGACAGCTTACCATACACGCGATGCAATGTTGGACGTAGAGGCAGGCTTTGTAAAGCGGAGGAAAGACACGATTGTAAAGACAGATATATTGAGCAGTAGATCGCGAACAAGGCACGAGGGGGACCGCGAGCGCTCTAAATTGTCCTGCTGAAGAAACTGCTACATGAGTGTCAACCAATCGATCGTGCTGTAAACAAGAGGAGGTACTCACTATGCCGCGATTGGAAGCAACCCAAGCGTCCCTTGCCTATAACGCCTGTCTATTCGTACGCTGCCTTCAGCCCCTCCGCCGCCCCATCCCGGGTCCCCCACAACCGTTGATAGCCTGCCAGAAGGACGCCGTGCAGATGAGACGGACAATGATCCACACAACACCCTGTCCTACCAAAGCAGCAACGAGCATGCTAGCGGGGTCGAGCAGACTCGGGCCGTCGACGCCCCCGAGCTCGGGATCGGCCGCGGCGAGCAGCTGCATGGCGAAACATCCGACGGGAGCTGCCACGACCTTGCTGACATACCAAACGGGCATGGGAATGGCGGGAATAGCGACGGAGATCCTCAGGGTGGTGAGGATGGTCAAGCCAATCGCGGAGGCGATGTAGGTCGGAGCGTAGTGGGCGAAGGAGTACGCATCACGGGCGCAGACCACGCCGATGAGGAGGTGCGTGCTGGGTATGCAGACCAGGTCTGATGCGAGGAGGTAATGACCGCAGACCGGGATGAAGGAAATGACCACGATAGCGAGGAAGGAGTCGAAGATGAACACCGGGGTAACAAGAAGAGTGAGCCGAGCTTTTGGGTTAGGCGCGAGATCGCGACGTTCGCTCATCCTTGACAGGACTTCTTATGGAATCGTACTATGGTAACCCCGAGAATCTTGTTCGTGAGACTGCGAGAAACTTGGCTCTGTCACTGGTTTCTGTCAGAAACGTGTTGTTACGCACCTGAGTGGTCGAAACGTTGCAGATGGGTGGGGCATTCTGATGTGCGTGCGATGGCTTAAATGTCGAGACGGCAGCGCCCCAAGATGACTGACCGTAGAGGATCACGGAAAGTCCGGCATCGCGCCGCGATGTCTGGCAGATAATTTCTTGCAACGAGACCATCCAGATATTGAGACTTCTAGACCTGCGTGCAAAGCTGCTGGTCGCCTGACCGCAATCGGCCCTATTCACCAGGCTTGACGCGATAGGCCACCTGTGTGAACAGATGTCGGGATGAACACGAGGAAAAATGACGGCCGATTCTTTCTCGCTCCGACCACCTCATTCCTCTCCTCCGTAGGCTGGATCAGACCAACGGCGTCTCATCATGTCTCGGCCGCCTGCACAATATCCGGCTAGGGCCCCGCGCTGGCTGGACGGAGCGACCGCTCGTTTCTCTATCTCGAGCCAATGCGGCCGTGCGCTGCTCATCTTCGCGAAGACGCCTCCCGGCGCATCATCAGCCTGACCCCCCCCCCTGGGATGCTAGCTGAGTGTATATCCATATCACTCTGTCGCTATCCCGGCCCCAGATCGCGGAGCAAGCGGCAAGCGGTGGTAGACCATCTGTCCTTCAGCCCGGGAGGGGACGAACGGTGACGACTCAATTGACCCCGTCGTCGTCGTGTACCCTCTCCCGAACAGAGGCGACCGCAGGGGGATAAGGTGGACAGAGAACATGCCCTCATCGCTCTCAGGTACGTTGTGCCACATTGAGGACTGGGGCGCATACAAGGTCCAGGGAGGGCAGTCGCACTTCCCATCTGGAGTGAGGAGGTAGCCATCTTCGCCTTTCTAGGGGAGATCCTCCCGTCCCGTACACGTTCAATGATCGATGAGCAGCCTACGTATAGCGAGATAGCACCGAGCTTGGAGCATTTCGTCACCATCCCCACCGTACAATATTCTACCGGCCGGCCGACAGGCCAATTTGTTTGGTGGTGTTTGTGTGCTGGGCGGACGGGCGCATAAGAATATTACAAGAATTGTTCAGGGTTGATAGCCCCTCGTACGGTGTCTTGCATGCAACTGTTGGGCATACGATGCACCACACGTACACGTATTGTGGGCGTAGGGCGTATCATGTGCCGGAGGATGCAGAAGCTGTCGTCCTGCATGGGAACGGCGACATCGGCAGTCGCTGATGTCGACGTTCCCTACTGGTGCATCAGGTGCATCCGTGGGTCATGTTACTCATCGGTTGAACGCAATGGAGCACGTACAAAAGCTTCCAGTCCTTGAAGAGTTCCATCACCGAGTTCGCGTCTTGCCAATTTTCGTTATTTCTAGGAGTGTCTCGCAGTTGGGAACTCGAGCTCATGGCGCATTTCCAGGTGACTCAGTCTAAGCCCACAGTGCTCTCGTAGAAATCAATGTCAGACATCGTCATAGGGCATACTATCACACGCGAAGAAGCTGGAGTGGCGGTGGCGTAGGAGAGAAGCTGTCAGGAAGCCAGGGCAGGTGTCGTCAGGGGACTGGCAAGCAAGTCTAACCGTGAGGATATGGTAGTGCTCATCAGAGCCGTGCTGCCAGAGGATTTCAGTTGCGGTGCTGACCGTGGACTCCGTGGCGGTTCAGCGAGAGTAGAAGTGAATATCCAAAACGGATATGAAGATGGCGCCCAAGACGCGGACATGGACCAACGAGGCCCTACTAGATCACTCTGTTGGTCGTGCTCCTACATTGAACTCCCGACTCCTTCACTACTCCGCAGCTGTCGATCCTCTCCCACATGTTACCCTCTCCTCCTGTAGGAAGCTCTCTTCAAGGACACCGGTAACGGACAATTGTCTGTTGGATGGCTGCACTGGAGCCCCCTTTTCACATGTGATAATTCTCGGCACGAGATATCCCGGAGTGCATCTCTGAGAGGCGCAGAGAGGCACCGCAAAGGAATTTGAAGCTGAGAGCCCCAAGGAAGTGAAGGTTCGTTCCACAGCATGGAAGCTCCGCAGCCCCATTAAATGGCTCGCCTCCTGGCTCATGGCCTCGTCACACTGGTTCACCGTCGTCTTCGGCCACTTTGTGCTCCGACATATCCCTCCCAATCTGTTCACGACACCCTCGCGAACATCCGTGTCCATTTCACGATGTTCTCTGCCGCCGCAGGTGGTCGACGTCCCTTCTCCTAGCAGCTTGCTGCTCGTCGTTCCCCTCAAGTTCGATCGCTCTGTCCTCTTCAAGTTCTGCGCGGCGCCTGCCAACCCCTTGACCACCGAATGTATCGATATGTGCTGCTGTTCCTCATGTATGCGCCTCGCCTCTCCGCTGGACCTATTGGATGCGCTGTCGATTGGCGTATCACTGCTCCAGACCATCTGGAAGAGAACAATGGATTCATTGCATGCTGCTACAGCTGGAGCTACGGAGGAGTTGGTGCTATCTGTACTTGGGTACGTGGAGAACCAGTTGAAGAGGTGGGCGGCGGGCGGCGAGTCTCTTGCGAAGGACGCTCTACCTATGTGATGTGCGGTGCGTGCAGAGACTTTGACTCATGCGATTAGACTCCGGTCAGTTCCTGTGTTGCGGTGGAGATAAATACGGTGTGGTTGGGACATACATTACAGAGGGTGTGTGGTACGCTTTCATTCGGCAACGATATCAAAGAAACATGGCACGCTGCATGCATGCAAGGGGCGTACTCAATAACCACGAAGGGCGACCAGAGGGACTACCACATGCGCCGCAGTGCGTGCTTTGGCACGACTGATCCGGGTGCTGCTGCTGCAGCACTGGCATGAGTTGAGTAGGGCGCCCGCCCAACCTGCCGCAAATCTATGCTTGTGCCAGAATCTGCTCATGACCCTTCTCTACCTCCTCAGCCTCCTGATCGTCCTCGTGCGTGACACTGTTGGTGTGTCCCTTCCAGCGGTACATCATCCAATCATCGACCCATACCGTGGCGACGTAAAGCCCACATGCGACCACACTCGCTATGGAAGCATGCCGAAAATCCAAGCCCCCGTCGTTAGCATTTTTCTCTCCCAGCCATATTCCGGGCGGACCCGCGGTCAGGAACCGCCCAAACCTGAGGTGCAGGAGGCGTATGACCCTCGAGGAGGTCCGGGAGGTGATCTGTGCCCACCACCGCTTGATCTCCGAGACGTGCTCCTTAAATACGACGGCCGCCGATTTATAATCCCCCGCGAGCGCGAGCGGCAAGAGGTCCACAACGAGCACGCCAGGGACATCGATGAGCCAAGCGGAAACCACTGTCGCGACGAAAGTGGTCCTGAGCGAGACCGACTCGAACTGGCCCGAGGGGTCAAGCCAGGGCGGGGAGTAGACACCGAGTATCCAGTGTGCTATGGTGGTGCTGCAGGCCACGAAGGTCGCGATGCAGCTGGAACTCAAAAAAGAGAGCGTGGATGCGCATATCAGGCACTTCAGCCCGAGCCTGCGCGTATCCGTAGGTTTCTTCTCCTCGGATGGCGACACTGTTTTTCTGAAGAAGTGTCCGTAGCGGGCATATCCGGGGATGGCATCATCGGGGTGTCCTGGATGTGAAGATTTAGTCAGATCCTGTCGTCGAGGGCATGTCTTCCGGATCTCTTACCCGAGTTCGCTAGGTGTAGAAGAGGTTGTCAAGCAGATGAATCATGAAGCAAAGATAAGAGGGGTCCTCACGGCGGCTTTGGAACGGTCATGGCGTCCTATCATGGCTTCAAAGGACGTTCCGTCATCGGTTTCTTGTGGGCGGCCTGACTGCGTGGCATACCGGGACGTAACGTTATCCATTAGACCCCGTGATGACACGAAGCAGAAGACCCGGGCCACAGAGAAAAGGCCGTGCTCACCGCCCTCCTTCGTTGTCAAAAGCTTGTGCAGGGCTTGAAGGCTGGTTGACGAATTATTTGTTCCCAGACCGCCGCTAAATTCACGATAACTCTGCGTGAGGGTCATATAATGTGTGAGCACTATCTGAAGGGCGTGTTAGCACTCCACGATGGGCAAAGCGCCACGCCGTCCGCACGCGCAGAGTTCGACAACGGTTCATACAACCGGGCGTATATTGAACTCTGCTCTATGGGTCTATATCAAGAAGCCGGTCGCTTCAGACTGCGGCGATCGCCAGTGAAAGGCAGACTCGAGAATTCTTCGCGGTCGTCCGCGCGTCTGGAAGAAGTGAGTAACACGACAGCTTACCGTATACGCGATGCAACGTTGCACGTGAGCGCAGGATTCATAAAGTGGAGACAAGTGCGATTGTGATGACAGGTATATTGTGCAGCAGATCTCATAGAAGGCACGAGGGGGACCGCGAGCTCTCCCATTGGACCTGCTGCATAGACTCCACTACAAGACTATTGACCAAGCGACAGTGCTGTAAACAGGATGGGGTACTCACCATGCCGCGATCGGAAGCAATCCAAGCGTCCCTTGCCTATAATGCCTGCCCATTCATACGCTGCCTCTAGCCCCTGCGCCGCCCCAGCCCAGGGCGTCCATGACCGTTAACAGCCTGCCAGAAGGACGGCGTGCAAATGAGATGGACAACGACCCACACAAGCCCCTGTCCCACCAACGAGCATCCTGGTCGGGTCGAGCAGGCTCGGACCGGCGACGATCCCGAGGTCGGGTTCGGCCACCGCGAGCAGCCGCATCGTAACACACCCGACGGGAGCTGCTACGACCTTGCTGACATACCAAATGGGCATGGGGATCCTTGAAAGACCGATTGAGATCCTGATGATGGTGAAGATAACCAAGCCGATTGCGGAGGCGAGGTAGGTGAGGGTGTAGTCGGCCGGGGGGTATGCATCATGGGGGCAGACCACATCGATGAGGAGGTAGATATCACGTATGCAGACTAAGCCTGAGGCCAGGAGGCGATGGCCGCAGAGTGGGATGAAGGAGGGGATCACGATGCCGAGGAGGAGATGGAAGACGGAGGTCAGAGTGATGGGGCGAGCCAATGTAACTGGCTGATTGGAAGAGGGCTTGTGATGGTCGCTCATGCTTCGTTCGTGTGACTGCGAGAATATCGGCTATGTTACTCGTTTCTGTCCGCAACGAAATCTCACACACCTTAGCGGTCGAAGTGTTACAGAGAATGGGGTGCTCTGGTGCTCGACTATGTGAGTTTAAAACAAGACGAGGCAGAGACGCTCTCAGATAACGGGCAGCAGAACACTACGGACGCACCGGCATGCCCACGCACCGCGATGTCGAGACATGACCTCCCAAAGACGAGTGGGTCCTGATACAAGGGCATTGACGTGCTCTCCAGGCCTTAATCATCGATGACGGCATCAGGGACAGCTCGGAAGGCTTGACGCGATGGGCCATCATCTGTGAGTACGCAGAATCGGGATTATAGATAGGCGTCCCATCGTTCCACTCGACCACCTCACCCATGCTCTCCAGAGGCTAGACCGTCGGGCGAGCAGCTTCCGATTATCCACCTGCACGATAATTGGATACGGCTCTGCAGCCACTGAATGGAACGACAGCTCGATTACCCTATTGCGAGACAAGGTGACCATGCGCCCGTCATCTCCGGAGAGACGACTACTGGCGCACAATTTTCCGGACACCTCTAAATGCTAGCTGCGCGCATAGTTCAGACACACGGACGTACAGAACGCGAAGGAGGCGGCGGTAGGCCATCCGTTTGTCAGCCCAGGAGCAGAGGCATGATGGCGGCTCGAGCGCGTGAAGCCTCAACTGACCTTGATTGTCGTCCTCGCCTGCTACCTCCCAAGAAAGAGGTAGCCAGGGGGGAGAAAGTCGACAGGAGAACGGACCTTGTCTGCTCCAAGGTATGTTCTGAGATATATACGGCCCTAGCGCGAGCTCTAGAGAGGGTAGTCTCGTATCCCATCAGGGTAGGAGGTGGCTATAGTCGCCTTGCGGGGATGGGCCATCATATTGTACGTGCTCGATTATTTATGTGCAGTCTGCATTGCGCGAGACGACACTGAGTTTCTCGTGCCCCGTCTCTAGCTTTGACACCCCGTTACCGGCTAACAATAGGAATGTATGGGCGCCGAACGAACATCTAGTTGCAGAGGAGGCCCGCCAATCTGAACTCATGCAACTAGTGGGCGTACGGCGTGTCATATGCCGTAGGACGTACGAGCTGTCGAGAGATTGGGAACGTCGACATTAGCGTTGGTCGCCGATCCCGAAGTTCCCACATCGGATGCACTCGTGCGCCATGTTCCTGAAGTTTAACCTAATGAATCACGTACGAGATGCTTCGATGATCTGCAGAGTGGCAGCAGTGCGGTCGCGTCTTGCAGACTTGCATTTGTGAGCTCAGGACTCGGGGCATGTTCCCAATGCTAGTCCGCATCGTGTCGGACGTCGTCATTGACGAAGTCAGACAGCAAGAAGCTTGCGTCACAGAAGGGCGTAGAAGAGAGTTTGTGGGGTCGCGGGCAGTTTGAAGGTAGGTCCAGACAAGTCGTGCATCTGCAGCTAAGGTGGTGGAAAATCATAGCAGTACTCGCAGTGTTCACCATCCCGCGATCTGGACGATCGCGAGGGCTGCGCCTAAAATGTAGACTCACCGCTTTGTCGGTTCGGCTCCGCGGCACACACATTCCAGCACTCCGAACGCAGCCATCACGATCAATCCCCCACCAGAGGCTGCTACGGTACTCTCTCAATCCTCTTGGCACAGAGTCAGACCCCTCCCCATCCCTATGGATACGGGTAAAGGTGAGTTGCCTAACGTATACCTGTGTCGAAGTATTCCTCATGCGCATGCCAACCTTTGATATCAACCCCAGCTGACATGCTGGGGTCCGGAGACAAGCAGCTGGAAGGTCTAGAGGAGGCCGGAGGCGCGAAGAGGTTGGAAGGAGACACTCCTGGGAAGGGCTCGTCCAGCTGCGCGGACGGCGTGCCACCCCCTCGTGCACAAGGCACAGTCGCATGGATAGCGAGCCCTCCACTGACTCGTCTCATCACATTCGGTCGCCGCATACACACAGAAGCTCTAGCAAGGTATGAGGAAACGTATCCACGCGTACTCGACACCCTCAGACGCGTCCTCAAGCTCTGCGGTCTCACCCTTATGATCATCTTCGTCGTCATGCTCGCATCCTGGTTCATGGCCCTATCACACTGGTTCACCGTCTTCTTCGGCCACTTTGTGCTCCGATATACCTTCCCCCAATTCCTCGACGACGCCTTCGCGAAGAAGAACCTCGACTTCACAGCGATCTTCGCCGCCATCGGTGCGCTCGTGGTCAACCTCCCTCCGTTCCTCATCTTCCTGCTCTCCGTTCCCCTCACGTTCGATCGCACTGTCCTCGAGGGGAGCGCGGCGCCTGCGAACGACTTCATCAAGCGCATCACACCGAACAACTGGTATGCGCTGATGTTCCTCAAGTATGCGCCTCGCCTCTCGGCTGGACCCGTCGGGTGCGCGATCTATTGGCTACTTACTGGCCCGGACGAGGTTGAGGACACATTGGATCCGCTGCATGCCGCTATAGCTGGAGCTGCTGGGGAGTTGGTGCTATCTATACTTGGGTACGTGAAGAATCGGCTGAAGAGGCGGCCGGTGGGCGGCGAGCCTATCACGAAGGACACCCTGCCTATGTGATATGTGGTACGTGCAGGGACTTTGTGTGTCATACTATGGGACTTTGGCGAGCTATTACATTGCTGCAGACATCACTATGCTGCTGTCTGATGTACATCGTAGCCCATTGTGTTGTTCGCGTTCGTTCCAACACAGCGCGGTCCTGACATGACATGTTGCGACCCATGTTGTCAAAAGCGTGCATGTAAAGGGGGAGCTGATGACCACAAGGGGCAGTTAGAGGTACCGCTACAAGTGACGGCGTGTCATTCGGGGTGTGTCCCGATGAACCTACTGATGATGCACCGTCTCAGGACGTCGATATGCGAGTGCCAGAAGGGAATTTGTGTGAGTGGGGAGTGGTATCATCGTTCTGCAGGTGATCAGGGTCGAACCAAAACGTCAACGGCTGGAACCCAGCATTGGTTGCTCTGTCTTTATTCTTGGGTTGGCCCATACCGCCTGGAATTTTGTACATTGAGTTGACATTGGGGGACAATAAGGGGAGTAATGCTCACGAGCATAGACACGTTCTCACTGCCGTCCTCACCAACCCATCTCTTGACCGTCTCTTGGTTCACGGAGACGCTGTTCACATGGCGCGCCAGACGTTCCAGCTTGTCCAGGTCCATGTCGAACTTCTTCGCCAATGCTTCGAGGTCCTTTTGTGTCGCGACGTATTTGCGCTCCTCGAGGAGCTCGAGCAGAGATTCGGCCACAAGACGATTCCGTGTCGATCGCGGCGAGCGGGCTTCCTCCTCCGAGCGTAACCGCGTGTCGTGTATGCGTTGCGCCGACGCCGCCGCCTTTGCAGCATAATGTCAGCGTCGGCGAACAACTGAATGAATTGGGATCGACATACGGGCCGTATTGTCTGCATATGATGGTCTACCCTGACAGGACCCAGCTTGCTCAAATTAGCCAGGAACTGTGGGTCGTGGGCGTCGCGCTGAATGCCTGCACTTGCCGTCAGCTAGCCAACGCCTGAGATGTGCTACTCGCCCACCTTCGTCCTTGGTCTCGCTAGCTCTAGGAAGTGGTCGCGCGTGAGGATGGAGCTGTTCGCCGACATTGGGGTTGGGCGTCCTTGCGCCTACCCATGCAGGTGGTGTTCGTGCGAGCTTACGCGCTGCAGGCTTCGAAGATGCTGAGCCCATAGTGAACGTTTCCGGGAGGCCAGCCAGGCGGAGTCGAGCAGAGGCCTTGTACACCGGTCGCGCGGCACGATGGCAGACGTCACAAAGGCGTCGAACGCGTCTGTCGCGTCGCGCTTCGGAGGTCGGACCGTCGGCAGCCGTGCCAGTCGACGGTGTTCTAGCCGCACTGCTTTCTCGCTCTCGCTCTCGCTCTCGCTCTAGTTTCCTGCCCCTTCGTTCTCCATGTCCCGCAGGCGAGTCGCGTATTACTATGATCGTGAGTCGGAAGCTCGAGACTACAGTACATTCTCGACACTGACCCGGGAGACAGCCGATGTGGGGGCCTACAGCTTTGGCATGACGCACCCCATGAAGCCCCAGCGAATGCGCATCACCCATGAGCTTGTTTCAGCATACGAAATGCTGCCCAAAATGCGCGTCCTGGTAAGCACTTGCTATCCTTTACCGCTATCATGCGCTGGGACCGAGCGTCACGTCAATAGAGAGCAAAACGCGCGTCCGCAACGGACATGACGAAATTCCACACCGACGAATACGTGCATTTCCTATCAAGAGTCACCCCCGAGAACGCGCGGCAGCTCACATACAACGGCAATCAGTTTCTGGTGGGAGACGACAATCCGGCTTTCGACGGCGTTTTCGAGTTCTGTTCGATATCTGCCGGAGGGTCCGTAGGTGCGTCCCCTCCCCTCTTTCCCCGTACTCTGCCGCTCAAGCCAAATGTGTTAGCTGCTGCACAACGGCTCATGGAGGGGAAGTGCGACATCGCCATTAATTGGGCCGGGGGCCTGCACCACGCGAAGAAGCGCGAGGCGTCCGGTTTCTGCTATGTCAACGACATTGTCCTCGGCATCCTTGAGATGCTCCGCTCTGTCCCTCGCGTTCTGTACATTGACATCGACTGTCACCACGGAGACGGGGTTGAGGAAGCGTTCTACACCACGAACCGTGTCATGACGTGCTCCTTCCACAAGTATGGGGAGTACTTCCCGGGGACAGGCACGCAACATGACAAGGGGCGGGGGAAGGGGAGAGGGTACGCGCTGAACATCCCTCTGAAGGATGGGATCACGGATGAGGCATACAGAAGCGTGTTCGAGCCGGTGAGTGTTGGACGCATCTACCTCTTCTCTTCCCTTTTCCTGTCTCTATCCTCTCCATGCGCGTGCCGGCTGAGGCTGAGGCTCGGATCGTTAGGATGAACTCATGCCTGACCCAGACTCCAGGTCATCGACAAGATCCTCGACGTCTTCCAGCCCTCCGCCATTGTCCTCCAATGCGGCGCCGACTCGCTCTCCGGGGACAAGCTCGGCTGTCTCAACCTGACGATGCACGGGCACGCGAACTGCGTGCGATACGTGCGCTCGAAGAACATCCCGCTCATGCTCTTGGGCGGTGGGGGATACACGGTGAAGAACGTCGCGCGGACGTGGACGTACGAGACCGCCTGTGCGCTCGGCATCGAGAACGACATCGACCTGAACTTGCCGTGGAACGAGTACTTTGAGTGGTTCGGCCCGCGCTACCGTCTAGAGGTCCCTGAGAGCAATATGGAGGACATGAACACCGAGTCGCTCGATAAGGTCCGGTGAGTATGCGCTACGTTCACGCTGCTAAGCCCATACATGGACTGACTTGATGCACACCAGCTCGAACGCATTAGAACAACTGTCGCGACTGCGTCCAGCTCCATCAGTGGGGCTGCAAGATGTGCCAAGGGCGAGCGTGGGGGAATTCCTCGGCATCGGCAGCGCGCACGAGCAGGCACCTCTAGACGAGCTCGATGAGCAACTAGCCCGTACGTATCGAGCTTCCCCGGACATCCCCGCGTGCTCATGCAGCCTGGTCAGAACACACCCGCTTCGTCTACAACATGCAGGAGTCCATGGCCCGATCCGAGTCCGAGTCCGACTCGGAATCGGACACCGCCCGCCCCCGCACGCGATCGCGCGACATACGCAGTGGCAAGAAACGCATGAGCCTCCTCACGGGCGAGATCTATGATGTGCCCCGGTTGGAGGAGCGCGAGAATGGGTACTATGATCTCGGCTGCGGGCACGAGCCATGGGCGAACGATGCGCCCGCGCGCGGAGTGCGCAGACACTTCTTTCAGGGGGGAGCGAGGTGGGACCCTGCGTCGCACCAGATCGTCATGGAGCGGGAGCGGGCGGGGTTGAGCAACGGTCAGGTTGACGTCGGGAGGTTGATGGCCAATGGTGGCAGGGAAGAGGAGGCTGCTACGGATCTAGTGGACGAGATGGACGTCGACTCAGAGGACGTCCGGGTATGAATTTACTAACTTATTCACCTATATTTCAACAGCTGTCTTGTACTACTATACACCCTTTGTATTCGCCCTTCTCCATCGGTCTCACAACTCGTGTCGTAGAGGTACTATGTACATATCAATTCAACATGCCGAACATGTGTCGGTCCAAGACTTCCGCAGACAGTGAACATTGTGGCGTTATTCTTCTATTGTTCAGCGGCCGCACACAATGGCCTCCAGTATGTAATACATAGTAAGCGACCGGAATGGAAAGAGACGAGAGGATTGAGAGAGAAGACGAGATAATGCAAGCCAGACGAGTCACCCTTCAGTACAGTATCTTCGCCCGATACCGTCCTACAGCCCGAACCGCGTCCAATTTTTGTGGGAGATAATGGAACAAATGAGTGAGGATCACGACGACTAAGGGGGTTTATTGGGAGCGTAGCAGTGGCATATGGGGTGACATGTACGGCGTATTGTGGGAGAGAGAGGGTATCGGATGGGCGGGGGATCCAGCACGGAAGCCCAGGGGAGCCAGCGCGCGGGCCGCCGCACGAGTCAATACGACAATATGTAGGAAACACGGGAAGCAACGTGACGGGGGAAAAGAACAGAGTATCCTCATGGCTCGACAGTATGTTCCAGAGAGCAGTTCGTGACAGATCGTGAAACCGATAGCGGTTGACGTTGGAGGACTCTAAGCGTGGAAGGTACCCATGTTAGGGGGGTTCTGCTGTTGGTACATCTGATACATGTACGCCTGGTAGACGTGCGGTGGGACAGACTGCGGAGCCATTCCGTTGTACTGGGGCTGTTGGTTCATGTTAAGCATGCTGGCCGCCTGGGAGAGACTCGGCGACTGGGCGCCGTACGGGATCGGCGACGGAGAGACGGCGTTGTTAGACGGCCCGTTGCGGCGAGGACCGTTGTTCCTAGGAGTGGTCGCCTCGGGAGTGCGCACAGCGAACGGATTGAATGGGTCGGAGTTCGGCGAGAACGCGGACGGGGGGTTGGACCGACCCCCGCGCTGCTGCTGTTGCTGTTGCTGCTGCGGAGGGCCACCGTTTTGGCCGTAGCCGGGGTCAATCTGAAGGCGGGGAGGGCCAGAGGCGGCGTTCTGACCGCCCATCTGAAGAGCGGCCATCATGGACTGGAGACCCTGATCGCTCGATGGGTACCCTGCCGGAAGACCCGGCATGCCAAACTGGTTCTGCTGACTGTATTTGGACTTGCCGCTGGGCTGCGGGATGTTCGTCGTGTACGTCGGCTGCAGGTTGGGGACGGGCAGGCCAACCTCCTCGATCAAGCGGCGGTATGCCTGAGTCGCGATGACCTTGAGCTCGATGAGGACGCGCTTCGTGGCCTCGACGTAGCTTGGGCGGAGAGCAGGGTCAACGAAGGGGCTGGTAAGGATCTTGTGGACGACAGCAACACCGTTGACCTGGTCGCCGAGAACATCGGTGAGGACGTGGTCCCCAGGGGAGCTGAACAGCGCCTCAACAATCTGCTTGGACGCCTCTGGCTCGACCTTCTGATTGACGATACGGAGAACCGTCAACGACGCAAGCTTGTGAGTGCACAAGTGCGACAGGTGAGGCGTGAAGCGAGGCGCAAGTAGGTTATAGCGTGACGGGAAGCTCGAGGTGTCGAGCAGCCATGTCAACAGCAGAGCGCCGTTCGGGTTAGTGGCCAGGGGGATAGAGTTGAGGATGATGGCGGTGGCAATCCGCCGCTGTTGATTGAGGGTGATGTGAGAGCTCTCGAGGCACGCCCTCATGCTGCGAGCACCAAAGCGACCCTGAGCGATCTCCCACAGACGATCCACCATCGCGTCAAAGAGGAAGTCAGTCGCGGGTGCGCCGAAGCGGAGACAGCACCTGCTCTCAGTCAGCGCTGTGTGCCCTTGCACCGTCGAAAGCTCTACTTACTGTACAACATAGTTTCCGAACTGATCCAGGAGCAGCGGAGGAACGTAAGGGCGCAAGTTGGCGGTGACCAAGGCGACCTCTTCCGGGGTCTGAACGCACTCGATGATCTTCTGGGCAGCCCAAGTGCCGTTCTTATGGATGCCGATCATGGCGAGATGAGGCGCGATCCGCTCGAGCATCGCCATCCTCGGGCCCGGCGAGCACTTCTCGAAGAGCTTCTGGACGACCTGCATCGGGAGACCGCGGTCAGCGATCTTGGATCTATAAACACATATCTTGCGGTACATACCGTGTTGCCAAGCCAGTCCGAAGCAAGGTCGACAATCTCGCCATCGAGGAAGTCAGCTGCGACGTTGTCGATATCCTCAGTCGTGATAGTGCTCGTGTCCAGCCTCTTGCGCAGTTCGCGAAGCTTCGAAGCGTCCCACCGTCTGTTGTGTGGTCTCTCAGAGACCAGGGGGATAGTAGTATAATACATGGTCGGGGGACGGAACTCTACGATCAACACGTCAACTCCGATCAAGGGAGAAACCTCGCATGCTGGGCGTACCTGCAAGAGTCTGGATGTCCACCTCTGCGTCGGGGCTACCTCCGCTCAACTCCTTCAGAATCATCTGCTGCTCAGTGACGGACGGGGTCCACCCGGCGGGCTTGTTGACACCTTCGTACGTGTGCGCGCCGGCAGCGATCATGCTGAGCAACAAGTTGGACCGGTAGTTTTCCAGGGAGCCGCTGAGCACCTGCTGATCCACCGGAATGGTCGACGCGCCCTTGATGTTACGGAGGGCATGGATCGTCGCACCGACGCTCAGATCGCCGACGCCCTGTACGCTGACATTTGCACCCTCGTCTTGGCCGCCGCTGCCATCCTGGCCGTTCTTGACAGGAACCTTGGCAAATCCGATGCGGATAGCGCCGACGTCGCTGCCCAGGACGTCGCGCCCATTGAGGGCCTTGCGCGCCCGCACAGCGTCGTCGAGACGTTCGAAGTTAACTGTGCCAAGCCTGTCAGCCACCGCCAGTCACGCTAGAGAGGGCCAAGCACGTACTGAAGCCGCAGTTCTTGTGCGTGAGAACACGGGCCGACTCAATGGGGCCGTAAGGACTGAACACACTGAGAATCGTCGCGGGCGTGGTGGTCGAGGGGATGGAGCCGATCCAGAGGGCACGGGTAGGCGTCGACTGGAGCTGGGCGTCCATACCCGACAGCCCAGCGTTCTGGTTGCCATTCTTGCCCAAGGCACCGCCAGGCGATGTAGCGATCGGGCTGTTCAAGTTCGCGCCCTTCGCGGGAGCGACGGGCGCGCTGTCCGCCTTCCCAAATCCGATGCGGACAGTCTGCCCATTCGGCATTCCGATGTCGCCACCAAGACGGTTGAGGACGTCTTCCTTGGCACGGATGGCATCGGCCTGGTCGACGAAGTTGACAAAGCCGCACTCCTGGAGACCAGGTGAAGCGGTGATGTCAGCCTCCAAAAATACTAGAGCTCGCCGACTCGACACACCTTCTCAGGGAGTAAGCGGAGGGACTCAATGGCGCCGTACGGAGCGAACACGTGGATGAGCTGCTCGCTCGTGAACGAGCTGTCCAGGTTCCCGATCCAGAGCGAGCGGGTGGGAGTCTGCATCTGGGTGGACGAATTCTCCGACTTCGGCGAAATGGCACGGTTCTGGTTTGTCGAAGGGGCGGCGAGGTACGCGGAAGCCCGGCTCGCGGGCGGCTCGGCGTTGGGGAAGTGCACGCTTGCGGCGAGGCCGTTCCTTGGGGCGATGGTCTTCTCAGAGCGCAGTATACCCGTAGGGTTCAAAGAGCTGACTCCCAGACCGCCGTGGAGCGACATGTCGGCGCCATAAGAGGACTGCAGCTCACTCACGGTAGCGCGGCGATGGATTCTGGTCGTAGTGTCATCCAGAGTGCCCACAGAGATGGCACGCGGACGAGTCGCAAGGCCCACGCCAAGGTGGTCGGACTGCTTGAAGCCTTGGGCAACGTAGTTCGCGGAGAGATAATTGCTGGTTTCGGTCTCACCGTACGAATCGATGCCTGTGCCGCCACGGTGATACATCTCATTCTCGTAAAGCTCCTCTTCCTCCTCCGCGTTCGGCGTGGACAGAAGCGACGCGGCGGAGGGGCGCAGGTGGTATGGGTTCGACACCGTCGTGGCGCGCATGCGAGCCGGATTGTTGAGGTTGACCGTGATCGCCGCCTGAGCCTGGTTGCGGAGCTCCGAGAGCGTCGCCGCGGGCGGGTGACGTACGCCGTCGTCCAAGCCGAGGTAGTCGAGGGTATGGACGTCAAACTCGTCGTCCATGGATGCTACCGAGCGCAAATCGTCCAACATCGGCAGCCCGTTCCCACCGTTCCTCGTCGAGAGCCACGAGGACGAAAAGATGGACGGACCGAATGCGTTCGACAGTCCGCCCGTTGGGAGCGTGAGCGAGCCCGACCGGAGGCGACTGTTGCGTTCGGTAAGCGCAGAGGAAGCGACCGACGAAGCGACAGAGGCTGAGTGACGTAAACCGGGACGGACGGGGACAGCCGCCGCTGACGTGTTGGTCGGGGTGCCCAGATCGTTGCGCTGCCTGAGCTGCTCGGCGAAGCTGTCAGTCGAGCCTGCGGGACTGCCCAGGTTGCTCGAGGCCGCGGCGAAGCGCTGAGCGGCAAGCTGCACATTGGATGGGAGGGTCCCAGCCCTAGCTCTGCGGAACCCCGGGGGATAGTTGGTAGGAGGGAGGGAAGAGGTATCGGCGGGAGAGTTTGTCAAAGGGGGATGCTCGTTAGGAGGGGAGCCACCGGAGGCGAGGGCGCGCAGCGCAGGAGGCCTGTATCTCGCGCCGATGCTCTGCTCAGCTTCCAACTCCCTCGCGCTGTAAACCGCGAGGCCGGGTCAGACGTTACTGATCGCACGATCTATATACATGGCAGCGGGTAGGGCGACGTACCGTTTAGCATACGCAGCAGAGGGCGCCGGAGGCGGAGTCTTGCCAGAGGACACACGAGAGAAGGAGTTGTCGTTGGCGGAGAGAGACATGAGGCTGTAAGATGTTGGATTAGGTATTACTTGATGGGTTTTGCAGAGCGGATTGCGCGAGAGCAAGCAAGAAGGGGCGAGAGGTAGAAGTAGCAGGAGGAGTCCGATGGGTAACTATGAGCAGGGGGGCTATAGGTCGTAATAGGGCGAATTTCTTGAAGAAACCAATTTTGAGGGCGAAGACGGAGAAGGGGACTGCCCAGGACTACTACAGTAGGGTGGACTCCAGTAAATAGTAGAGGACTAAGTAGGATGAAGGACGTCGTTGGGAGCAGAAAACCTCGCCAAACCAGGCCCTCGTCTCCTCTCCCCGCGGCCCCCCAAAACTCCGCCTTCTTCTATAGCCGCCCAGCTATCGCCCGGCTCTCCATGCCAGCACACGCCCGCACACGCAATCGCCACTAGACAATGAGCGAATTATCATCGTTATTCGTGTCCTACATCTACTACCGGGCGTGCTGCCCACGTTATACTGACTAGTACGAGCACTATACGAGCCTTTCCTACTTGTCCGTACGCTCCCGAAGCCCCGCGGCCCGCCCCCATTCCGCCCTGCGCCAATCGATCTCGCAAGCACAGGGGCCTCCGGATCCTCGGCGGTGATAGAGTGCCCGTCAGGCATCGCAACTCACAATGTGAGCGGATGGATGATCTGATGCTCGGGTGCCGCTATGAAATCAACAAAGAAGCAGCGCTCCCTTGCGGGCGGCGGGTGGTCCAGACCATAGCGGTGCGACCAGGGTGTGCGCATATGTGAATCCCAAGTGCGTCCAGGAAGAAAGGACGGGGACAATGAAGACATAGACGGAGTGGTGAATGGAGAGCGTTAATGGATACAAATTCTACGGATAGACGAAAGGGCGTATCGGGCTATTAAACACGAAGGCAATAAAATTACGGGGTAGAAAGCGAAGAGGACAAAGTCAGGTGAGAAGAGTTGTCGATGGTGGGGGGCTGCGATTATGAAAGGGACGTGCGAGAGCCCCTCCTGCTCGACCGCGTGCGAGAACGGGTTGCTGCTGCGTTTGCAACACGTTTCGATCGCCGAAGCGGCCTCTCTTGAACGCCGTCCGCGGCCTCGGTGGACGGTGCCGACGTTGTCGTCGCCTGAATAGCCTCGTCCACGCAAGATCCCTCCGCCGAGGGCGTCTCCCACTCCGATGCAGCGCATAGCACATGGAACATTTCCTCCTCGGTCGGACTGAGCGGGGTCTCAACCACGACAGGAGCCTCCTCTACTGCGGGATGGTGCCCGTCGATGGCCGCAGTTGCAAGTATGAATGGCGGATGCGTGGCAAGGTGATCCTCCCACGAGACCTCGAATTCTCGCGGAGGTAACTCGAGCCGGTGGGAAGTCATGCCCCGGCGTCTTGCTTCTGATGCCGACTGGAACTGGTGACCGAACTGGGGGTGCGTGGTTGGAGGCCCATCGGCAGGGTGCAAGATATGGATGGTATCCGGGAACAGGGAGCGCAGGTCGTCCGATAAGAACATCGTCAATGTCGACTCGTCTTGCACGACCTCCCGCGCAACGCTGAGAGGAACCCAGGTACCACACACGGACGGCGATCCGGCGCTGATGACGACCGCACTGGGCACCGACGGAACGTCCACGTTGAGATGCTGTGCGATTGAGGAGACGTTCACAAAGTCGGTGTCTACGCGGCGGAGAAGCGTTGATGAACCGAGAGTCAACTGATACACAGCGACGCCTGATCAGAACCGGATAAGATGTCAGTTTCCACAGTAAGGTCAAGATTGAGGTTCGTCGCACCTTCCAGCTGTGTTGCAACGATGGGAGGAGCAGAGGGTACGATGGTGTGAAGCACAAGTGGGCTTACGTCGGACGTGGATTTCGACGCCCACAGCCCCGCAACCTCCTCATGCGGAGCCGTGGCATGGCTCGACGCGGGAGGCACAGATGCAGTCGGTGTCTGGAGGCACAACGATGTCAAGGACGCGATCAGGGAAGGGGAAGAGATCGACGGAAGTCTGCCCTGCCCTGGACGTGTTGCCGCGTCTGCAGACTGCACATCCAAAGGGGCAAGGGTACTGCGTGAGAGAATCGGAGAAGGGGAAAGGGAAGGGGAAGTAGCGGTGGCAGTAGAAGGTTCAGGGGATGGGGACTGGATCCGTTCGTCTGGGGAAACGGCCCGCGTGGCACGGTACTCGTGCCACGCCCCATCATCGAGGTCGTGGGGTTTGACGCTGTCGGGGCCAAGGATCTCCACATCCCTCCACTGCAGCTCGTAGTCTGGACTCGCTTTGTAGACGTTTAGCGGGCACTCCTCCACTGGAGACTCGCACGGGTCGAAAGGAAAGGCGGGGGAGAGCGAGCTGGGCGGAGGCGTGGGATCGTCATCCACAAAGAAGAGATGTGTCTCAACGTCTTCCTGCTTGACACGGACGGGTTCTTCCGAATACAAGCTTGGCCAGGACCACGCTGCAAGATCATCTGATGAGGACTGCTCTGCCTGACGCTCGGCCGCGGCAGCTTGCGCCACAACGTCTAGCACCTTCAGGTCTTTGGCCTGGTTGTCGAAGTCGTCCCAAGCATCTAAGAGTCCGCTGACGTCTGTTGGCTCCTGCTTGACCACGACGTCGTCGTGCGGCTGGGCGGAGGGCGAACGTGGACCTGGACTCTCCCACTGGGTCTCTGCGTCAGCGTCAAAGTCGCCGAAAAAGTCGTCTTCCCAGGCAGAGTCGTCGTCTTCGAGAGGAGTACGAGGACGCCCCACGGACAAGCGCCGAGCGCCTGTCATGGTGATATGGAAGTCCTCGTCTTCTTCCTCAGAGTCCGGCGGTGGTGAACCTGAGAAAACGCTGTAAGGAACAGAGGGCGAACGCCGACGATCCTCATAACGTTGAGCAGAGTCCGAGGAGGAGGACGCGCGGAAGTCAGCGGCAGGCGCATAATAAGCGGCGGGGACGGCCGGAGGGAACCGAGAGGAAGCTGGTGAGGCAAATGAGGAAGGTGCCGAGTCTTCCTCGTCGGAATCGACGGACATTGAGTCGGTGTCAGATTGTTCGGATTCTGCGTCATCGTCGACGTCGGTTTGCTGCAGGCGAGACACATCCGCAGTGTTTGCTTCCGAGGCCACCAGATCAGAGCAAGACGAGCTTGGGTTGGACGTAAGAGAGGGCTTCAGTCTCAGCGTGAGCTTGACCTTGGGCGGTCTCTTCTCTTCATCATCCGAAGAGTCAGAGACTGACTCCGAAACCTTGCCAGCACAGGACCGCAGGGGACGTTTCCGCTTTTGGCCTGCCGCTTGTGCCGCCTTTCTGAGTCTGTCGCGCTCCCGTTTCTTCTCGCGTCCGGCATTGACCGGGGCGCCAATCCGCCCGTTTTCGTTGTAGTCGCACAAACGGATGCCTGCGCGCGCGAATGGACAAGGGGCACCAGCCGCCTTGCTCAGATACCATACCATGGTACCCCGGCGAAAGTTGGTGAGACGGTTTTCGTCTTCGGGTTGAGTGCAATGTGCGCCACCAATACGGGAGTACAATGCAGCGACCAACTCATCGTCTGACGGCGTGCCGGACATGGCATGGCGGAGAAGGAGGGGTTGGTCTTGCTGCACTTCACAACGATGGAGGTGGTTTCGTATAAAGGTCGTGATAGCTTGGCCAGCAGCGGACAAGCTGAGATAAGCAGACGCGTACAATCAATGGTGGTTCAATCTGCTGGAGGGGCACGACGCACTTCTGACATATCAGCCCATACTGCATGCATAGCTCCGCGAGGTCCTTTACGGTCACGGCGCGATTGTCCTGCGATAAAACGAACGTTTGTATGTATTCGCGGTAAGATAAGGGAAAGGTACTAACAACAGCCATAAGGGAACGTCCGATCGCCAGAAAAACCTTGCTATTCGCGTCGTCGGCGTGCAGGGTGACATGCGAGGGAGGAAAGGGGGGCATAAAGGGCTCTGCGGCAGGGGAGGGGGACGAGACGATAGCGGGCAGCTTCGCCTTGGCAATGGGCATGGGCTTGACACGGCGGGGAGCGGGCGGTGGCACATCTGGAAACTGGCGAAGGCGGGCGGAGGGCTTGATGGCGGAGTTTGACCGGGTCCTAGTCCGATACTGGTGCTTGGCTGACGGGTTCTGAGCGGGGGATGGGAGGATGGGCGTGAACATGGGAGGAGGCGAGGACCATGAATGGGGAGAGGGTAGGTGGGCGTCGACCAGCGAGAATTGGGAGGGTGGGGGTAGTTAGGAGGGCGCGAGAGGGAGGAGGTGGTGGGGAGAGGAAGGAAGACGGCATGCGCTTCTGAGACCCTAACGGTAACCGTCGACCCAGCGTGCCTAATTCGAGCTAGCCTAAGGCCTTGATGGCCGCAGCTCCGATCTAGATGACGCAACTTAAAACGCCCGTCCTCTCTCTCCAGGCGCCCGCACTACGCCCGTGCGCCCCGTCATCTCCTCCGTCGCGCGCAGCGTCGGCCTGCCCTCTGCGCCCCGACGCGTGCTGCGCGGGCCTCGGCGGGCGTGGCCTGCCCAGGGAGGACAGGCACGGCCAGTCGCACGCCTCCAACGCTCGGCTACCTCCACGTCGCTAGTAGTTCGCGAAGCATCAAACGCATTATGTCACCCTTGGCTCGCCCTGAGTTTCCACCGCACACACCACTCACCTTCGGGCATTCGCCTGCCTATTCCCCTGATGCCGACTTTGGCCCCGCGCCCCCTGTGAACAAAGCAGCGCACCTCCTTCGACGGACCATCCCCACGTTGCGCCCCGCACCATCGGAAGCATGCCATCCCCAGCGGTTGATAACCGCTATTATCCTGCTCTGTCCCGAACGACGTCGCCGCCTCATTGCGGCCGCCACGGTCGCCATCCCTACAATTGTGCAATCAGAATTTCGCCTTCACGGCAACGCGACTGCCTCCGAACTCATACAATGAAACACTTGTGTATTGTGCACTCACCGCGCCCGTGTCGTGCGTCTGCGGCCGCTGCGCGTCATCCCCTTAATTGGACTCCTCGGTGGTGTCCGGGCCCTCTCGCTGCCTAAGGGTGATCGTCGATCGAGGAGTCGCCCCAGCATCGGGTCACGTCCAACACTCGGCTCGCGGTCCGCCTCATAGGGAGATGGGTGACACTTTCTCGCAGCCGCACAAGGGCACGACATGCGGAAAACACAAGGTTCGGGACGGTCTGACCTGTGTTAGGAGGGCGATCACCCTTGCGTGAGCAAACTGTGGCAGCTGGAAAGCGGCGCGCGAGCTCACCCGCTCGAAGCTTCCGTGACTCCGGATCGGACGACTTTCCGGAGTTCGTGTAGAGCACTCCCAGTGCGCGAACGCGACTCAGTCATAGAACAGCGCTCCGGCAGTTCATCCGGAGATCGTAGCCAACCCATAATGGACCCTACGTCCCAGCACTGTAGCGTGGGCGACGTCAGCAGCCAAGGCGTCTGGTATGTTGCAAAGAACGTACCGGATCACCACCGATCCCATCTTCAGTCGACTGCTCCTCGGAACGACATCTCCACCTTAATACACTAGCTAGGACACACAATCAGCAAAGTGCAACGTGATGACTCCTATTGAGGGAGTACGGGGTTGCATAGCATTCCGCAGAACACCAGCTAAGGAACAACATTCTCCATTCGAGCACCCGTCTTTCTGGAGCTCAAGCGAGCCACTTACGTTGTACACTTACCTACGTCCAGCATCCAGTGAACAATCCGTCAAATGCCGGCCATGATACTTATGCAAGCCGCCAAGTTTGCACCACAGGGGGGAATAGACAGAGTCGTCTTCGCCTTGGCGATTCCAACAGCACGCGATGGTCCACAAAGACCTTGCAGGACAGATAGCATGCAGGCGTGGGGACGAGGCGAGTAACCATCGGAGTGTGAGATGAAGCCGATGAGGGTTGTGGTCGATGTCGAACTGCATGTCCATACCGCCGCAACAGTTTCTGCCAATATTGCACGATAAGTGTAAATATAACAAGAAATAAAGCCTCCTCCAACTCAAGCGTTCTCATGCGGGGTGCCTCGCTTCCCTGTCTGGCGAGGTGCATGCTGTACTACTCAGCGATATGTGATCCTGGGGTACCAGCCGCACTGGCTGAGGCTTTACGAGCACAGATAGAACGCAGTTTCACCACCAAAAAGTATCCTATCAGAGCCGACTATCTCAGTCACATGATCGCGACGCGACACGTCGGCGGCTAACTTCGGCCACTGACTTCTTCCATTCGCTAAGAATTGGATCCGCCCTGAGTTGCACAGACCGTAATCCAAGCTGATATCATCCGAAAGCAGTCCACCATCCATCGATTCGAGACCAAAGATATAGAAACATCACAGTACAGTAGAGATATACTAGTACACGAGGCACACTGCGTCACGAAGCCAAACACAAAACAGCCAATAATGTAGACGACAAACAAGACCGTAACCACGTCATGCAGCAGTCTGTCAAACAGGTCGTTAGACATACTCCAATCGGGCAAAAGCTGAATGGCGCACCTTCTTTGCTCTCGGCTTAGACGCAGGCTTGGATGCAGTCGACTTGGCCTTGGTGGCCTTGGTCGCAGCAGCCTTCGCGGCCGTCTTCTGCAGACAATCGTAAGACCCCCAAAGACCAACGGCAGGTTGAAAAACAACATACCTTCTTCTCGGTAGTCTTAGCAGTGCTCTGCTTCTTGGTAGTCGACGTCGCCTTAGCCGTCTTGGCGGTCTTCGCAGGCGCCTTCTTCACGGCCGTGGTAGGGGTCTTCTTGGGAGCAGCCGCCTTCTTCGCAGGGGCAGCCTTCTTTGCAGGAGCAGGGGCGGCGTTCTGAAGGGGCGATGAGACAGTGCCGACTGAATCGAGTTGCACAGGACGCACCTCATTGGTGGGCTCGGGCTTAGTCTTGGGAGCGAGCTTGACCTTGCCAGAGGGCCCCTTGGGCAAAGCGAAGGTTCCATCCTCGACACCGTTCTGAATAGCACGGGTGAAGCGCGAGGACTCGACGTTGTCGCTGATAGCGTCAAGGCCATATCGCTCCTGGATCATCTGCATGGTGACAATTAGCCTATGAAGTGTTACCGACGAACCCTAACCACAAACCTTCTTCAGCACAGGACGCGACACCCCGGTACGCTCCTTCGAGTCGACGATACACTCCTATGTCGAGCGTTAACAAGAACATCCAGGGCAAGCGAGTCACAACCAACCTTGATCATCTCCTTCCAGGTAGGATGCGCCTTGCCATCGTCCGCAGGCTTAGCGGCTTTAGCCTTCTTGGGTGCAGCGGCGATCTTGGGTTTCTTGATACCAGCGGGCTTAGCAGCCTTAGGAGTGGACTTCTTCTCCGTAGTCTTCTTGTCGGCCGTCCTCTGCGACTTGGGCCTCTCAGCGGCAGCGGACTTAGGCTTGTCGGACGACTTGGGCTTCTCCGCGCTGAACTTGGGCTTGTCGGTAGCGGTAGACTTAGGCTTCTCAGAGGCAGTGGACTTGGGCGCGGTAGCCATCGTAACGAGGTTGATAGTGAGAATGTAAGTGGAGAGGGGATAGACGGTGGTTGTGGAGGATGGGAGATAACGGGCGCAAGCGCAAGGGCAGGGGAGGAGAGCTTAGGGAAATGGTGGCGAGCACTCCGGAACGGCGCCTTCTTATATGGACGCGCGCGACGCGGGTGTCACGTGCCCCTGACGCGTTTTGTTTACAGCAAACCTTAATCCATGTCTCGACGCGTCCCATGCCTCCTGCTTGAGCGCCCGAGAATGCTCCGCGGCTTCTGCACTGCCCGCTGCCCTAATCCTCTTTGTGTCTGTTTCTCCATTCTTCCTGAATGACGGCGCTACGGAGCTACCAAGATCGCTCTTATCCTCGTCCCCGAATACAGCAACTCTGCCGCACCATTTGAGCTTTCTGGATGGCGAAGCCATAGTACCACCATTGCTCCAAGTCACAGCGGACATGGGACGTCGTGTGCACGCGGAGACAATAGGAAGATTCTGTCAGTCTTCATTTGCAGCGAATGTACCTAGGTCGCGCAGAATGAAGACAGCCTCCTCGACCCGCATCTCCAGCACTGTCAACTTCTCCCTCTTCTTCTCCCATTGTGCTAGCAGCTCCCGCTCGTTTCGAGTCAGCAGCCGCTCCTCATCCTGGCTTACGTCGCTCCGCTGGCGCTTGTCCATTACCGCCTTAACGTTCGGCTCGTCTTGCTCAGCTTGCCTACGCGCAGTGATGTTGAACAAAGTCTTGTACATGTTGTCGAGCAGAACGTTGTACGCTTTCTGCAGGTCGACGTACCTGGCGTGCAAAGATATGACGACAGGCCGGCCACATGCGGCAAGACGCGAACTTACCAGAGATAGAACATGCGCGTGGGATTGCGATCTGCGCTCTTGGGAACCTCCTGCAGGCTGACCAGGGACTCGGCCGACATTGACGACAGTAGCGGGCGGACATCCTTTGGAGCCATCATACCGACTTTGGATATCTGGTGAACTAATTTGAGAACTATACTCCGAGGGTACTCTCAGGCTGCTGCGCGCACCTGCTTTTCGTCCATCATGCCAGTGTCCAACAGTAGTCGTATGATTCGCACACCCTCGTCGCCGTGTCGTTCGCGGGCCACAGCTTCGAGAACACGCCGACGTAACCGTCTGGCTATGATCTCGAACTCGACCTGGACCTTCGAGCCACTCATGGACACGAACGAGGCAGAGCGCCCGGCCGGAGTCGGATTATCGGCGGAGGAGAGAAAGCCGAGATATTCCTTCATCAACGTCATTGTCGATGGCTTCTTGGATGACTGGAGCACTAGTCCAGCTGACAAGTCGACATCGTCTGGCAGATGCATTGCTATGTTCGCTAAGGACGTGGGATCTGCAGCGATGGATTCAGCAACACTTCGAAGTACACGTAGTAAAAGCTCGCACCAGAACGGACGTCTGACAACTTCCGCTGTTTAGGCTCGGTTGCCTTCAGGGTAGCACGGAGGACGAGAGCGGTGCACTCGTTGAAACGCTCGGCCGCAGTGGCTTCAATGAGCTACGAGATCATGTTGAACTTAGTTGTTCGTTGGACGAGCATTGCTCGAGTAACTGACCTTGTTCCGTATATGCACATTGAACCGTTCGCAGTTGACCCGGAAGTAAACCTCATCCTGCGAATACTTCAGACGGCTTACCTAAATTCACTACGAAGTGCGGACTCACATCAACTTCGAGATCCTCTTCCATAGCTTTGCGCTTAATACAGAAGTCAGCGGAATCAAGTATGACGCGCTGGAACAGTTTACCTTCGAGGACTTATACTGGTCCTTAGCCTTTCGCTTCTGCGACCTGTGCATATCATCTTCTGTTTCCGTACTGAACCCAGACAGAGGCTCACCATGCCAATTTGCTCTGCTTCCTCCTCCTCACGCCTCAACCTAGCGTCGGCAATTTCTTTGGCTTGGCGCAGCTCTTTTGCTGTAGGGAAGCCTGAGATTTTCCGCTTTTCCTCTGTTTCATATCGTATACGTTTGTCGCGAGGTGACAGGTGGGAAATGACGGTGGAAGGTTTCAAATATGTCGCTTCCACCAGTTTGTGCAGCGTCTGAGATATTACGGCAGGAGCTGAATGGCCCATGAGAGTCGCTTATTGCGATCGAAGTATTAGGCATACAACGCACCTTTGATAGGATCGTAGATAGATAATTGTGATACGATGTCTGGTGGACGTAGCTTGCCATGATCCAAGATTAACTGCACGATCTCTGCGCCCTTGAGGCACGATGTGAGGTTTGCAAAAGGGGACAGATCGCACACTACTTACCGCTTTACCATACACCTGCTCTGCTAACCAAACATATCGCCCATAGCGCAGCCTCATCAGACATTCGTCCGTGTTGATCTCAAACACCTCTCCCTCGTCCTCAGATTGTGCGTGCCATAATAAGTTATGTTGTACGAGGACAAGTACAGAAGCCCGGACGATCCGCGGCTTGAGTTTTGAGAAGCGAACCAGCTGCGATAGGCCAAGTCGGCCGTGCGTGAGCAGCAAAGAGGCTACTTTCTGCAGCGGATGGTAATGAATGTGGCACTTCGTGTACTGTTTCTGCAGACTTACTGCGGTCAAAGGCCCAAACACCGATCGCACAATTTCTGTGCATAGGCGCTCAGTGTCTGCGTCCGCCATCGCGCCTGACTATGAGAGCATTCGTAAGAGAAAAGCAGGCACAGTTATGGCAACGATAGAGACAGACGCAGGGAAGTACTTCCGGTGCTTGAGCTTGGAGCGCGACTGTGGCGGAGAACGAGTCTGCGCGAAATCGGCAGGAGCCTGCCCTACATACTCTAGCGCCAAACCAGCCGTGCCGCTCTTGTGCCTCTCCTCCCTCCCCTCTCGCTCTACTGGTAACATAAAAACTTGCCTCTGGGCATCAGCCCCCATCCATCTTTCTCCTGCTCACACTGATATGACTTTGACAATGACGGAAGCATTCGACGCTCAGATGACTGACTCTGGCGATGTCGACGTCTCAATGTACTCGGGCATGGCGACTACGGACTCTTGGCTCTCCGTAGAGGCAAGTATGGGCGATGATGATCATGCGGCGGATGCTGCTACATACCATTACGAGCAGGAAGGCATTGAGATTGAGATGGGCGACGACGACGAAGACGCGCCCATCACCGAGTACGAAATGGCCGACGAAGGCGAGGGTTACGACGGCTCTGAGATTCAGGATATCGAGGTGTACGACATTTCGCAAATTGCCTCGCCTCTTCCTGTGGACGACAACGTCTTCTCTGCAAACCACCCCTCGCATGCGGAGGACACAGAGATAATGCATATCCCATTACCCTCCGATGGACCCGTCGAACCTCTCCTCCCCGCAACCACACCTGTGGAGGTCACTGTTGAGACCGAGGTCATCACGGCGGTAGATCCCACCCCTCCTGGCGACAATTTCCCGACCACGGACGTAGCAGACGACGACTCACTCGTTTCGCCCCAGCAGAATGCTATCCCTGCTACCGCAGCGCAGGTCCCGGAAGCTCGAACAGTGCATGTAGATACCCCCGCTCCCGACGACTCATTCATCCCTGTGGCGGACGCTTCCAGGACATCTACTAGCCATTCCGGATTCGTGGAAGTCACAACACACCAAGATGCGCCTGAGCAGGCCGCAGTCGAGCACGAGTATCTCCTACAACACGATCTCTCAACACAGCCGGATCTCTCTGAGCACAACGACCACGCGGGAGATGACCCTGCTGTCACAGACGATCGGGACCGTGGCGCGGCCGTGGTTAACGAGTCACCTCATGGTGTCGCCGTTGACGGCAATGATCCGCATGAGATCTCGGACGGTGTTTACATCGACCCTCCTCCTGCCGTGCTCTTGTCACTTCCTCCCTCCGCAGATTTCGGCGAATGCTGTCTTTTCAACTTGCCGACTTCGAGTTCGCCGCAGAGCCCCTCAAGCAGTGCGCAGCCGGATACAGGTGATGGACCTCGGCTTCTACTGCAGGAGAGACCTACTCTTTATTACGAACCGCTTTCCGCAGTCTTTGCGGCTCTGCGTCAAGAGCAATGTATACACAGTATGCCGGGCTTCGCCGAAGCTGAGTTGGTGCTGGATGCTTACGATCTCCAGCTCACAGTATCTGAGGTACGCTACCCATGATTGGTCCTGCTGTATGAGATCGATCAAGCGTGCTGATACAATTGTTTGACAGGATAATGTGTACACTCATGAAGTCACGTTACATGAACTGAACGTCATCCATGACGGTTCTGATCTGAGTGGACCCCTCAGGCTTCGCCTTAAGATCTTCAGCCCTCGATTCGCAACACGCTACAGCATGCTTCGAGACCAGATCTCACGCCTCAACTTCGTCGAGGACGGGGATGCCCACGCGGATGCTGCTCCCGTCCAGCAGGACCAACCTAGTAAGCTCGATCAGGTCTAGTTGCTCAGATAAGTGCTCACATCGCTTAACGCAGACTTAACACATGACGGGCAGCACGATGGTGAAGACGGTGAACAGCAACCGCCTGAATACAGCGTTCCTGAAGTACATACTTCTGGATATGCTGACGAAGAAGCTCACGTACCTGGAACCGGGGTGGCTACTGCTGTAAATGGTGCCGAACAGGAGTTGACAGATGCGGATGCCCTGCAAGGGACAACTGGAGAGGCAGAGGAGGCTCTGTCGAAGACAGATGATGCGGCGACAGCCAGGGAAGGTGTGGTGGCAGGCGTTGATCCGGCGGTCCAAGCAAAACAGTTGGCAGCTGCACAGGAGAGGATCGAGGACGAGGCGGACGAGGACGAGGACGAGGACGAGGACGAGGACGAGGACGAGGACGCAAGCGGAGAATATGATGACGAGGGTCCTACATTTGATGCTGACGAGGTGCATGGGCCTCCGGCTGAGGAGGGCGGTGACTATCTCGACCAAACAACCTTCCCCGATGACGAAGATGAGGTCGGAGAAGATCTTCCAGAGGAAATCGGCGGTGAGACTAGAGATGAAGCCTATCCCTATATTGGGGCTACGGACGATCAGTCCGAGCGCCCTCAGGACGCGAACGACTTCGAGCGCGGGGTGGACCTGGGGGTGGTTGGAGAACATGAAGGTGCGCTCACTATCGCGACTTTTGGGCAGCGTCATTAATCGCCATTCTCGCAGAACAACAATACGACGATACCGGTTTGCACACCAATCCTTATACTGATTTGCACGACGAACCCAACAGTAACGATGGTATGTTCTTGCCCAACTCATCGTCTCTTCGACGTTGACGTCTCCCTTAGCTCTTGAGGCTGGCGTTGAGGATCCGCTTCATCCAACATCCGAAGAATACACTGAAGAAGACGTTGTCAAGAGTGGGTTTTGTACTGCCATCCCCTTGACGTCATTGACTGAGTCGATGCTGCTAATCTAGAGACTGAAACTGCCGGTCACAAGGAGTCGGTTGCACTACCGACAGAAGCAGAGGATGGACTCGACGATAACTGGGACGAAGCCGACACACTGTCTTCCCACGAGAACGCAGACGCCTTAGAGCACTCAGCCGTGTTATCGCGCAAGAGTTCCACCGCCACCCTTGCTAGCGGTGTATCCAAGCGTGCATACGACGAGGTCGACCTCGACGACTTCGACGATGACGAGGACGACTTCGACACTGCGGCCAGCTCGCCGAGTACGCCTTTTTTGCTCACCTATTTCGGTAGATTACTCACCTTGGCTTGCAGGTGCGAAGAGGTTGCGCACGCAGTAAATTCGTTCTCGTCGAGCGGACGCCCTGCGCCGCCTTTCTATGTGTTCACCAGGATGAGCCCTTGTCGGTTGACACAGTCTCTCATGAGGGTCTGCGCCCGCGAAGTGTCTCCTGGTTACGTTCGTCACATCTCTCCTGGTTCCGACGCTTCCCTTCCGAGCCTCAAGTCTGCAAGCCACTTCTGTATCAAGCATTGCGATGGTAACTTCTGCAACTCGAGTTCAAGTGACAGGATATGCTCCCAGGAATCTTTGCCTCGCGTCTCCATGTTGTGTACGTGCTGACCTTCACAGATACATGACATTCTCGCTTTCCCCGGCAACTGTCTAGCGGCAACACCAGGAGAGGCGGATAGGAGGGTGGTGGTTGGTGAGGTGTTTGGTGAGACGGCCTAGGCTTCCCGTTGGTTGCTAGTTCCTTGACCAATACTTCCTATTGCTCGTTGTTGACGTTCATACTGTCCACAAGCTGTTCGGCACTGTTGCCATCGCATTCATACTCTAAGCTCAAAATCAATTGTTCATCGTATCTTCCTTACGTGCGATCTCGAACGCGAACGATCTTGCTTTTGCATCCACAACAGGACGTCGTATCTCTGCTGAAGTGCTTTAGCATAAGTGAATCACCCTTAAGGTTGTCACAGCCGTGTACGTTTCCCATAAAGGGCTCCTGTCATATATCAGTATTGTGCTGTGAAGGACTGCGGCGACAATCGTGGGCGCACGTTCTTTTGGAACGGCACGGCAAATCCACACAAGATGAATAGACAATCGCAATCGAAACAAGTGCACCACAATCCAGCTTAGACGGACATTGTACAAGCACCTCCGGTAGCGCGGAGGGATACAGCCGCTGGGTCACGATCGGGGACCCTGCAAAACCGCACACAACACGGCAGGTATGGAAACTCCGCGTAATCTCAATCTCCGACATCTTCGTATTTTGGTACGCTGGTACGCAACTTCCAGTCCTTCTGCTCAGAGAACCCCGCTCTGCCATATGTCACCATGCTCCCAAGACAGCTTCGCACGCAGCACACGCGCCGCAATCTGGGGCCAGACGTAGTGCACATATTTCGGTACCTCAGGCCTTCCCTGCAGGAGCGACCTTGAACGTTCCGTTCGCAGCGACCTTTGCACGCTCGCCGGTCGACCGCCAGCCCCGCTCTTCCTCCTCCTGCGTTTCTTCCTCGACGGACAGGGGCCGGCCGACACTGGGCCCGCGCACGTGCAAGGCCCCGATGGGATCCCCGCCATCCTCGACGGCGGCGTCGTCCACCCCGACGAGCTTCACCTCGACGTTCACCGTGGGGGGGCCGACGGGTGCGAGGTACGTGAACGCATACGCGTCCGCGGCTGATGCGGACAAGGAGGGGGAGGCCGTGGGGAACGTCTGGAGGTCGAGCGCGTGGGTCGCGAACACAGGGCCGGCAACGAGGGGGTGCGAGTGGGCATTGATCACGGGTACGGAGAGTGCGATGCGGGCGGGCGTCAGGTTCTGCGCCTCCAGCGGGCCTAGAGGGGACAGAAGAGCATGTGAGCATGACACCATGCTGCGTGCAGATAGAACTGCTGTAGGGGTACAGAATGTACCGAAGGAAGACGTACCTCCGCTCACGATGACGGCGCGGACGGTGCCCGCGCCCTTGCCCATCACCTTGATGCGGGCGCCGTCGAAGACGAGGCGGTCCCACAGGCTTTGCTTGGTGATGTAGCCCTCGAAGATGCCCGCGAGCTTGTGGCGCCAGGCGAAGTTGTACAATGACCAGGACGACTTGGACGCCTGCTGGGTGATTGCCTCAGTAAGACTGTCGAGATGGTCAGGGCGGATGAACAGCAGTGTCGGGGACGAAATGCTGTACGCCGCTGAGGTGCGCAAGTCCTTGAGCCCAATCGCGGCAGAGCCTGAGGGATACAGTGATGTAAGCTTCTGCTAGGACGGCACTGCGTGGACAGGCAAAGAGAGATGAATATCGCACCTTCTGGCTTGATGAGTTTCGTGCTGTCGACGGTGGCGAAACCGGTGCCCTCGAAGAGCGCGGTATACGCCACAGCACGGCCGTAGGGAGTACTCAAAGGGAAAGCGGAGACGATGGTGTCTAAGGGGGACATTGCGCTCGAGGGGGGCAACAGAGCTCGAGTCGCGGCCACACCCGCAGTTAGATTCAGGTGAGTCAACTGCGCGCCCTCGAGATCGCCAGACGGTGTTGCGAAGAACGAAACAGTATAAACATCGTTGGGATCTGTTGTCATTGTCAGGAACTCGATACGGCTGCATCTGGAAGCGGGAGACATGTGGGCGTACCAGGTACCGAGAGAGGGGACTTCGTAGCTGCGGCGCCCTCGGTCTCGATGTCATCCCACCTGAGGATCTTGACATTGTTCAACTTTGGGAGTTTAGCACTATTGATATCTCCAACAACCACGATGGTGTGATGTTCGCTCTCATGTGCGTCGAAGATGAGCTCCAAGAGATGCGGAAGGACCTCGGCGTCAGTGATGATGACTGAAGGCGGATGCCTCTCCAGAACAGGGGACAAGACCGAGGCAGACGCAACGGTGAAAGTTGGGACCGAGAGAGCAGACAAAGCGAGGTCCGCAATGATGAACTCTGTCCGGCGCGGGGTGCTCAGTGTGATGACAGCCAGTTGATGATACACTGCAACATACCTATGCTGTCATTCAACAAAAGCAGCACATTGGACTCCTGGGGCACAAGACCGACAGCACGCGTCAGACCCGCGCCGACATTCGCAATCCGTTCTTTCAACTGGGGATTCGCGATCTAGTAACGGCGCAGCGTTGAAATTGCAGAGACATGGGGAACACGGGTGATTAGCTCACTTTAGTGGACCACAACGTTCGGGGAGCATCAGCATCGGGCTTCACGAGATCCAGTACAACCTGCTGATCCTTGTTCGGGCGCAACGGGAACTGTTGGATGGGTCAGAAGTTGTCATGTTTTGCGGCGGCAGGGACGGGTGGAGACTCACACGGCCAAGCATGCCAGTGCCATAGTTGCGGTAAACTGCGCTTTCTGATGGGTTCCTGACTCGTGCGGCGTCACTTTGGCGGCCCAGAAGGATAGGGTGTACGAGTGCCTGAGGTTTGTAGAGGTTGTGAAGCAGGAAGAGGCCAGCAGCAACAAGCGCGAGGATGATGGTGAGGTCGTCCGTAATGAGATAGTCTGAGAGAGCCATGTTCGGCGACCTTCACACGTGTGCTTCGGCACGTAAGATACGTAGCGTCTTCAATAGGAGAGCCCTACGTCTGCAAGTATTCTGAAGGGACAAAATAGAGCGGGCAGAAGTGAGTAGTATGCGCGGAGTATCAAAGAGCGAAGCGAAGAGGCTACGTAGAGGCCGATAGACGCCGTTGGCAGAGTAATCCCTCGCTCGTGCGCACTTTGGTCGGCCTTCGTTTTGCCGGCTTCTCGCGCAGGTATCAATGCACGTCAGTAACCCGCTATGACAGATTAATATGTGGTCTCGCGTACGCTGCGCCCGACATACTTAGTCGGCTTGCATGGCCTTGTACTCTACAATAATGCACCTCGCGCTGCTCCGAGGCCGCGGGCTTAGTCTCGCACCGGACCGTCGGCACCGAGACGCGTCGAGTCGCGACGTGACGGAAGGAGTAACATGCACGTGAGAGTACTCACAGTTAGAACTCCGACCCACTGCATACGCGCCACACTCAGCCTGGACGCGTTCTCCCTTGCGGTCCTCTTGTCTCTCTACTACCACCATCCCTTCGCCCTAGCGGCTGGCATTGCTGTCCATTATGTCTAGCATCAAGCTTAATACTAGTCTTTTCTCAAAACGACTTCGGAATGTTTACAACTCGTGGAATGTGGGTAATCAACCCTTGACGTTCCTTGCCTTCATCAATGAGGGAGCTTGATGTTTGCTATCTCCCAGAATGCCGGGAAGGACGAGGATTACGCCTCTATAGCCGGAGCTAACGCACTGCTGCTTGCTGCGGGCGATCCAGCGGGAGAGGACGAGCCCATCCGGAAGGGAACTGCATTCCAAGTGAGTCTGCTTCTGCTCTCAAGTATTGTATACCCTGTATCGACGTGTCCATCATCTCAGACGTGGTTGCTCGGCTTTGAGTTTCCCTCGACGTTCCTCCTGTTTCAGAAGAATCAGCTAGCCATCCTCTGTTCAGCTTCAAAAGGTATGGAACGGTCCCATTGTGGTACGTTCAACCACTTGCTAACGTCCTGAATTGCCCGCAAGCGAAAATTTTGTCGCAGCTCAAAAACGCAGACTCGCCCGTCCCGATCGAGTTCTTCGTCCAAGCGAAAGCCAAGGATCCTCCTACAGATGCCCTTCCCCGCTTCTTCCAAGCCTACGCTGCCCACGATCAAGTGGCTACGTTGACCAAGGAGCCTCACTCGGGTAAGCTTGTTGACGAGTGGAACAAGCTTCTTTCAGAGGCGGAGAAGAAGCCGGCCGTCGTTGATATGGCTCCCGCCATCGGATCTCTTCTTGCCGTGAAGGATGAGGAGGAGCTCGTACGTCCTTCTGCACTGTCCAATCACTCATTACAAGGCTGACATACATCAGAAACATGCTCGGACCGCTGCAAACCTCACCTCGACGCTTCTTGCTCACTACATCGCCCCCAAACTGGAGACGATCCTTGACCGGGAGGCAAAGATCTCCCATGAAGCTTTCTCGGCGCAAATTGATGCGCGCATCGGGTATGGTGAAGGTGACAACACGAAGCCTCCTGACATGAAGGTTTGGAGCAAAGGTCGTGGCCTCAACGACGTACGAGAGTGTGCCCTCACTCTGCTTGTTTGTTACTTACGTCCATGCGTACGATGCAGGTAGACTGGGGTTCCGTGGAGTTCTGCTACCCGGCCATCATCCAGTCGTCATCCACAAGTACCGGCTACGAGATTGGCCCGTCAGCGGAGTCTACTCAGGATGATATCTCGCACAAGGGCGTGCTTCTGGTGGCCGTAGGAATGCGATACAAGAGTTACTGTGCAAACCTGGCGCGAAGCTTCATTGTGGATCCGTCCAAGGCAAGCCGAGTCAGCTGTTGAGACCGGTCAATGCTTCGGCCTAACTCGTATGACTGCTTCGCAGGAGCAAGAAGCTATCTACGCCCTCCTCGTGTCCCTCCAAGCGGATCTCTTGCTTCGGCTGAAGGAAGGTGCCGTAGCGAAAGAGCTGTATCAGCACGCACTATCTTATGTCAAGGAGCACAAGCCGGAGCTCGAATCGCACTTTGTCAAGAACCTGGGCCATGGCGTACGCCGTTCAAGCCTGCCGCGAATGTCTGGGCACTGATAGCATGTCTGTAGACTGGTATGGAATTCCGTGACGCATCATACGTACTATCTGCGAAGAGCAGCCGCAAGCTCCACGCCGGTATGGTCTTCAATCTTGTGCTCGGTTTCACCGGTCTAGAGGAGGGCGGCAAAAAGTTGGTCATCATCTTGCCCTGATTTTCCACACAGGAACCCTTTTGAAACTTCCTAATGCTCACCCGCAATCACCTGTCAGGTATGCTTTGCAGCTCATTGATACTGTCCTCATCGGAGCGGACAAGGGGACGTGCCTGACCACAGGCATGAAATCGGTGAAAGATACTATGTTCTTCTTGAATCAGGACGAGGCCGAGTCGTCAAAGGCGCCGACTAAGAAGGCTCCGTCGGCCAAGGCGGGTGTGAACGGCAACGCATCGCCAGCCAAGAACAAGGTCGCAGGCAGCAAGGTACTGAGGAGCAAGACTCGCAGCGCCGCGCAGGATGAGGTGGTCCAATCGATGAACAGCAAGATCGCTGAACATCAGAAGGAACTTCACGCGAAGTTGCACGCGGAGGGTCTCGCGAGGTTCTCAGAGGGCGGCGGAGGAACGGGCGGCAAGGAAGGGAAGGGTTGGAAGCGCTTCCAGAGCTACAAGGGTGAGGCGGCCCTTCCGCGTGAGGTGGAAAACCTCCGGGTACGTGACGCCAGTGCTTTATGCTACCCGGCTCGCTCTCGACCGTTTGCTCATGCTTGTCCGCGCCTCAGATATTCGTTGACAGGAAGTCGCAATCTGTTGTCTTGCCTATCCACGGCTATGCAGTTCCATTCCATATCAATACGATCAAGAACGTTAGCAAGAACGAAGAAGCAGAGATTACACTCCTGCGCGTCAATTTCCAGACCCCTGGGCAGCTGGCTGGCAGGAAAGAAGACACAGTGAGAAATTCGTTGCTGTCCACAGATCTGTTCCGTGATTGACCCATGGTCGATAGCCTTTCGAGGATCCCGATGCCACCTTCATTCGTTCGATCACCTACCGGTCTATCGACGGCAGCCGCTTTGACGCGATATCGAAGCAGATCACGGACCTCAAGAAGGAGGTCAACAAACGTGAGCAGCAGAAGAAGGAAATGGCCGACGTCATCGAGCAGGACACGCTCGTGGAGATCAAAGGCCGAAGGCCGACCAAGCTGCCCGAAGTGTTTGTCCGTCCAGCGCTAGACGGGAAGCGGTTGCCGGGCGAAGTGGAGATCCACCAGAATGGATTGCGTTACCAATCTCCCATGGGCTCGCAGAAGATTGGTACGTACTTTGTATCATTCTCCTCGATGCGCGGTCGGCCGTTGCTGACATCGTTTCGTAAGACATCCTCTTCTCCAATATAAAGCATCTATTCTTCCAGCCGTGTGACCACGAGCTCCTCGTGATCATTCACGTCCACCTCAAGGCTCCAATAATGATCGGAAAGAAGAAAGCCCATGTCAGTTTACGGCATACCCTGCTGTTCGTTCTCGGTGCTGAACTCTATTGTGCCCTGCAGGATGTTCAGTTTTACCGCGAGGCCTCTGACGTGCAGTTCGATGAGACCGGGAACCGGAAGCGAAAGTATCGGTATGGCGATGAAGATGAGCTTGAGCTTGAGCAGCAAGAGCGGAAGCGACGCCAAATGCTCAACAAGGAGTTTAAGCTCTTTTCCGAGAAGATCGCGGAGGCCGCTACAGCCTCGGTATGCCATTACGGCTTTTCGTAGCTGCCTATCCAGGCTAACTGTTGATATCATCTAGACTGGAGACTCGCTCGAGCCGGATATTCCATTCCGCGAGCTGTCCTTTGAGGGCGTACCGTTCAGGACCAATGTCCGTCTCCAACCAACGACCGAATGCCTGGTCCACTTGTCCGACCCTCCTTTCCTCGTCGTCACCCTGGCAGACATCGAGATCGCGTCGCTCGAGCGCGTCCAATTCCAACTCAAGCAATTTGACATGGTTCTCATCTTCAAAGATTTCACAAAGACGCCGCTTCAGATCAATTCGATCCCCACCGCGCAGCTTGATGACGTGAAGAACTGGCTAGAGTACGTACTCATCATATATCGATAAATCGGTGGGCTTCTCTCGTATTGACGACGTCCTCTGAAAGCTCCGTGGATATTCCCCTGAGTGAAGGCCCCGTCAACCTGAACTGGGGTCCGATCATGAAGACTATCAATGAGGACCCTTACGAGTTTTTCCAGCAGGGCGGCTGGAGCTTCTTGGGCGGCTCAGCTGGCGGAGAAGAGGTCCGTATCGGTTATCCGTTAACAGTTCCTGATTTGCGCTGATGCACGAAACAGAGCGAGCCGGATGACGAATCAGAGACGGAGTCAGAGTTCGAGGCAGAATCGGACGTCTCGGAGAGCTCTCCCAGTAGCGTAGAGGGCAGTGATTACTTTGACGGCTCGGACGCAAGCGAGGATGAGGGGAGCGGCTCCGACTTTGGATCCGACGAGAGCGAGGGTTCGTAGCGCCTCTCTTGCGTTGGGCGTTATACTGATTTGCGCTGTAGGTGACGACTGGGATGAGCTGGAACGTAAGGCGGCCAAAGGTGCGTCTATCCTCGCGTTGCCAGTGTAGGTCGGTGGAATACTGACACATCCTCTCACAGCCGATAAGAAACGTACTGAGGGTGGCCGAGGCCATGATTCTGATGCGGATTCGGATCGGCCTCGGAAGAAGGCTCCCGTGAAAGCTAAAGGCAAGACTAACGGCAAGCGGTGAATCATCAGGGACAGTTTCGTTGGCCTGTTATCCAGTTTTTGTGTACTATTACATTCATCTCGCAGCCTGTCTATCGGTCATTCGCACTAGTCACGCATCATTGAACCTTGTTTCTATTGCTGCTGTGCCCACAACGTTATCAAGGTGGTTCAGGTTAGGAACAATGCAACCTAGCGCCGTACTACATTGCCTGCGGGCGCTGTGCCGAACTGCGTATTCGCACGTGTTCGCCTGAGCAAGAGCCAGCCCCTAACACAGACCATCATCATCCCTGTCGAAGCCCGAGGGCTCGAGGCTCTGTCAACTTGCGTACGTGATCCTGCATAATCGGTGTTACGGTATTGACCCTTGTGTATGCTTTCTTGTGCTTCGGCAGCACAGAAATGCCGTCCTCCGGGTGCAGAGCAGCCCGACTCATGCTTTGAAGATTTCCTTCTTCATGAGCGATGCGATACAGGGCAAATGACATACTACACACCTCCTGAAACTTACTCCATCACTATGCCTGACGCCCTTATAAGTGCGCTTTCCAGGAAACGAGCTGACAATTGAGTCGTGACTCGATGCAAGTTCACGTTATGATGATGCTTCGACTGCGTTGAGTTCCTATCGTTTGTGGGCAGTGCACGAACAACTCTGTTTGGTGCAGGCACAGCTGGACTAACGGGGGAGCCGAGGAGCGAGGAGGGATGCTTTGAAGATATAAGCAATCCCACAAAGACCGAACTCGTCAGCAAATTCTTCTCGACAGTCGCACTACTTCTTCCGCGAGGTTCAAATCGGATACACGAAACCTATCGTCCGGTGTGTTTTGCGTCCGCGCTCCACTTCCTATGTATGGCCTAACAGAACTCACGCCATAGGCAATGTACACCAATCCTCCTACAGGTAGTTCGTACGCGGCATATACTTCCCATGGCACCCGCGGGTACGGACATCAGCAGAACGCGGGAGATGCTGCTGGCGCCATTTGGACTCCCGAGCAGTGTTTGGCTGCGTACCAGACGAGTAACGACCAGTACTGGGTCGACCACGGCCTGACGATGAATCATTCTGGCTTACCCTCCTACCCTTCTCAGTCAAGCACACCCTCAGCTAGTCAAACCCGCAGGGCCACGTCTGGAGACCATGGTAGTCTTCCGACAGGGGGCTGGTCTCAGCCGTTCCGGATCCTCCCTCAAGAAGACTACATGGCCAGGCGTCGGTACCAACGACAGGCTCCGATCCTCTTCAGGGCGAGCCCTGCAGTAGGCTACGTCCGCCTGTCTGACTTCTACAACCCGCCCGTGCATGGTAATCCGCCACCCTTGGAAGGCGAAGACGACACAGTCTTCTCGGGGGATAACCTCAGTCAAAAGCAGTCGATCCGCCTAGAGGTTCGTGTACTCGACATGTCTCATCACGATAATCCATCGGCTCACATGCACCAGATTCAAGGATGCAAGTCCTACGAGAGACAGATCAATGTACGCAATCCGGCTAACAATGCGCGCTCCATCACCAGGAGGAAGTTGGCCGAGAAGATCGCCAAGGAGATCTATGACTTCATGAGAGTGAGCCATGGCTCCGCAAGGAACGATCCAATTGCTGACCCTTTGCTGTTCACTGTAGCGTCACCAGCAAACTACGTTTGGTGACCCTTCCCTAGGACTAGGCCCAGGTGCAGATGGTTTCAACAAGATCGTCTTGATAGAACTGCGGCACGTCTCGCGATCGAGCTGGCAGCCCATTCTTGGTGTCCTCCCTTGATACGGTGAAGTGCACAAACGACACCCCCATTCTTGACTTCTGTAGAATAGATGACGACAGAGTTTACCCTACCACGCGCCGCCGTCTCGCGCGTTCCAACTAAATGCCTACTATACATATCAAGTAATTTCGAGACTTAGCTTAGATCTATTGTATAATAATAAGTAGGGTATGATGGATTGGATACATACGACTTCTCCAGCTTAGTGGTGACGACCTTGTTATTGGTAGCAACTACATTCGATATGGGAGCCATCTTCCTTATGACCGGCATCACCGACTCCGACGTGGATGACCCAATCTCGGCTGTCTTGCATGAACATCAACCAACCTCATTTAAGCCGAGAGGTTGCTTCGCGCATTGGCTCCTTGCTTGCTCGTCCGTGGAACCATCCCATTATGGCACCTTCCGTAGACCGCGGAATTGGGACGGGAAATTTTTGTCCGCTCGTATCAGACACGAGCATCTTCTTGTGCGACCAAGCATTCATCGAAGGCCTGGGAGGAATCAGCCGCTGCCGGTGGCGAAAGTAGGGACAAGCAATGACTTTCCTTTCTAACTCTTGCGCCTTACTACCAAAGGATGCCCAGAGACCCGAGGCTCGTCACTTCCGGTGCCGTTATATGCCTTGAGTCTGATGTGTATGCTACACACGGGGGAGTACGGTGGCAAGGTGAGTGCACTTTATATACTCCGAGTGCGCAGCTGCTGCATGGTTTATGAAAGCGCGGCCGTATTCTGTTCTTCCGTCGATTCCCCGACACTACCTTTGCCCGCGGGGATAGACCCTGCTGCGAAAGGACGTGGGTACCAATCCACTCACATGCGAGGAGATCATGAACCTCGCATTGTACACTCTGATGTACCTGTTTCTCGCAATGCTTACACCATGTACAGTGCTGACCTTGTCTGGTTGTTGGGCCGATTTGCATGCGCAGTGGGGCTGGGGAGACCGGCAAGTGGCAATGGCAGCACTGGGTAGGAGTCTATGTCACTGCCGCGAGTCGTCACAAGCCTCTAGTACCACAAACATTGGTCTGTGAATGAAAATATCATGCGGGTCAGAGCACAATGCCTTGGCGAACGAGACCGCACTTATGACAACTAGCTAGAAAGTCTCTCGGACCTGAGATACTGTCCGATGCACGCCCAGTTACCCCCTCGAAGTGCTACTAAGTCGACACAGTGTCAAGGGACTCGCCGGCGCCGTAGAGGAGTTAATCTGAGAGTCACCCGCGATCCTCCCGAGCGTATGGCGTCCAATGATGCGTGGGTTGGGATGCGAAGTAGATGATAATCCCAGTCCCATCTACACAGCAAGACGAGCAGTGCTGTCACGCCTGGAATCATTTGGTTCAATTCCGAGCAGTAAGCACCCGAGAGCTCATACTTATACGTTACCAGGATGCATTGGTCCGAACTGGTCGCGCAGATTGGTTGAACCATGTCCGAAAGCATACAGGGCCTTGTCTAAAGAAGCGATGCTGTCAAATGGACGGCTTGTGTATTGCTGCAGAGGACGACTAGCCAACACAGCGTTTCCTCGGGTTAGCGCATGCAGAGGGCGGGCGTCCGGCTACGCGAGAAATTCCTCAAAGCCTCGATTGCTATGGCGATGCTCTACGCCCATGTAGCATCGTTCGCCTTGTGAAAGCGTCCCGGTAGTAGGTGCATACATATGTTGACTGGAGCAGGTGACGTGCGTGTACATATACGCAGATGATGTCGACGAAGAGGTGTGCCAGCGCTAGGCTCTGCCGAGATTCGGTGAACACGATTTACACTCCTTCCACACTCCGCTCTTCCGCAATAGGTAGGACCTCGTGCGTTCCAATGGACTGGTTTCTGAGTCTAGAAGTGTGCACGTCGGGACGAAAGCATGAGTATGTCGGACTTTTCTTCATCAATTGCCAGCTATCCGGATATCCGGATAGCGTCCTGATGTCAGGCCACTCTGATCAGTCCTCTTCTGCGAATGCTAGCCACCAGGCAAATCGTGCGCAGCGCTTTCGAAGTCCTGTATCCCTGTCTCCAACCGCTGCCAGTAGCCGGAGAGCGAGGGTCCTCTGCACGCGGTTGCTTGGCCCGCTGCCAGCGCTTTACGACTGAGGCGTTTCGCAACGCTTCTCGCGTACAAATACATCACACACTGAATCAACATGCCGGTCGACCGGAGAATGGAGTTCGCATGCACGCCCTCAAGGCCCCACGATTATTCAGGCGATTAGGGATGTCCAAGGTTCTCAATCTTCTCGACCTATTCGTGATGGATGCCGTGTTTTTCCATGCATCAATTGTTGGTATCCGGATTACAGACCCACGACACTGCATCGAACTGCATCATAAATAGGAAGGCGAGCGGTTCCTCGGCGCACCAACGCCAATCCCAACCGCATCGTAATGTCCAGCAGAAGTTCGGTCCCCCACTATTGTTACGCACCACAAGCGTTCTACATGCCTGTCCAGTTCATCCCCTACGCTCCTCAGGGGGTTCCAGTATGTGATTCAGTTCTTTCTTGTGCGTAAGAACTTACAGAAAATGTGAAGCAGGGGTATGCGTACGGCGGCGCCTATGCTCTACCTGGTCATACTCAGCCTGTCCCGTTTGCGCCATTCGGAGCCGACTTCGTCGGTTCGCCCGTCGATTTACCCGCCACTTCGAAGACTGGTGTAATGTCCTTTGTACGATATTGCCATCCATGGAGACCTGAAAATTTCTTGGCAGGGCCGGTCACCACAGGAAGTGGTCGAAGTGGTCGAACAAATCGTTTACGGAGGACCTTCCGACGCTCCGTTCGAACCGTACACCATCGCCTTCGAGACTGCGGCAGGCGAGGGTATAAATCTCGGGGAAGTTTTGCAACGCGGTGTTAAGGGGCTCATCGGCGATGACAAGCCCGCCTTCACGCCGAAGATGGGAGTCAAAGCCAAGATATCAATCAGAATACAGGTTTAGCAAGCTTCTTACGCTGCCTTCCATTCATTCTTACATCGTATTTATAGATCGTTGGTTCGAAGCCCTATCACCGCCAGATCATGTCCCTGCGCTCGGACAGGAAGGCCAGCTCGATCTCCAAAGGCAAGCTCGCGGTAACCATCGCCAAGGAACTGCAGAAGGCTATGGTGCGTGCTCATGTTCGCGAATTAGTGCGCAATCAGACATGTCTCCGAGTCAGAAAGGCGGCAGCATGCAAACTGCATCGCGAGGCCGCCTCGAGATCAACGATATATTGCTCACTAAACTCGTACGCGTCTCTCGTGGTTCCTGGCAACCGGTACTCGTGTACCGGGTGTCGGGAAAGAGTGCCAAAGATCTAACAGTGTGTATGCCTATACAGTAACCCGCCCCTTGGGGCGTCCATCGCCTTTAGCTGTGATGGCTTCGTTTCGGCGAAGGATCATGACCAGACAAGTACATTTCCAAACAGGAGTGTACTTGTCACGGTTAGGCAACATGCTGAGACCTCGGCATTTGCAAACTATGGAGCCGTGCTGAGGGGTGAAATACACCATTCGAGTCCGCGTCTCAAGCACTGACGTCGAGGGCGCGAAGGAAGCCAGGGAGAGAAGGAAGGGGGAAACCCGAGAATCAAATCCCGCGGCGTATGGTTCTCTGTGTTTGTTGTATCTGTTGCTGGACTTAGAGATGTGGAGGATCTGGTACCGTGTTCAGTGTCGAACGGCTAGGAATGTATCGCATGAGGTGCTCCTCTACAAACGCGCATATCATGATGACAAGAAAATCGTCCCATTACGTTCATGCTGAACCCGGGGTTGGAACAGCTACATCTCGGAATTCCCTCTTTGACAAGAACCATTGAGTAGCTGCTTCATTACTGGCAGTAGCTGTTGCGGAACCCCGATGCCGATGCAGGCCAGCTCCCAAATGGCGGTCTGCTAGGTAAATTCGAGCCTCTAGTTTGAGTACACCGATAACATCGGTTGGAAGTCTCCAGTGACCAGGCTCTTGTCAACATCAGGGGAGTCGTCATATAATATTCTCATTCCTTACTGGTTGAACCCTTTGTATGAGCGGTACGATGAACGGGCCGGTGACACGTCAATGGCTCACCGAATAATCGACTGCTTGGGCTGGGGCCAGCATCCGGATTGTTTGACACCCTCTGTAGGCGTTAGTAGCCCTACGCCGCAGCCTCTGGCGCATTGAGCGAGTTTTATGGCGGAATGCGATATCCGCAATCACCAAGCCGACTGGAGGCTTTGCCGCATGTAGCTCCTCCCCAAAAGGTCGATACTCTGACTGAGCAATGCTATAGTGTCATAACATGGTGTATGGCGTCCGCGACAACGTTCGCATGTTGCATGAAGGATTCCCCGCTACACTGAGATCATTTGTTAGCCCAGAGATATTGTAGACTGTCGGGAGGCCATAACGATGGATCCGGATACCTGCCTAAGGTACCTAGCTCTACCGCGACTTAGGAGTAGGCATAATCATGCCTGCTGCGCACGACTGTTGTTGTCTCATGCTACTGTCAGTGAGTACTGAAGCATTGATATCCACCTAGTCACTCTCGACGTACGGAAAGGAGGCCGATGGTGACGATGCACCGCGCAGCCCATCGCCGGTGGATATCCTCCCTACAGGCGAGCAGGATGCTCTCACCCATACTATCCGCGCCCACAAGGCGACGCTATTGTTGTCAAATTGCTCTAGCTTGTACCCAAAAAGGATACAGGTCTCTGACGCACCGGACCTTGATGATTTCCGTCAGCCAGCACGTCTGGATACGCGGTAACGCTCAGAGAGAACATAATTTGTCGTACAAGAATATATCTTCCATAGTCATGCTAACCTTGTCTATCTCAGCAGATGAGCAACCGGATAGCACGATCAAGCAGGCTTCACGAATGTATGGCTCCTGGAGGGTAATATCTATTGCACCAATATCCGTGATGCACTCATCGTTGATACATAAGGCCTCAGGACGCACCCTGCTGTGATCACACCTCTCAACGACAACAATGGATCCCTCCAGCAGATCCAGCCCAAGAAAACCTCGTACGGGCGAGGTGGGTTCAACCTACGATAACCAAGCCTCAATGTGGCGGTTGAGCAACATCCACTCATCACTGTATCTCTTAGTATCCTTTAGGCCCAAATCCAGACCCTATGGCCCTCGCAGTGTATAGGAACCTGCGTTACGGTCAGGAAGAATACTGGGATGCTCAGGGATGGCCTCGTTCCAATGTTCATCCTCCGCTTGCTCCCGGCCAGATTAGCGGCAGCTCGACCTTGTCCAACGCCTACTCAGTGAGACACCGCACTCCTCTCAGCGGCTATAGAGACGACACTCACGTTCAACAGAGTAACATGCTTGGCGCTGCTGGCCCACGCGCACCCTTAGGTGGCCCCGACATTATGAACCAGGTTGAACAAACGCAGATGGTGAATACTATTAATGTTATGGCGGAAGAACGTACTCAAACAGTGCTTGCAGAGCCTGCATTGGGTGCCCCTGCCCTACATCGACTACGATGGCGGCCGTCGACTTGGAGAAAGCCATGTCCTCTACTTTCAGAACAAAGGCGGGCATGAATTTGCCCTTTCGTTGGTGAAGCAGCGCGGCCGCGACGCAATCAATGACCTCGTAGGCAGGGATACACCAGCACCCTTGGGTAACGCGTCGGCGAAGCTATCAATTCGCTTGCATGTCAGTGACTCCAAGTCCTATTCATCACTGTTTCGCTCACTTACTGTTCCCTCAGTTTGAAGGCACTATTCAGTACACGAGACAGATCATGGCCCGCCGATCAACTGCTCATGCCGAACCCATCTCAATGGGGAACCTGGCTTACAAAATTGCGCTTGAAATGGAGGCGTTCATGGTATGCGGTACTCTCCTTTTCCGTGAATCAAGGGTGCTTACGGGGCGCTCCTGTACAGAAAGAGACGGGAGGAAAGGGCCAACCCCTTCGATACCGAGGACGTGACGTCGAGTTCTCTGAGCTGCTATTGTGGCGGCTTCGTCAATGCTCCTTAGGTTCTTGGGTCCCGGAGTTCATGATTGCGGAATGGCAATACCGTGACTGAAGCCTTCATTTCTCGACCAAACTACTCCTTGTCCAGCCTAACATCGTCCTCGTATGTGTATGAGTAGTAACATATTCCTACCTGAAAGATGATATGTAGTGCCCGGCGCACTACAAATGAGTCCTCTCCTTGCCAAGGTTACTATGACTTGAGCGTTCGCACTCGCCAATCATTCACCCGTGCTAAAGGTGGTGTGCAAGGGGGGGTTGAGTCGGCCATATTCCCGCAATAGGCAGCACGGGTCGAGCAATCCAACATACCAATTTGAAAATGATGTTCTCTCTTAGGCCCTGGATAGCCGATTCATATGCAGTCTTTCGGTGAGAGAGAATGGTCAAGCCCGTGGTCCGGGGTCTAGTAGCTCTCTATGCACTGTCGGAGATTATCTTCTGTGACGCTGTTGACAACCGCAGCCGTGCTCACGTGGCATGGCGCTCAAAGGGCGCACGGGCACCGCGTTCATCCTTGCGCGCTTCAAGGTCGAGGTACCAATGCGCAGGGACAGACATGGTCGCGTGCACAAGCCTGAGACTGGCCCTACCTCTACTTTGAGGTTCCCATTGCTATGGAGCAAGTTGAAAGCGATCGCCTACTCCCGGTACCCTCCACCGTTTCACCCGAGCATCTCCACCCCAGTACTCCACTTCCCGATTTCTTGTTCTTTCAAGTTGCAAAAGACTTGGACCATCGCAGCTTTCCATTGCAACGAAACGCAGTCGTCCTTTGTTTTACATCAATATGTAAGAATATGTATGCGAACTGTTGCTGTACGCTGATTGAAGTATATAATGTCAGCCAATGGAATACGGCGTACGCGTCCTGCCATTTTCCATCGAGATTGACAGCGCGCGCGTAGTAACTTACGTGCAGGATCAAGGATACAATGCAGCTGCTTGCTGATCTGTCGGGTGCGCTCTCATTTCCTTGGCAGTATCAATGATGGAGTGCATTTCGGAAGCTGTACTTTTAGGCGCATGATTGATATCCAGCTGCCCCATCCCGGGCGAACATAGTGGGTTTGCGAACACACAGCTCAGGCAACGATGCACCAATGTCATGCAAGATCAAGTGCGTATACGCTGCGCCCATCGGGTGCCTCGAACACAAGGTGTTGGTCGGCCATCGTATCTCGTGCCCTCGAACGCTTCCTCTTCTACGGACAGCTAGAGCGTACACTTTTCAAAATATTCCCTGTCGCAACCAGGTGTGTACGTGTGTCTTCGACCGCTTGGTATATATGTGACATGTATCTCCATAGACAGCAGGTCGAAGAGTGCAACTTCTCAGACCTACTATGAGGCGAAATCGCTCCAACCTACGCAGTCGTGACATGCTCCGGGATATTTGGTGGGAATCTAGCTAATTATACTCAGAGAACGCTGATGAGCTTTTGTTGATCCGGATGGATCAGGACTCCTTCCTCGAGATGCACACAGTTATACGCAATCCTGATTGACCTCCAGTTCATAAAGCCTTCCCAGATATCTGGAGGCTTGACGCGCTTCGGGATCATATCTCAGAGACCGACGCGCCGGTGGAGGTTAAGGCGGCAAACCATTATGTTTGCAGTTTCTATCTAAGGTCCTATACAGATTGCGAGGCTATGTACCTCGGGAACAACGGCGGCGACCTGAACGCTGGGGCATAGGGCTGGTGTCGGCGGTGGCGACGGAACGACAACATCCCTTGTGCATGTCGACAATTCGCCGCAACGTCGCTCGACCGCGGCCGCCCAAGTCTTCTGCCCCAGGTTGACATGTTGCACACGCCGCTCATGGATGGTCATCCGGATACGACACCGCGCAAAAGGGCCAGAAGGAGGATTCTGTCGGCGTTCTGGCGCGATATCCTGGTGCACGGCTCCGCAGGCTAGCGGTCGGCCAGCTTTGCAACACCGCCTGTCCTTCGTCGGTGCATGGGAAGGGATGTATATTAAAGCGAGTCACAAGCCCAGGGAAGAGACCCCGGGAGGCATATTCACGGTAGCAGGTGCCCCCTACGAGTCGAGGAATTAGATGGATATCATGACCTCGATACAGGAAGGGTTACTCACCCGATACGTGTCCCGCACAAAAGGGATCGCCGCTCTGCACAATGACCCCGCAAACTCGACGAGTCCTCGCGCAGATGTGTCGGCAAGATATCCGTTTAGAAAGGCGGGACGGTCGGGCTGGCCAGTCGGGATATCTGGCTGTCTGGATGTTCGCCGTCATGTCGATCTACTTACATGATGCTATTCGCCGCTCATTCAACACCATCCGGAAATCCAGCCGCTGCGCTGTGTTGGCAGATCTGGTCTTTCGCCTTTGCACTTACCCCCGGCCGCGGCAACAATATAAGGCTGTGGGCTGTTTAATGGCTCAGTCCCATCCCAAAGATGTCCGCTCAGAACTTGTCGAGTAACTCACCGTGCACACCACTAGAGCCTACATTCGAGGTCGGTCCTAGCTAGCGATGATTTACCAACAACACCTCACCGCTGATCATCGTAGTTCATGGATCCCTCGGCCATTGTCCGCGAAGGCCACGAACTCATGGTCCGCCGTCAATTATTGTCCATGGGTCATCCAGAGCCCGTCTTGAGTGGAGAGTCCTCACTGAGGGACGCGCTACAAGAGGTAGAGAAGGTAAGAACACTCTATGCTTTGTAAAGATGGAGTATACTCACTTCACCAGGAGGAAGGGGCGAAAACACCCGAACATGCGATGACACACTTCCGTCCTAACACGCACACCGTAGCCGAAGAGCCCCAAGACCCATTTGACCAGGCGATGTCCCTGCCACAGAACCCCATCGTGCAACCTATGCTCGAGGTCAACACTGGAGTTGTGCCCACACACACGCAGCTTTCCTACGAAATTCTACCTGCTATCGACTATCCGCCGTCACAAAATTCTACAGCCGATAGCCCCGAGATCCGCTTCGTAACACACGATGGCGGCGAACTTCCGTTGCCATGGGCACTTGATAGTAGAGGTGACCGGCTTGTAGATGCAAGAATTTCTGCCCCGTTGCCTGAGGACGTCGCGGCCAAACTAAACCTCAGACTCCACGTGAGCATCCACTTCACCGTCTGTACTCATGATCACTTACGGGATGCATAGTATCCGGGCTGCTCGGAGGCGTACACCAGACAGATCATGTCTCGCAGATCCACGGCAGCCGGCGAGCCTATCTCTATGAAGGAACTCGCGAAGAAGATTGCCCGCGAGATGGGTGCATACATAGTAGGTCATATTGTCGGCTAATATCTTAAGTCTCTAAACACTGCCACTCCAGACACGCGAGAGAAACAGGGGGTGCCCTATGATGTTCAAGGGACGCCCAGTTGAGCTTGACGATCTCCTGCTTTGGAGACTCCGCAGGGTTAGCTCGGGCTCCTGGACGGCCGACTTCAAGATCGCGAGATTTGATTTCCCTCTAACTATGTGACCTGCTTCCTATAAATGCCTAGAACAACATTTCAAAGCTTGTATTGTATTGAGAGCACGACAATTAGCTTATTACAGTATGACACACCTTTCTCCTCGAGCCATGCAAGTCCCGCGGTGACTTGCATTGGGGTAGAAACATCCATCTCTCCTTCCATGCAGGCAAAAATGCACTGGTCGATATCCACGCTGATAACCCTGTTCTACGCATATCAGTGATGACATCTCTCCGCGTAGAGACTACAACGGCGGTTTCAACTCGAAGGGGGATCGGGCCATCATGGTTGAAACCCCCCTTTCCCTCTTCACGTGATGCCTTGCGTGCCTTGTCCGGAGTCGTCTGTGCCTCCTCCCCACTAAAACCGCCGTTGTAGGTTACTCGTAGTGGTACGAATACTCACACAGCTCTATTCATCCGACAAGAGCCTCACAATCGCCTGACGTCCTTCGTCCCGTTTGGCGAGAAGAGGCGTGCCGGGAAAGACAGTGTGTCATATCATAATCCATATGAATACGCTTGACGATAGATCTTAGCGGGATCAACATGCGCCAGGTCCGCGTCGGGTTACTTATTAATCATGCGCACGGGCGACCTATTAGCATCGAACCAGAGTGATATGCATTCTTGTACTTACTGAGATCGTGGCCTGGACAGCGAAGCAGAACTCGGCTAGGGAAACCATTCAGCGGAGGGTGTCTGGGTCGGGCAGAAGGAAGGACCTTTGAGGTGAGATTTCTTTCGTCTCAGGGCAATATATCTACACATGAGGCGTCTGAAGAGGAACAGCCTCTGGGAATGGCTGGCCTATCAGTGAACACAGCCGAACCGCAACGAGGCACCTTGACAGATGGCGAAGGCTTCGTCGTCCACAAAAGACACACGGGCGGTTCGGGCGTCCGTGGATTCGTCCATCTCATCGCCCCAGACCTCCAGTCTCAAGCCCCCTTGACTGAGAGCATCGTTCGGTTGCAATAGAAGTTGCATTGGAGGCAAGCTATCGGTTGCGCTGTATGGAGTCGACGGTCTGATTTTACTAGGAGCTGAGAGCTGGCCCAGAAGTTCGAGTGTCAATGTATGTGCTTTCTACCACATGCCTCATGCCGGTAAGTGGAACACGTCAAGAAAGCGCTTCCGCGTGATCATGTGGCCGCCTTGCAATGCTTCCATGTCAAGGATGGTACTGCCCGACTGCATTACAGCCAATAGCTCTCGTTGCTCCCCATTCCTCTACTCATGGCCACTCTCATCCTGCTCAGATGCATATCTGGTTGGGGGCAAATTTCCAGGCATGCTTTATACTCAGCTGTATCGACAGGACTCATATAACCGGATGGGTGGGACGAAGGGAGAATAAAGTCCAAGTGATATGGGCAAGACGAGTCTTGAAGACGAATCCTCACAAGACAAGCGGATAATGCGCTATCGTTTCCATCGTGATCGTCGCAGTCGCCAGTCAACACTTGTTCGAGAGAACTATTCGGAGGATTGGAGACTAAGCGAATGTCTACAGACCACCCACATAATATCCCGCGGACCAGGGGAAAGCCTCAGGCTGCCGACAGCGTCAGGAGTGATACCTCGGGAGAAGAGAATGAATGACAGGAAGGCAACGACGATTTGAGTCGCACCGCTGGGTGCTGCTGGCTGTACGCAACCTCGTCAACATTGAACTTGGTCACACAAACGCAGTGTTGTGTTTGGCATCAGCTGCACGTGGCCGAGATTGATGAGTCCCGCCTTTCCCCCTTTTCCGTCGTGTCGGCACCGATGCCCGTGATTCTCGGCGTCCATGTGGCTGTTGAGTATGACGCCGTCTGCGCAGTGCGCACTCCTTCACGACCGCACATCCGTAGTGAGCGAGTACTGTCGCCGAGTTGACGATCCACAACACTGTCCTCTGCTTGAGCCTCGCTGTACACAAGATTGCTAAGCAGGAATCGTTCCCCACTGTGTCTCTCGACCGGTTACCCGGGCATCTTTCCTGGACCTTGGTACCCACAAGCCACATTGATATCCGGCACGGCTGCATCCAGCTTTTCGCACACAACCTCCTCATACCGGCCGCCCATTGCAATATCGTGCCATGACTAGCGAAGTAATGCCTGCGGCATCCTCGGAGGACTTTGAGCTACCACCTACTATCTTCGACCCCACGACTTGCACGCGCAAGGGCCTTTGTCCCGTCACGCAGATTCGCAACCAGGCAGAGACTCTGGAGGGCCACTCGTTGTATTATGAGATACACGGGTCGGGTCCGGAGAAGGTCATCTTCATAATGGGGTGCGTCTATCTTCCGTTAGGTTCATGGAATGTAGGCGCGAGCCGAAAGTCGTCCTTGCAGGCTTAACTCTACCTCGGCTGGGTGGTTACCCCAGGTGGAATACTTCGGACGCCAGCCGGAATACTCTGTCATGGTGTTCGATAATAGAGGGGTGGGAAACAGCGGGGCACCTCGGGGACCATACACGTGTGTACCTTGGCCTTCCGTTCTATGCCCGGCCGCGCGCTGACGCATCAAACAGCACGAGCGGGATGGCAGAGGACGCGATCACGCTACTGAACTTCGTGGGATGGACTGAGAAGCACCAGGTTCATGTCGTCGGCGTGTCTCTTGGGGGAATGATTGCTCAAGGTGAGTTCTTCAGCTCACCAACGTATATGCCTATCCAAACATATGTCTATTTGCGCTGTCTACAGAGCTCGCCAGTAGAATCCCGGAGCGGATTGCGTCCCTGAGTTTGATCGTGACGAAGGCTGGGAGGCGTCACTGGGTGGACCTTCCCTCAGTGGGTGTCACTAAGCAACTAGCCATGGCACGTCTTCTTACGTCGTATCTAGTACACAGGATTGCGAAACCTCTTGCGGACGATGACTATCCGTGAACCAGAAAAACGCATCCCACATGTTTTAGACATGTTATTCCCCAGGGCTTGGCTGGACGCTAAGGATCCCTCAGATCCTCAAGGGCGGACGAATAGGGAGATCCAGGAAGAGGTCAGTAGCCTTTCACATTCCCCTCGGTCTTTCGTCCAACTTCCCCTCCAGGCATACAAGAAGCGCGTTGCGGTCACGCGCCCTCAACCTTTCCTAGGAGCTGTCTCGCAAATGGCAGCCGCAACGACCCACTACGTTTCGCCCGAGCGACTGCGGAAGATCTCCTCGACCATTCCGAAGGTGCTCATCGTGACAGGAGACACCGACCACCTGATCGACCCACGCAATAGCCATCATCTGAAGGAGGACATGCCAGAAGCCGAATTGATTGTGAAGGAGGGCGGAGCACATGGACTCGCGATGCAGTACAAGGATTGGTTCAACGAGGTCCTTGAGAGGACCTTCAAGGAAGGGCGGCAGCGCGCGTCCTCTTCGCAGTAGCCGTAGGGAGAATGAGGATAGGACAGAGTGCGCAGCGCTATTATACAGAGTATAGTCTATCGAGCATTGTGTAACATCAGAACGCCCGGAATCGTGTGCAGCTGATCAGAGTGTACATCCTAGGGGGTGATCAGTATTCTGCTACAGAGAGGAAAGATGATAACGCACCAAGTGCCCTGGGACATGTCAGTGCTCCTTGAGCATCGCAGCGAGCGTTTTCCTCGCGTCGCGCGGAAGACCCCTCAAGGCCGTCTTCGCCTTCAAAGCTTCTATCCTGATGTTTGGTGGATAGTCCGCGCCTGCCTCCTCCTTCCGCTTCAGGAGAACCTCAATGAGAGAAGGCCGAGGCACGTCAGAGCGGACAGGCTCTGGAATGGGTCGCAGGGCGGGGTCGACTTTGGAGCGCGGGACAACGCGAACGAGGCGTACGAGCGTAGGGCGCATCTTGATGATGGAAAAATCCTGTGAGACCGATGGCTAGTCAGACTCGGGCAACGAAGACAGAGACGGACGGAACAGCACACCAGCACGGTGAAGGTCGACGCGAAGGCAAGGATGGGCGCTCGCAAAGGCCCGTGACCTGAACGCGACTGTCGACGCGCATTCTAGCGCTTGTATTTCATCTTAGACGCGACCACAACGGCGGAGCTCGTCCACAGCTCTTGTCTGGCTACGAAATTACTGTTGCGCCCCTCACGCACTCAGCGTATGCGAAACAAAGAACTCTTGGAAGGTCACGATGTCGACAACGGGGCGTAAGCGGAAAGGTGCAACACCTCCAGAAGACTCCGGGGTGCCATCCAAGAAACCACGCGCGGCGAAGTCGGCGAAAGGAAAGAAGGGCACACAGCCTGATGCTCCTGTGTGGCCCGAATACTTCAACTCTGTGTGTAGGACTCTCCGGTCGCATCTGGATGTATCTGACTAGGGCGGTGCGGCAGCTCTTCAAGGTACGCGCGATATCTCATAGACATCGCTGTATGCGGCGGTCACAAGCTGAAACCGGCATACATCTACTCTAGATGTACAAGGTATGTGGCACTGTAATACTGTGCTCGATATCTGGATAGACGGGCTGCGTTGTCAGGCATTGAACACGGTTCTCGCCTTCTGTTCCTCACGGAAAAACTTTGCCATAACTTTTCCCGTCGTCCGGGCTTCCGTGGAGGCGATGTTGCACGAGTAGGGCTTCAGATATCTATCTTTAGGCAAATGCATTCACTCATCGCTTATTAGACCCCTGGAGCTGGCGAAGGTCGCCGAACTCAAGTACAGCCTTTTGTTCCTTGCCGCGTTTACAAGGGCACTCATCAATGAACCCTGAAATAGGGCGCTGCTTCCAGAGATCGTGAAGTTCGCATACACGCCACGCATTGAGCTGCGCATTCACAGTGACCACCAGCCTGGGTCCAGTCGCCGCGAAAGGTCCCCGGACTATTCGGCCTTTCGGACCGCCAGCGCGTCGAGCTCGCTGGTCAATGACGAAGACGAAGACGAGCATGTGCTCGTGCTGGATTTCATCGACAATTCCCGTGGAAAGAAACCCGGTGATACCGGGCTCGCGTATGCTTTACCACCAGCACTGACACCTGCAGCGACCAAAAAGCTTGTCGAGCGGCGCAACAACCGTTTCGTTCAGGCTGTCAACGAGTAAGGCGCCGAGTCATTCGATGGTGGTCTCCAGTGCTCAACGCCAGCGCCACAGGCTTCTGAAAGCTACCCCAGAGAGCGAAGACCCCGTCACGCTCCTGCAGTCTGCTGCTCGGGAGCACATACCTGTGCATCCTGGGCTCAAAGATTCAGCACCAGGAGCTAGCCAAGCTGATGTGAAGGTGAAGTATCGGCAAATCCCCGAACCTGAACATAGGCCATCCATTGAAGAAGTCATCGCCGACGTTGAACAGCAAGATTGGTACCAAGAGCAAATACAATACAGGCGAATATTTGAAGCGCGGCAGGGTCAGCTTGGTACGTCGCAAGATCCCCCGCGAGGCTCTATAGGCTTATGTACTGACATTTTTAAACTTTAAGCTACTCTGGAGCCGCCTCTCTCTGACACAATATCCCAGGCCCTGCGGGATTCTCGTAAAATCACGTCACTGTACACCCACCAGGTCTCTGCGATCAACGCCCTCGCTCGGCATAAGCATGTAATTGTCTCGACAAGCACAGCGTCCGGCAAGAGCGTCATATACCAAGTATGTGTTCAAATGGAGCATCACCTACCTATATGTCATTTGACGTTGTGAAGGTCCCCTTTCTGCAATTCCTCGAAGCAGACCCTGATTCCACAGCCATCTTCGTCTACCCTACAAAGGCAAGTAATCTGGCTCTCAGATTTATATCATCCTGATCCTGACATGTGATGTACCCATAGGCCTTGGCGCAAGACCAGCGCGCGGCTCTGGAGCAGCTGCTCTATTCTTGCCCAGGCCTCAACCATGTGAAGGTGTCAACGTACGATGGAGACACGCCGCAAGAGCTGCGCGCCGGTATGTCCTATTTTTGACCGTAGATACCACGCTCATAACGGCAATGAAGGGATCCGCGACACCAGTTCCGTTATTTTTACGAATTTCGTAAGTGTGTTCCCTAGAGGGACGCGTGTACGCTTATGGGTGTCGGTGTATGGGTACTCATGGGTCCGTGGGCTCTAGGACATGTTGCATGCTTCGATATTGCCGCACGAAGACCAGTGGAGAAGGTGATCGTGAATAGGAAGCCTCGGTTGGAAGATTGCGTTCTCAAGTTGGCTTTAATCTATCAGGTTCCTGAAGAATCTCAAGCTTGTTGCGATAGATGAACTGCATTATTATTCCGGTATTTTTGGAAGGTCAGGAGATAGTCTGAGTTAGGTCTCCGCTTGTGCCTTGACACAACCTTGGACAGTCACGTCGCACGAGTAATGCGCAGACTGAGGAGAGTATGCGCCGCCGTGGGGAGTGAGTCATGACATGTTTCAACAGAACTATAACTTACACTTTTTGGGTAGATCGTCGGGCACGCTTTGTGTCTTGCAGTGCGACAATTTCCAAACCCAGACAACACATGCAGAACATATCTGGAATAGAAGTGGGTTTAATGCGCTTAATCGACGCATGGGTGTCTAATGCAGTTTGCGGATAGGAATCTAAGATCGAAGCAGTGACAGAGGACGGGGCTCCTGCTGGCCGCAAGGACTTTTTAGTCTGGAATCCTCCCTTAAAGGACCCGATGGACCATTCTCTTGGACGGTTGCATTCTATGACTGAAGCTACTAGGCTTATGCGCTTCCTTATGGCAAGGGGCGTTCGTGTGATCCTATTCTGCAAGGTATTTCGTTCCCGCAGACGCCGATGGCTCCTTCCGCTCAACGGTGATTCAGATCAGAAAGTCCTGCGAACTTGTACGTCGTGCCAAATTCGATGTCTTATCAGAATAGCCACCGATCCGATACAAACAATAGGCCATGAAGACGCTCAGGCAGGAACTATCCGCGGATGGCCGCCACGACATCCTGGAAAGAGTCATGTCATACCGAGGAGGATATTCTCAGGAGGTGAGTCATATCACTCATATCGGAGCCGACTTCCTTCTCAACCACAATCTATCAGGACCGGCGCCGAATTGAACGAGAGGCGTTCTCTGGGAATCTACTAGGAATCGTAGCCACCAATGCCTTGGAACTGGGTGTCGATATCGGGGTGCTAGACGCGGTGATAATGCTTGGCTTTCCAATAGGCGGGCTCGCCAGTTTTGTGGGTTAATTCACATTCAGGGCCTTTTGCGAGCTGAGCAGTCTTCACAGCGGCAACAAACTGGGCGTGCTGGACGTCGTGCGCGCGATGCCCTTAGCATCCTCGTTGCCGATGCGCTCCCTGTAGATCAGCACTACGTCAACCATCCGGAAGAGCTCTTTGACCGCGCTACAGATGAGCTCATGATTGACCTCGAGAGCAAAATCATCCTTGAGGCACACCTTCAATGCGCGGCACATGAGATGCCGATCACAGCGGAAGACGAGGTGTATTTTGGCGGTAGTATGGTTGAAATTTGCGAAGCGAAGCTAACAAAGGACAAGGAAGGCTGGTCAGTACGCGATCCACAGAACTGCATCATGGTGTAGTAACATTTAACCTCATACTCACTCATTTGGCGGCAGGTACCACACGCACCCACGGTACCTCCCTTATCCTTCGAAACATGTTTCCATTCGTGGCGCAGAAGAGGAGAAGTATAGTGTTGTCGATGTTACTCGGATTGGCAAGCCTGGCGGTACAGCACACATTCTCGAGGAGATCGAGCTCTCACGCGCCCTCTTCGAGATTTACGAAGGAGCTGTGGTTCGTGACTTCGCTATTCCTAGCCTATAAGCGCATCTCACAAGACATGTTCGCATAGTTCATCCACCAAGGCCTTACCTTTCTGGTCCGAAAATCTCCGACTTCTTTCAGTTCGTTGTTGCTGACCTTGAGTGCTTGTGAAAGGTGCAAGAAGTTAGTCACGACTCGAAGATGGCGAAACTTGTGCGATCCGATGTGAACTGGATCACTGAGCCCAGAGACTTCACCAATGTCGATGCTATCCAGACAACTCGCATCAGAGAGATCAAAGGCTCTCCCCATAGAGCATTCTATGGCCGTGAGTAGTCCTTTTACTTCGCTCTTCGGTCAATATCCTAAATCATATGCACAGGCATAGAGCTTTTCACCCTTGTATACGGTAAGCGGATAGTCAAACTCTTAAGATAACCAGTCACTCACGACGTTCCAGGTTATTTCAAGCTACGGTAAGTATGTGTGTAGTGGGATCGTCGCGGTTAGGACCTCACTTTTCTCTTGAAGAAACAAGGCGATCATCGACGCAGTTGATTTAGACACTCCGGCATGGCAGCGCGAGACCACAGGACTATGGCTCGACGTCCCCAAGCCCGTACTCCAGATGATGTACGACCACGGCATCAACCCGGCGGAAGCTATCCATGCTGCTTGCCACGCGTTTCTGAACCGGTTCGCTCTCGCTGCGGATCTTAGAACAGAATGTAAGGTTCCAGAGAAGGAGTACAAAGCCTCCGCATCTCAGCGGAAACGACCCGCAAGGTTCGTTAATGTGTACCATTCGCCTGCGACACACGACGCTCAGTAACGTGATCCAGGCTCATCTTTTACGAGCCGTCTGGCAAAACTGGCGGAGTAGCTGTGAAGGCATTTGATCACGGTATGTAGTTGGCAAACGTGCTCAAGTCCAGTTCGCTCATCGATTGATGCGTGTATATTGTAGTGAACGACATTCTGCGTGATGCTCACGACCGAGTGGAAAGCTGCGATTGCGATGAAGGTTGCACAGCTTGTGGGTACCTCCTGCAAAGTCAACGAATATGCTTCGAGGCTGCCACTCACTGGCGGATAGGTGTTGTAAGCTCCTCCTGCAAAGAGGGCAACGTGGTCTCATCCAAGGTCGGAGCTCTCATCGTCCTCAAAGCTCTTCTTGGACAGCCGATCGATGTAGACCTGCTAGAGGAAGGGCTAGAGGAGAATCAAGCCATATACGACACGGTGGTGGAGGCAACCAGCGTTCGCTTGGCCGAAGGCGTGGAGGTAGAACGGTCCATGTAAGCTCATTCGTCTCGGACGCCAGGACTTATAGATTACTATACTGTGCCAATATTATACCCTGTATCACGCTAGATCATAAATTAGGCTAATGGGTCAAAATCCCCCCAGTCATCCTTCGACAACTGCTTCGTCGAAGAGCCCGTTGTCCCTGGCCACTGTGGTTGAGCAGGCTTAGACGGCGCTAGTACGCTGTTCATCGACATCTGTGAGGCGAAGAATGGAGGTGGTGGAGATGTTGATGTCGATGGTTGAGCAGGTGGCAGGGTAATGTTGTAATTCGGGCCCACAGGCGCAACGAATGATGGGGCTTGAGTTATCGTGCTGAAGCTGTTGGTTTGGGAACCAACACTGGCAGGCGTAAGGGTCGGGAATGATGGCTGCATAGGCTGCATGGACGAAGTCGTTGAAAACGGACTCGAAGCATTCGATGGAGATGAGGAGTTGAGGGGGAACGCCGAGTTGCTAAAAGACGAAGATGACACACGGGTAACTCCCAAGCCTGGGCTCGGGCGACCAAGAGGAGATCGTGCAGCGTGCGAGTTCAAAGAACTTTGGATCTTCGGCGATGAGGGCAGCGATTGTGTCTGCTGGTGCGTAGTGAACGTCGACGGCGTTCGCTGAGGTTGGGACGAGATCGGAGGAGATAATGGCGCCGGACTTGGGGCTGGGGTTGTCTGAAAAACAGAAATTAGGCTCAGCTCATTGGAAAAAATATCATGTCTACTTACCCCCGAGGTACTGGAAAAAATACTGCCCCAGACATCATCCTCCCAGTTCTTGGAACCATCTCCGGTGGAATCCGCCTTCACCGTGACTGCGGACGCACCGCTGTTCCCCACCAGGCTCTCGAAGTCGACGGCGCCACCAGTGGCGCCGGTGGACAGACTGGCACGCCCGTTCACGGCTGAGCGATCCTCTATCCGCTGAGAGTCGCGTAGATACTGGTCATGCTCCTTCTCCACCCGATCTCCCAACTTCTTGATGACATCCATGAACCGCTTGAATTGCGAGACGGTCAACAGGGGGCCCATGGACATTGCCCAGAGTTGGGGGAGCACAAGTGTAGCGACCGCTTCTCTGTCGACTTTGAGACCCATGGCTTCTTGAACGGCAAGGGTGGCCATCTATGTAGCATTAGTCCATAGTCGATAAGCCTTCTCCGTGTGAGATATACGACGTACGGTAACAGCGGGCTCCTTCGTCCGAATCCTCGATAGCAACGGGACCAGCTTTTGCGTCAGACTCGACTGGTCAAGGGTTTTCACCATATGGAGGAATGTCTCCAACGTGGCGACTTTGACAGACAAGATGCGCGTCTTGGTGAACACGAGCTATACATGGAGCTGAGTCTCTTGTCGAATGCAGTGTGTTGCGAAGTACACTTACCGCGACCCTCGGGAAGAGTACTCCCTGTACCTCAGCGTAGTCGATCGTCTCGCAGAGGTTAGGAACCGCTTTCAGCGCGCGTTCTTGGACCTGTAGAGATGTCAACGACGACTACTTCCCAGGGGAGTATCGCTAGACTCACAATGGCATGCTCACTGTCAAGAGCGTTGTAAACAAGAGGAAGGACGTCTGCGAGGTAAACATGAGCGGTAACTGAGACGCACAGCACTATAATACGCACGTTCTCGGAAGACAGGTTTTTCAGTCTTGTCTTGGAGCATTTGCAAGTTATCCAACAAAGTTAGCATATTTTGTGGTGGTTCCTTGATCGCGAAGAGCGGCTTCAGACTCGGCAACACGAGAGCAGCGAATTGGCTTGATGAGAGGATCTGCGAGATAGCAAAGATGTTGGGTAGGATGTAGGGTAGCAAGTGGGTATCTTTCATCTAGGAAAGCTGCATCAGTGCTGAACACGTCCTGATAGCGGTCATACGCACCTCTTCAAGGAGAGACGGCAGTATCTTCCGCGTCCGAAGTCCTTCAGAGAACCTATCCAAGACACTGGTCAGGCCTTTCATGAAGGATATTTTCTCTTCTCGGGTTTTGGCAGCGAAGTTAGACCGGTCGAGGAAGTTGAGCGTCGAAACAGGCAATGATGAGAAGAAGGGGTGGAGCGGCAGGTCGTTGGGACTCGGTCGACTATGAGGTTGTCGCGAGATTAGGGCATTTAATAGCGCTGCAGATCAAGCTAGTCAGAACACTACGACCGCCTTACTATATGAGCTATGGGCAGTACCTCGTAGGTCTTGTTCAAGTCTTTCCGTACCGGTCAGGGGCTTCCCCGCATTCGCGCGTAGCGAAGATAGGCTACCGTGATTCTTGAATGGTGGGTTCCCCTTGCAGTGAACAGCATAAATCAAGCAACCTAGAGAGTACATGTCGGAGGCAGGGTCCAAGACCTCGTCCAGAGCGTATTCAGGCGCTGCCGCGGGTGTGAGCGTTCTGACAGGAGACAATTGAGGCGACCTGAAACGTACCGATGTAGTCGAAAGATCGTTGTGTGTATGAGGAAGCCCGCCCGTCGTACGTGGGGAACTCCCATCGCGTTGGACCACCCTCGGGTCTTGATAGAGGGATTGTAAGTCCCAGTCCAGACAGCTTCCAATCACCCTAGATTGCTCAAGTTAAGTCTTGACTTCATTTTGGCAACCTGCTAGGAAGCACTAACCGCGCTATTGATCACAATGCTCTCAGGGTTGACGTTCGAGTGGATCAGACGCGCAGATGTGTGCATGAAGGAGAGACCTTTGCATAGCTGGAGGATACCCTTCTGGATCTACGCAGAAACTTTTGAATGCCCGATCATATAACACAGCACAAGTGGACTTACCTCGACCTCATCCAACTCCACTAGAGGTGTATATTGAAAGGAACCAGGTATTGACAGGTGCAACGAAGAAAGTACGGGCTCCGTAGCGAAGATAAGCTCGTTCCGAGTCTCTTCAAGTGGTTCCACCATCTCTTGATTCCCCTGTCAGAGTTGTTGCATGCACACACAGTGCATACGCCTTACCTAAAATCGACGGATGCCGCAGCCTACTCAGAGCCGAGGCCTGGCGATCGCGTTTGACGTTGGATGCGCAGGACTAGAGCTCGTACGCACCTCGGCCTTCAAAACCTCTATCGTCCTCTCCCTCGACGCTGGCCCCATGCGTTCCATCTCCTGGCTCCGTTTGTCCGTGCTCCATACAGAGACGCGCTTGTTGGTGACCTTGTGTGTTGCAGGCTGCACGCGCCATGGCCCCACATTAAACGGTGGCGGTTGTGCAGCTGCAGGGAGAGAGGCTGTGGATGAGCTTGCTGGCGCAGGTGATGCTGTCCGACTTCCACCAAGACCAGCCCCCGAGGATGACGAGGAACCGATGTTATAGTTCTGAGAGATATTCGTCCGCGCAAAGAACGATGTTGCCGCCGCGAGCATGATAGATATATTTCGTGCAGACTCTTAGGAGGCCCGAAGGTTGTAGCAAGGGGCACAGATGTCGAGCAGGAGGGCTATATACCGGCCAGGTGGCCTGCGAAGGGAGTATGCACGAGCGCGGCTCAGTCGTTACCGGTCGTTAGTGCAAGACGCGGTTTCGGCTAAGCGAGCCAATATTTGCCTTGGGCGTCTCTGACGGTATTGCACAACGTTCATCGCAGTCACTCGCACAAGTCGATGTTGAGCGCTACTAATTCCGCGAACATCTCAACTTAGTGACTCTCACAAAGACCTCGGAGGTAAGGTATGATAATCCGTCTAGCAGGACTCAACGCTGGCGGCGTTATGACCTTCCCTCCCATGCCTCGACGTAGCCACGAGTCCGCTGTTGGCGAGTGAGCGAGGTACTTCAAAACACTGAGAAGGTCACACTCACTGCAAACCTGTCCCAGCACTACTACAAAGACAACGACCATGACTACCCCAAGCGTTCCGTTCACCCTCCGTCCTGTTTGCTTCTTGTAGAATTTCTCCGCAAGAATGCCGAACGGCTGCGCGAAGAAGAATAGGGTGACCCAGGGGTCGATCGGCTCGCCAGCCACGTATAGGCCGATCTCGTGGAACAACCCGGAGGCAAGGAATGTACCAAACAGCATCCCCAGGTCTCCCGCGACCCACCATCCAGGATAACCCCCGTATACGAGGAACGTTTGTCGCAATGCCTGGTGCCACCGCTTTGACCAGAATTCGTGCAGGGAGCTCGAGAACCAAGGTTCGTCGTGGAATGGAGGCCATAAAGAGGGAGATTGCTGGAAGACACCGACGCCAACCAGCGAAGCGATGTCGTACCACATCTCTATCCCAAGGATGATAACGAACCCAGCGAGGACGTGTAGCGCTGTAGCAACGATATAGCGCAGCACAGGCGATAAAGCGGGCAAGTACAATGATCCAGTTGTCGCGGTTATGCCGGGTAGCGTGTCGAGGAAGGAGTCGATAAGATCGACAAAGAGGTATGCTCGCATGACAGAAATCAGCGTCGACTTCAAGTATGAGCTCCGTTCTGAGGGGCGACGAGCTTTTGGCACGTGTAGTCCGTACGCATACTGCCAACCAATGCCGCGAGCAAGGACGCCAACCTCGAAGGCATCTGAGATACATGCCAGGACAATCACTCTTGATTCAGGCGTCTGTGGAACTATGCCGTTTCCACTCCCATACGGTTGTTGGTAAGTTTCATTTGGGAGTGGTGCATGACGGATTTCCCCGATCCTGAGGAGGCCCTCGGGACGTGAGGCGAAAGTAATTGCTTGGGCCGTGGCTGCCAGAGCGAGCAGCCCTACAGGGAGTGAGCTGCGACTACTTCGACGACTGCCTTTTTCCGAGACATACCTCTGAGCCAATTGTACCAACCGAATCTGGGGTCCTCGATGCGATACCGCAGAGTGCACCAGAACATGAAATACACGAAGATGGGCAGGAATAGCAGGCGAACTATATGGGTATGAGGTCTCCTCGTTAGGTACGCCATGAAAAGGTAGGCTATAAGCCAAGCGTGAGCATATGGTATGTTAGACCACGTCAAGGGCTCGTATGTCCCGTGTAAGTCTTTGAGCCCTGGCCGAAGAGTCTGCATGATAGCGACGTGCTCAAATTGTGACCTGTATGATGGCAGGTCATCAGCCTTCGCAGAGACAGGTAGAAACGAAGACATTAAACCTGCTTGACCCCTGAGGCCATCCTGTACGCAGAAAGTCCGAGCTCGACGGACCACATGGAGACTCGAGTTAAAGATCACGCTTATTCGATTAGGTAAGTGAGGTCGTAGCGCGCCAGCGGCTACTAACACAGATACTTACGTGCCATGACATTGAAGGGATGCAAAGCTATTATTCTAATCAATACGATTATACGCAAGTATGCAAAGCTAGTTGTGTGTTTCATGTATGTGAAACCCCCTTGCGACACTCAGGCATATGTTCAGATAGTCTAGGACACTAGTACTGGTGTATATAGATGTGCCAAGCCCCTGAGAGTGGGCAAAATTATCTGTCTCCCTATACTCAAGGACTCTGGCACAGCGAGGGCCCCTGCAATGCCTCTATTGAACCAAGAATCGGCTGAATACACAACTTGGTCAGTACCCCCAGTGGCAAAGCGCGCGCTGACGTGCAACAACTCACTGCACATCTGGCCGAAGCCAAGAACGAATAGGACGGCCCACGCGAAACCAAGTATGCCACTAACTCTCCTTCCAGTGAGCATCCCGAAGCCTCTCTCCATCGTGATGCCCACAGCCTGTAGAAGGAAGAACACGAACACCCGGCGGTCCATGGCGACGCCTGTAGTCGCGATACCGATCTCATGGAATAGAGCGGAAGCGAGGAAGGTCCCGAATACCATTCCGACGTTGCCTGCGAGCCATTGTCCTGGGAATCCACCGTAGGTTAGGAATATGTACCGAAGTGATTGATGCCATCCCTTGGACCAGAATTCGTGTAGCGACTGGGCAGCCCAGACGTCACCAGCAATTGGCGGCCAGTCGTCGGGCTTCGACCCGCAGAATAACGCGCCAATGAGCGAGAAAATGTCGTATACGCAAGACACCCCAGCGGCGATGAACAGCCCGTGCCCAAGGTGGAGGAACGTCGAACACGCATACCGCTGGAAGAACGGAAGTTGGGAGAGGAAGATCGTGCCCCCCGTCGAGGACACACCCGGTGTGAGCTTCTCGATGGTTTCCCATATGTCGATATAGAGCATATTCCTAGCGAACCTCCAGAGCGTTGCTCTAATGAAGGCGTCGCGTTCCGAGGGTCGCTCACCCGAGGGGATGTATAACGACTGCCCGAAGTCCCAACCGACGCCGCGCATCGCTAGTCCAACCTCGAGGGCGTCGTACAGGGCGCGAGGGAGGAAGTTTCCGACTATACCGCAATCCTCGCGGTCCGCTAGTGGTTCTTCTTTGCCTGGGATAGTTCGTCGGCGCTGTGTCGTGTTCTGCTCTGGGTCGGAGATCGCGGGGAGCTCCTTCTCGCCTACTTTGAATCGTCCCTCTCTTACGAGAGCGAAGTCGATAGATTTAGCGATGACAACGAGGCCCACTAAGCCTGTGAACCACTGGTCAGGATTTTCGGAGATCCCGGTGAACAACGTCAGACATTACCTCGATCCCACTCGAACCACTTGAAGCGAATATCCTTCCACTGGTAGCGGAACGTACATCGGACCGTCATAGCAATCACGGTCGGCAGTAGTAGCACTCGCATCAAGCGCGTATCCCGTCGTCGGACAAGATATGCCATGAATAAGTACGGCACAAGAAATAAGATCGCCTGTGGAGCGGTCTGCCATGTCAACCCCTCTCGGTCTTCTGTCCGAGGTACAAATTCTCGGAATGCGAGAACGGCGGCATGACAGACTCTAAGGATAGCTCAAATGTCAGCCCTATGCGCTAACGCAGAAGAAGCGAAGAACGTGGCTCAACTGGTCTAGGACTCCCTGGCTAGTCATATGTAAGGCACGTTGGTGATGAGAATGTAGGAGGAAGGCGAGATTAACATAAGCGACGTCCCTCAGGCCGCTCGTGCCACGTACCAGTGCGCTGCGGACAAACGTTCAAAACACCGCTCAGCGACGTCTCCGGCGGCTGCTGAACATTCGGAGGCACGCTGCATATGCATGCTTGATTTCTGGGCTGGCGACACTTTCGAGCATCGATCTCGTTGGCAGCAAGGAAAAGTCAAAAGTAGCCGATTTGGCGGGATCGTTCAAATTGCGTAAATGCTACTTAAACCCTCGGCCCCGGCCTCGGCCCTCTGCCGATTGTGGTGGCGATGACTTTGATGCCAGTACTTAAAGTGTAGGCGCATTCGAGAATTCCCTACATATGCACATGTCTCGCGAGCATCGACGGGGCGCCGCAGCCTGAGACATTTCGCAATATGCGTCATCGATTGTTGACCACTGGCAACGCCCATTGTTTGGAGACTTCGCGGTAGGCGATTTTGCAATTGCTCGGCGCGCAGCATGCACCAGCTTGCGCCATTTCCAAGAAACTAGTACGATATTCAGAAGGGCGGAGCAATCTGATGTCGAATCGGCTGCGGACGAAGCGTCTGAGACACCGGCGTTAGTGCGAACGACATAGAAGCACGGTTGGACGTGCAGTCTAGAATCAGAAGTGACATTATACAGCTTTACAGTGCGAGGAATGTTGGAATCCCAAACTGTAGTGTTACAACACCCTAAGAAAGACAGTGATGGATGGCAGCGGAGGCGGACGGAGTGGCAGTCGAGATTCGTGTAAGGGGGCAGGGCAGTGAAAAGTCAAGGAATGGTAGAGTCGCAGAGCCGTGGTAAGACCCAGGAGAACGGGGAACTCAGTGTGAGGGTAGAATCGTGATGTGCGAGAGTAGCATGGAGGAGCCGATCATGAAGCGTCGTCAGGCAGATAAATTAGAAGGAAGAGCTATCTATGGCGAGCCTCCGGTTTCCGCGTAATGTCCCCATACTGGAAAGAAATCCCGGAGAGAAGTGGAAAGAAGACTAAGGAGGAAGAGGAGACGGCGAGTTATATGTCCGCGCGTAGATACCGATGGACGTCGTTGAGACCTAACGCCGGGAAGGGGATCCCACCAAGGATTAGCGACTCGCTTTGAAGCGTCCCATACTGGTCTGTAGTGAGCATGATCGGTATCTCGTGTCTGTAGACGGGGAAATCCTTGAGATGCTCTGGCGGTAGGATGATCAACCGAATGGCATGCTGCGTGAGGATGAATTAGAATAGATATACACGACATCTCGGAGACCAAGGCCAACGATGGACACGAACCTCAACCGCCACAGCATCTTTCACCCGCCACGAGGTCTCCCGCCCCGATTCACCTGCTTGCACCTCGAGCCGAAGGTAGGCGATGCCTTCCTGCGACTCATCCGCGAGGTAGAGGTCCGCACGCGAGAGGCATTGCTCGCGTATACTGATCTGCGCACCTAAAGATATCCACGTTTTCTGCCGCTTGACCAGCGATAAGTGGGCATTATGCGACAGCAGCCTAGCTAGCGCCGGGGAGCGAGGACTCTCGATCTTCAATAGAATGGCTATCGTGTCACCAGACGCGAAACATTTTGTTGCGGCCATCGTGAGCTGGGCGACATTGTGGGTGTCATATCTTGGACAGCGAGCAGTGTCAGACAGGCGGGACATACCGAGATCCGTGGCAAGTCTTCCCGCCGGTGTGCGTTGGGATCCTGACGAGGGAGCCAGGTTGGCTTCAGCGTGACATTGGACATGCGCTCCGAGTTCAGCACCGCATCAGTGTGAGCCCAGGGCAGCTCGTCCACCGGCGGCGTCTCCGGACGGGACTTGGGCAGGTACAGCAGTGGTACGACCAGCCTAAATGAGCATAGCAACCCGTGGGTCAACGCAGCTGCCCCTTCACAACAGCGACAGAGAGAGCTGCGTACTTCTCGTGCCGCCTCATGCCCTTGCGAGAGATGTCGACTCGGAAGGAGTAGTGTATCTCGGTCGAGATCCCGGGCTGGTAGACCGTATACGACGGCGGGAGGGGGTCGTGCTGCCCATCGAGATACGTCGGGAATTGTATCGCGAACGGGAACTCGCCCTTGAGCGTCGCGCTCTGCTTTGCGGGTGCGGTGAATACCACCTGTTTCTTTTTGAGTATCACTACTCTGCTGACGCCTGGGACGGCGACAGTAGCGTGCTGGCTCGCCGAAGTGTTGATCGCCCCTTGAAGCTATAGATAGCATCGCATGAGATGTAATGTACGACGGCACCGATAGATGAGTACTGAGGCCCAGCAGCTCACGGCTCGCGATACTCACTGATACAGATAGCTCAACGACGTGCGAACATGACTTGCAAAAGTTGATAACGCCGTCGATCGTCCCTCCGAGGCCGTATGCGGGGAGGGCCAGCCCCCAGTGCGGAGGATGTAGACGGACCTCGAGGTGATCAGTTTTGTATATGTGCTTCTGTTCCTGGACGGCAGGAGCAAGCCCTGTGGGATGGCGTTCGGTCTGGAGCACGCGCTCAGAGACGGATGGACGCTCAGAGTACAGTGGCGCGGGACTGGCAGGAGATGTCAGGGCATATGAAGGAGGCAGCTCGACGTCCATGGTAATCGACAAAGACGGGACGGACGCGCAGACGCATGGGAAGCCGGCCTGGCAGGTTATGAGGCCGGGATGATCGCGGGCGTGGTCAAGGCTCTTGGGAGCAAGACGTGATGGACAAGAACATGCTGGGATTGCGCCTTGTGGTATTATAGCCGCCGCATGATGGACGCGCTATCTGCAGCGTCCTCGCCGGAGAGCTCAAAGACCGCATTCTCAGACGTAATTCCATGCGTAAATGACTCGACTCCTGCGCTCCCAGTGCTGACAAAGCCAGAGACAGACTGAAGCCATCATATGTACCCGAAGGCCGATATGCACCATCCTTGGCGTCGCTCGCTGCGGGCGGCCACCCCTATGACAAACCAAGGTACACTCTCCCTGCCCCGTCCTCATTGGCCCAACCAGCCCCCCATGATGCGTCCAATATGCTCTGGCCTTCCTTCAGCGCGCAGCCGTCTCTCGCAAGAACAGGGTAATAGCGCCCCATGCCTTAGTAATCGAATAACGAACCATACAACGTGCATACAAGTACATCCCAGCGAGGATCGCAAGACCGCATCTTACAATAACCGTGCCAAGACATTGACATGCAGTGACTCGTGCGTGTTACGACCTTAACTAGAATAATTGCATCTTCGACGTCCTGTATTGATAAGCAGAAGGCGTTCGAATAAGATATTGAGTTGGGTCAGAAGCCGGAGAAGCCTGAAGGAACTCACCGGACTCGGACCAAGACGGCTGCAAGCAACACGATTGGGCTAATTGTGAACGCCAGCAAACGAACGAAGAAACCGCTGGCATTATTCGACCAGTTCGACCAAGCCCCCCCGAGGTGGGTCACAAGCAGCAACAGCGGGAAGAGGATGTACCCGGACAGCCTGTCACAGCGATCGGTGGTTGACGATTATGCGTAATTCGCCGGGTGAGCGGAGGCCCGTAAGTCCTTGAGATATCGGTCGAAGGGCGACATACCTGTGGTACTTCCAGACCAGTTTCGCCTTTGGAGTGCCTCCAAACAGACGTCCGCCAAACCAAACACTTCCTCCTCCCAACACGATCTGCAATACAAGCCAGGCTACAGAGATAATCCCGATTGTCTGGCAGAGGCCTAACGTCAGTTCACGGAGAAACGCTTCGCCTCATCTCAAATGCAACAGCATCTAGACCGTTGACTGCGATATTACGGGCCGGGTGCCACAGAATCATATGACTCACACCATGCCATGAGATAAAGTGCGGGGCGTCGTTCACATATTTGCGCCAGACGATCGCGAAGGTACCCAAAGCCATCGCCGGAAAGCCGAGGGCCAACATCGCCAATTGGTGCCTCGTCAGCCCAGCAGCCTTCGTTCTGGCTTGGGAAGTGGGCTGCAGAGTCAATATACCTGCGTAAAAGGGCGCCGCTAGTGAGTTGATACACGCGTCCATGGTTTCGCTTGATGGGGGGCATGTTGGGTGGGTGAATTGTTCGGCATGATGACCCACCATAAGTAAATATCGCAATTGCCAAGCTCTGCAGTGTCGGATGGAAAAAGAACAACCCTTGCGATTTCGAATTGTTGCTGGAAATCGTGATACCCCATGTCGCCACCAAGGACACCTAAGGGCATCGCGTTTGAGACAATCCTACCCCGATCGAGTCCACGGTACTCACTGCTACTGATATCTATTGTACAGATCCGTGAGCACTCGTGGATCGAGACGAGCAGTAGAGGAACGTACGTATGCAGCCCACTCAGCAATTTTGTCCCCTGGCCTTCCCTCTGGCTTGAGGAACTGCTCGTCGTAACCCATGTCGTCGGCAGTGTTTAACGGAGTGAGGGGCGTGTCTGCGTCCACGTTGAGCGGCTCTTCTTCCGGCTCGGAGTATTGAGCGCCTGGGGCGGTCGTCGAGGAAATGATAGGCGGCATAGTCCTCGAGCTGGTCTTATAAGTGAGGGCGGGGAGTGTATGTATACGTGGGGAACCCGCCAGTCGCCGGTGGAAGCTCAGTATAGAAGATGGGCAACGTGTCAGAACATGGTTTGGCAGACTAGTGGACTCGTAGGAATATGGCGATTAGGAGCTGTGAACGTCTAAGCATTACACATCTCAGGGCGGTAGAGGCTGCGGGAAGAGCGATGGCCGATGTGAACGGCTCCCTTGGCGTCTCACCCTGCAGCAGAGCCACGATCCCACGCTCAGCCCGATCCGGCTCCCGGACAACCATTGGCTGCGAACCTCTGTACTCAATCGCTAGGGGCAGTAGTCTCGAGTCTCGTTTGAGAAGCGCTGGATTGCAGAGGAGAACCCTGGCGTCGGGAATCGTGGGCACTTGCATTGTTCAGTAGTTTGGAGATCATAGGCATTTGTTGGATAAATGACAGGCCGCACTATGCACCTGGCGGAAAGATCTCCCTGGCTTCACCACGCTTGCCTACATTAATGAGCATAGGTGATGCACAGCCTGTGGTAACAGCCTTCTCTTTGGTTACACCTGCATCCGCGAGCCGTCTACCAAGGCAAGAACATGCATTGAAGTCGAGCGCTTCTGCTACCCAATGCGGAAGCGGCACTGTCCACGCGGGGTCCTGATCAGAGATCACGGAGATTGCCCGACAGACTCACGTGGGAAGACCCCAGGCGTTTCCCCGCGGGGCTGGACGCGCCGACGCGACGGAACTCTCGAGTATAATTACATACGACAGCAGTACTTGCTCGGTCCATCTCTTCCACCACCACCGTCTTCTCTGCTACGGTACGGGTGCCATTCACGATGCGGCCGACGACACGGCTCCTCCAGATTGCCGGGAACGGCGCACACAGGAACAAGAGCATCAGCTTCATAGGCCTGGGACGCATGGGGTCCGAGATGGCGTACAACCTCTTCTCGCGCAAGCTCGTCGAGAGCCATGGGGCGGCGCGGTTCGTCGTGTGCGATGCGCGCGAGGCGACTTCGGCCGCCTTCGCGCACAACTTCGCGCAGCAATTCCCCGGAGTGCGTGTAGAAATCGCTACCACCCCTGCAGAGTACGTCCGCCCCGCCATATATGCACACGCGTAGCTCGCGACTGACTACTAGTGCGATCTCGCTCCTCCGCCACATCGTCTCAGAGCGCTGCTTGCTTCGAGCACAGTCGTCACCATGTTGCCCTCTTCACCTCACGTCCGCAACGTCTACAGCGAGGAGGACGGCATCATTCCCGCCCTGCGTTCCTTGCCGCCCGAGGCCGTCCGCTCGACCCTCTGTATCGACTCCACGACGCTCGACGTCGAAGTCGCGCGCAGCGTCGCCGCCGCCGTGCAGACCACAGGCGCTTCCATTGTCGACGCCCCCGTATCGGGCGGCGTCGCCGGAGCCAAGGCGGGCACGCTGAGCTTCCTCGTCGGCGGCCCAGAGGAGGCCTACAGGCGAGCGCACCCCTTCCTCCTGCACATGGGCCAGCGGATCATCTATTGCGGAGAGTCGGGCGCGGGCCTCGTCGCGAAGATCTGCAACAACCTCATCCTCGGGGTGCAGCAGATCGTGGTCGCCGAGGGGATGCTGCTCGGCCAGAAGCTGGGCCTGGACCCGAAGGTGCTCGCGAGCGTCGTGAACAGCTCGACGGGCGCGTGCTGGTCGTCGTCCGTGAACAACCCCGTTCCCGGAGCGCTGCCGGACAAGTCTCCTCCCTGCGAGCGCGATTACGAGGGCGGATTCGCCACGAGTCTGATGTTGAAGGTGCGTTTGGGACGTTCGACCGTGTCGCGGTATTGACCTGGACCCTTGCAATCCGTTGCGCGTAGGACATGGGCCTTGCGACCGATCTCGCTGTCTCCACCGGGACCCCACTGCCGCTGGGCAAGAAGGCAGAGAAGATCTATGCGGATGTAGTTAGTGAAGATCCGGAGCTATCGAACAAAGACTTCTCGTCGGTGTATCGATATTTGAGATCCGCATACCCGAAGTAGCTGTATCTGCTTCAGATCGGTATCCCTGGATACTGCCGTTGCGAGGACGTCCGCAGTTTCCCCCCCCATGTACAAGTATCAGTACGTTTCGGGCGAGGAAGATTTCCCGAACAAGAGAAAACACTGAAACCACGTACCTATGTCGCACTCGGGCCGCCGTCCGTCGGGCGTTTGGCAGAGAGAGAGCCCGGGAGTGATCGCGTCTGCAGCCAGGGGCGTGTGCGATGAAACAGAAATCACTGTACATAAAGAACTGGCGCGGTCGCGCGCACCGTCATAACTTTTCCCTAGCACTCCCCCTCGCAGCGGTGTCGGCTAGTCGTCGAGTAGCGTCCGCGTGAGGTGATCTGGGCCAAAGATCTGGGCTGCCTGTTCGGGAAGGACCACAGCCTGGCAGTCGGTTACGGCGGAAGAGGAGACAGCAGCTACTTAGTGATAGGCCGGGACGGCCACGGACAAATTCACATCATTCACGCCTCCTCGCTCTAAATCGCCCTTGATCAACAGGCCCGTCTTCTTCTTTGCCCGTCCGCCTTGTCCTCCTCTCCGTTATCCGACTCCTCCTCCCCTACCTTCGCCCCGCTCCTGCTACTGCTCACGATGTCAAAGAAGCCGAACGCGATCATCTTCGGTGCGCCGTCCTTTGCCCGCTCTTTCTGCAGCTGCTGATCGAGGGCGCGCGATGTCCGCTCGCTTTCTGCAGGCGGGCTCAACACCTGCTCGCGCACTCTCGCCACTCTCCTCGTCCCGCCCGACGGCGGCGAAAGACTCGTCGAAGTGAGCATTTATGTCCCGCTAACCGCCCCGGCCTCTTGCGCGATGAGATGATGGCGGTCGACTGAGCATCTCTTCCCTCTCTCATAGAATCTCCGGATCGTGGACAAGTACTCCGTCGCGCCTGCCACAACGTAAGGATTCGCTCGCTCGCCGAGTCTGTTGTGGAGGATGCCGGGTGCTCAGACCGCCTTGACCTTGACCTAGGTATCTCGGTTCTGTCTTCCCCCAGGTCCTCAAACAGCCCAACGTCGAGTACCGCCAGGCGAATCTCACCGTTGCGGGTACGTCCGTCCGTCGTCGCTGTCGCAGCCCCCTCCTGATCTGCGTCTGCACCGCGTAGCGACCGTTGCCGCGGCCTTCGATCCACCGGCAGGGCAGGACCCGTACGATTACGTCTTTGACTTCACGGGCGAGATTGGCTGGGACAGGCCAGAAGGGGTGAGTGCTATAAGCGTCGCACGCGATCGAGTGCACTCGAGGCCCTCCGGACGTCTGTTAACCTCGTGTCGCCCCGGACGCGGACGTCTGCCCAGATCCAAGTCGGCCACACGTTCAAGATCGCTCGGCAGATAGGCCTCGAGGCGGCAAAGCGGCAGGTGAAGGCGTACGTCCGTATACAGCACCCGTTCTACAATTGCAAGGAGAGCGGAAACCACGACGAGAAGGCGGAGGTGAAGCCCGAGGGTGTGGTCGGCACTTGGTGGCATGAGACCCTGCGGGCGTTGGGCGCAATCGAGGAGTGAGTGTTTCTTCTATCGCTCCGTGCTTTACTCCGGTTATCCACGATGAGACGCTGAGCATCGATGCTCGACCGTTTCCTAGCCTCAATCTTGTCATCATCCGGACAGCCCTTCCATACGGCCCTTATATCAACTATCTCGGTATGATCGTTTTCGCTCGACGGGTCCTCGCATTGACGCTCAGACTGTCCGTCATCGCCCAGCTGTGATCCCTTTCATCGCTGTCGCAGCGTGCTATGGCCATCTGCATCAGCCCATGAAGGCGCTGTAAGTGCTGCCATGAGGATTGGCCCGAGCGTCTGCTGACCGCCCTATCAGAAACTCGCCCGGCAAGTACCCGTCACATACCGTGCACGTCGAAGACATTGCGGGTGCGATGTGGGCAGCTGCGGAGTGGATGGCGAAGACGGGGCGAAAAGAGGGGGATGCGCTTGCGGGCGAGGAGATCGTGTTCAAGAACGAGAAGAGCAAGGCGAGCGAGGTGGAGGGCGTGGTCGCGCCGACACAGAAGGTGGTCGCGCCGCTGTTCAACATCGTGAGTGCCATTGCCAGTCGGGGTCGTGGGCGGAGCGGATGAGTGACGGGGCCTGCAGGAGGACGAGTCGAAGGTGACGCTGGTCGAGCTCGGGAACGTCATCGCGTCCTTCTTCGGCACCACCTTCGACTTCCATAACTTTGTGACGAACATGGCTGCAAAGGTGCGTGATCCGTCCATGCCAGCTCTTCACACCCCGCTTCCCGCATTTGGCTCACCCGCCCACCGCCAGCTCCGCCTCGAGGACATGATCGAGGACATCAACGAGGTCCACGTTAGCACCTGGACAGAGATGATCACCTCCTCGAATCCCCCCATCCCCAACACCCAGTTCTCGTCCTACATGGACCTCTCCGCCCTCAAGAAGCACGTCGTCGCCTTCAACGCCGACAAGATCAAGGAGGTCATCGGCTACAAGCTCAACTGGCCCCAGTTCAACCACGACGCCATCCGCGACATGGTCGACAAGCTCAAGGCCGAGCACAGCTGGCCAAACAACTCGTAACGCGCTCCCCGCTGATCCCGCTCCTGCTCGCTGAACTCGCACTGTCGATCGGTCGCGTCCGCGCGTTGCTTTCTCACGGACGGAAGGTGAATGTGTGTCCTGTCCCCGCGTCTCTCCTCCTAATGATGTTATGAATGAGTTATGTGCTACGGATCTCGCTCTGTACCTCTCACTATCACCACTAACTACTGCCACGTACTTCCCCACTGTCATCGTTACTCTTTGTCCATCTATAGCTCATGTTTTTTGCTCGTTACCACGCCCCATCCCCCCATACCCGTACCACCCGTCGCGCTCGAATCCGTCTTCTGCTCTCCAGCGCACTAATGCTCTTCGCATAATGCTCAATTGCTTGCTATACAATCCATCACCCACGCATTGTCATCACTACTTGTCACCATAACTCCGCGAAGCCTTCTCACACTGATCCGAGCGCAATGCGCTATGTGTGATTACACCACAACATCCGCCTTACGTCTTGCGTCAAGGCTGCTCGTGCGGGTCGAAAGGCGTACGAGAGAGCGTAATAAACAGGGCAGAACGGCTTAAATATACATATGCAACGAAAGCTACATAAAGTCCCAGGCCTACACCACGTCCCCCGTACGTGTTATGAACTGGGAGCAGATGCCGAGGAAGCAGGGACCCCGGCAGATTTTGGCGGCGGCGCGGGGACGATCTCGTCCAAGAACCCGGGCAGGAACCGCTCGACGCGCTCGTGGGTCGCGGCCCACAGCGCAACCTGGCGCTCGCCCCGATCGTCTTCGGGCGTGCTTGGTGGCACGAGGAGGCCGGTGGCGTTCATCACGAGCAGCACGTTCTTCAGCGACTCGGGCACGGCTTCGTACTAGAGACGAACGCAGTTAGCCTTCACGTATTCGCCCTATGAAGCGTAGCGCAGCACGCTGGGCAAGCGGTGCCCGCGCGCAACGCATTCACGAGGCAGGGAGACGCGTCACCGACGTACCAGCTGATCCCGGCGATCGACGTGCATGAGCCGATCGAGCAGGTCGAGGACCTGTATCCAGAGCACTCGGATGTCGGCCGTCTGGCCTTCGCGCGCTTCGAACTGCATGAAGGCCTTGCAGAGCAGCGCGGACGCCCGGAGTCGTGTTTCGGGCATGCCCATCGGATCGCGCATGAACACCTGCTGTTTGAGAAGCTCGTCCAGGAGGGGGAAGATGACGCGGTTGAAGACTTCCTCTATCTGATTGTGGTTGCCTTCGTCTAGAGGTAGGTGCGGGCCGAGTAGGATGCGCTGGAGGTGGACCAGAGCCGTGTGCCTTATTTCCCGCGATGTGTTTGAGGACTGGCGCGCCAGGGACGAGAGGACCGGTAGGCTGAACTGGCGCCAGACTGTGAAGGTGTTAGGACAAGTATAGATAGATATGAAACGTTCGGACCCTCACTGAGTGTCCTCTGCAGACCTGACGTCTCAGCGAAACGCGCCCAACACTTCTTGAGGTCGGCGATCATGTCTACTGCCTTGCGCCCTCGCTCGACAATAGGAGAGCTAAGAAAATCAGGTTAGGCTCCACTACTTAGCGAGCGAAACCAGGCACTGACTTCGCTGCTGTCAACGCTTGTGTTCGCCGTCCTTGCTGTTGAGCATCCACGGCAATTCCGGCCACGGTCGCAAACTCGTCCAGAGCGTTGACGAGACCCGTGAAGTTGTCTGGGGTGACAGAGTCCTGAGGGCCATCGCCCACCAGAGCAGCCAAGATGTCGAAAGACTGTCTGGACGCTTCCGGATGTGAAATCGTAGAGCGCAAGAGAGCGAAGACGACATTCCACTCCGTTTGGGAGTGCACAATCTCTCTGTGCTGCTGAAGAATGTGAGTCAAGCCCGCCACGACTTGCTCCGCAACGGCGCTGGCGACGCTAGGTGGTAACCTCGCTAGAAGATCAAAGGACAGGTATATTTGGTCGCGCAGGGTATGCTGCCCGGGTGATCAGCCAATGAACTCCGTTCGGAACAACCGCTCAATTCTTACTCGTTCAGCGAGGATGAGGCATAGCCTCAGAAGCGCGACTACTGCGCGCTCGATGAGCAGGATACTGTACTGTGTGGGCGTTGAAAGGAGAGCAGAGAGATGCTCGAAGACAATAGGCCTACCATGATGTCAGTAATCTGAAGTCACAAACCACAACTCGACAGATTCACGTACCAGACTTCTTCGATGTACTGTGGTGTTTGACGTGCGATGCTGACCATGGTTTCCAGCAGGAAGACAGAGGCCGGATCATACGGCAGCGCAAACTGACCCCCTTGCGCGGCAGCCGCCGCCGCCGCTTCGTCCGACTCGAGCTTCAGCTTCGCCACTGTTCGCTCGTGTGCAAGCGCCTCCAAAGCACGAATTGCCGCGACTAGAGCTTCTGGCTCCAGTTGCCTTTCGTGACTATGAGTATCCATACTATAATGATAATGCAACTACTCACATGATCTGGGAGTATAGCTCGTCCAGGCGGCACGTTGAGATACAATCAATCGTGCAGAGCGTGTTCTCGATATCCGCATCTGTGGCATCCGGAACCAGTGCATCCGTGCTGGACGCATAAGGTGTCATCAGATATGAGGACAAAGCGGAAAGGAGACCGTCCGATCTCGGTACTGCTCTGGCCGGTTGACTGCGACGAAGGGGAATGACGGATGATCCGCTAAGGAAGTCCTCCATCTGAAGCATGCGAGGCGGCAGAAGCGAATGCAAGAAGAGCGTTTGGAACATTTCGAAAATCTATTCGAAAGGATGAGGCCGATATGTCTCACTGTACAGAACATCGATGTGACGCTTACCTGCGTCCAGCCTTCTCGCAGCGCGTTTGCATTGCCGTTGACGATGTTGAACAATACAACAGCTGCAAGCTGACCCTTGAAGTTGGTTCCGAACTTGACGGACAGAGAGGATACGGTGGTCGATTGACCGTCAACATCCACCACCGGATAGTTGGGCACCTGTGACGGCTGAGACTCGGACAACAGCGAAGTCGCCTGGGAAAGCGAGATGACAACGTAGTCGAAGACGTCGGGCATATCAAAGTGCCGTGCCAGAGTAGCACATTGGCGGAAGCCGGCAATAGCCTTTTCGATGATGTAGTCGTCCTCGAAGGTGATGAAGGCGTAGGCAATTGCAGAGACTACCAGCCTCCATACGGCCTTGAACATGTCAGCGTCGAATATGGCACTGTTGCAGGTCAAGAAGTCGCCTGGAAATCCATGAACGTGAGTAGTAAGAAGATAGACTTTCTGAGGGCACATACCAGCTTGTCGCGTGCGGGCCAATAGCTCTTTCCAAGCATACTCAAAGCCAAGCTGTCCGGTATGTTCCTCCGGCATGACAATCTCTCTCTTTCGGATCGATTCATAGATGTTCGACTGCAGCATTGCCTTTTGTCACCACAGGGCTTCGAGGGATAAAAGAAGAAGCCTTCATACCAAGAACTCCGGTGTGAAGTCAGCGCCCTCGTTGACACCCTTGAGATTGCGTTTGTAATCCTCTAGGGTCATTCGTTTCTGTTCACCAAGTCAGCCACCAGATTCATGCTGAACGGAAATGCCAATGAAAACGCAAAAGCTCACCCTAATCTGTGGGCTATGTTGATCGGTGTTCAACATGATGATCGAGAATGCCAGGACGTAAACAGCATCCTGCGATTTGATCTCATCTTGCTTGAGAATAAGCACCAGAATGAGCAGAACAGATACAGCGATGCGACATACCAGGTTCGGCAGCGAAGTAGATCTCAGCGAACGTCTCTGTAATACGACTGATCTGCTGCGCCTCCCCAGGTAAGCGGAACGTTTCGAGCATCTCTCTCAATGCTTCCGCGACAGATTTCTAGTGGTCTCTCAGTCCCATGTATTCAATGAAACCGATAACATACGTACGCCTTTGAAATCCATGAGACTCAAGAAAGCTTTGAGCACCTCGATGTTGTCTGGCTTTGAGATGAAGTCGCCGAGCAAACGCTTGTCAATGCGAGCGGAGCTCTTCAGGAACTTTGCCAGGCTCAGCGGTTTGGGTTCATTAGGATCAGCGTAGATGAGCTTGTTCTCTTCCAGGAACGCCAGTCCAGTCTTGGGCTTGGTATTGAACTTTGCGGTCCCCGTCAAGATGAGCTTCTTCTTCGACTTCGTGAGCTGTAACTGCTCAGGAGGAGGGAAGCTCTAAGGACGACACCACTGCGAGTTAATGACTGCGGCCTTGAAGGGAGAAAAGAAGTTCCTACACGGGGCCAAGTCTCACTTGCCTGAGTGACGATCAGTGATGAGCAGCGAAGCTATGTAGATGTACATACACCTTCAGCCCGAGTAGCCATGCGCCCAACAAAGGCGAGGATGAGATCCAAGCAAAGATACTGCGCATTATGTTGTTGATTGTCCGGCCCTCCGAGGCCCTGAGATGGGTAGATGCCCTGCGGTTATCTCAGTCTCTCGGTATCTCATCCACAATGACTGCACTACCTTGGCACAGAACTCGATGAGCCGCTCAAACATGTTCTCACAGTTCATGTCGCAGTCGTAGTTGGTGTACAGGTCCACCATGAAGCTAGGATGCCGGGAAATCTGACAGAGGGTCTCCAGTAACAGCTCACGGGTGTCTCCACGAGCAGGAGGGACCAGGATACGAGGCGTAGCAGGGGTTTTCTCCGAATCGTCTTCCGGAGGCGCGAGTAGAGGGGTTCCAGGAGCAGGACTACTACCTCTTGAGTTGGCCGACAAAGCCTTCTGGTTCAATGTCAGGTTCTTTGGGGGAGGGAGAGGAGTCAGCCTGTCGATGGTGAACGCAAGGAAGAGTTCCTGTTGCAGCTTGAGCTTTGGTCGCATAGTCTCGAACATGGTGGCAATCGCGCGTAGGGAAGTCTGGAGTACAGCAGGATGGTCCGAACGCGCAAGCTGGAAGAGGTATTTGCAGCCATGGTCCAGAATGAGAGCGGAGAGGGAGGGATATGCGCATATACGAGAGCCAGTTGCCTCTAGCGCGACGTTCAGGGTTCGCAAGGCGGTCAAGCGGGTCGAGTCAGTATGGGCCTGGTCGTTAGGGTCTAGAATATTGATGAGGACACGTAGGAGCTCGAGAATTGAAGGAAGACCATCTGAAACCAGGTACGTTCAGTTCACATCGCTCAGACCAATCCCGAAGTACCTACATGGTAGACGAGGTTGGCTCGGGGTTTCCGGTGGTTGTTCCTGTGCATGCGGTGATGAAGACACCTCTGCTACTTGCACCTCGCCGTTCTCCTGGGATGGCGCGTCTTGTTCAGCAGATGAATCAGGTTCCTGTGCTTGCGGCGCCGGCCCCGAGGTCGACACGCTCATCTTCACCTCCCCGCTCTCCAAATCGCCTGTGTCATCGAGCTTCTGCTCCTCTGCTTCTGGGTTCAACTCATGCAGTCGAGCAAACACGGCCCTTACGAGCTGATGCAGAGTCTCTTCCGCTGACCTTCGGAGGACCTCTGGTGAAACCATATATCAACATTTGTAGCCCTGCGCAGGGCGGCACTAGACCCACCGCTCAGTCGCATCTGACATGAAGTAGTTAGGACGGTCTCCAGCATCTCGCAGATCTCGATATCTCCCAGCGTCCGCCCTGCATCCCCGCACATCGCGTCGTTAATTACGGTCATGATCTTGAGCAGCACGACCTCGTCTCCAGAGGAGTCGCTCGCCTCGAATTTGCAACTTGATAGGGCACTGCTAAGCTCAGAAAGAGCGCTTGGAAGCGAAAATGCTGTAGGGTAAAACAGGCCGCACAGGAAGAAGTTATGGAGGGCAGTCAGTGCCGCGGATGTAATAGGTCCAGTAGACAGTGGTGAGCGGATGATGGCGAGGAACGGGGAAAGGAGCGTGCTGAGAGGTAACGAGTGTATGTCTAGTCATGCCGCGATCATGAGTCGTGGCTCGCGCTGCAGTTCATCGGTTGAGCGTACCTTCGATGTCCTTCACAAGCCGTTTGAGATCCTGGAAGCCTGCCATTAGCTCTTGCTCCGTACTTCCATGTCCCGACGCGTGCGTATTGGGAGAGCTCTTGGATACTCTCAATCCTAGACTGCTAGCCAGTGTAGAATCGCGTAGAGTGTACGACGGCGTCGAGAGGGCCCATCGGGAGTTCTTGCGCATCACAGAAGTGACCGAGAGGATCTCCGAGAGGAGAATGTGTTTGGGAGATACCGAGACGACAGTCGCCGTGCTCGTGGAGCTAGTGGGCTCCATGTTGGACAGTCGGCGGACGAGGGCGAGTGTTTAAAGGAGATGGAAAGGGCTTAGCCGCTGGAGGATGTGTGCACCGTGCAAGACGTGTCGCTTGTTGCAGCCACTTGCGTACCGGGGCAGAGCGCTTGTCGAACGCGGCAGGCGGGCCGCTACAGCCGGTTTCAGCTCGCTTGTCGAGAGCGCCGCGCCGCATCTCACGCATTTGCCTGTTTTCCCCTCCTAAGCGCCCCCAAAGGAACTTCGGACGACGATATCTCCTCGACAGCTCAATGTAACCACTTCATTCTTGCGTATTCCGGCTCAGGATTACGACGCGCAGTGCACGGTATTGTAATGAAGTTGCGCCAACTCGACGTCACCAACTTCTGGGCATTCCCGCTCTCCCAGCTCCATACTCGACTCGGACAGCGTTGTTGGCTGAATGGTATGGCGTACTCTCCCGGAAATTGTCGGAATGGTGAAGACAAGACGCTACCGAGGGCTCTGTGTCAAAAGGCGGAGTGTCCAGCGACAATCACGTCCACCATAGGGGGTGGCAGCCCTCTTGGGCCAGCTCAAAGTCCTCGTCGGGGAGCACCAGACACCATGACCTTGCGAGCAACCCGCACCCCCACAACCCCCGCGGCCTTGCAAGGCACTAGGGGCCATGCAGTCACTGTTGAGTAGGAGGGAGGAACAGACGAGGTGGGTAGATTGGAGCTGCAAAGGAGAGCTTGTAGAACACTACAATTGGCAACCGGCACAATTACATGGGTTTGTAGGCTTACAGTGGACATATGTGACATGTTTCATAGCAAAGATGTGTTGGATTTGACGATATACGACAGAGTGGTATACTAGGCATGCGCCAGAACCCTTCGCAGAATGGAGAAAACGTACATCATGGACCTCTTCTGCACCATATGCCCTCCGTGACATCCGCCAATGGCTTCCAGTGAGCCCTCCAGGTATCTCCATGATAAACTCGGGGCTGTGAAGACAAAGATTAGATCCGACTAGAGTCGAAGCAAGATCTTCAGTCAGTAAGGAAAGACTATATTGCAGCAACGAACTGTACCTAGAGTCGAAGCAAGACTACAAAGGTTAAGTAAGTAACTACAAGTTAGAGGTAGGTGTAACGAAGTACTCACTCTTCAGTCAGTAAGGAAAGACTGAAGAGGGAGGACGAAATCTGAAGTCCTTATATACTACAGAGAAGTGTCCATGACTAATCGAAGAGTGGTTAGTCACATGTTCCATAGTGCGATGAATAATACAACAAAGAAAGAAATTGCGACATATACGCACCATAGGATGAGTAAGAGATGAGTAAGGCATAGACCTGTCTAGACCGTTCT